CTCAGTGGCAGGCAGCTATGGATGCAGAGATGGCTTCCTGGAAGTCCACAGGCACCTACGTTGACGCTGTCCCCCCTCCTGGGGCGAACATCGTCAGTGGCATGTGGATCTTCAGGGTGAAGCGGCCGCCGGGTTCTCCGCCTGTCTTCAAGGCGCGTTACGTGGCTCATGGCTTCAGTAAGCGGCAGGGAGTTGACTACTTTCAGACCTTCTCCCCCACCCCGAAAAAGACCACTCTTTGGGTACTGCTGCACGTTGCTGCTCACCGTGACTACGAGCTGCACTCTCTTGACTTCAGCACAGCTTTCTTGCAGGGCAGCCTGCACGAGGAGATCTGGCTGCGTCGCCCACCTGGCTTCACTGGGTCTTTCCCTCGTGGTACCCAGTGGAGTCTCCGGTGTCCAGTCTACGGTCTCCGCCAGGCGCCACGTGAGTGGCACAACACACTGAGGACTACGCTTGCGGCTCTTGGGTTTGCTCTTTCTACTGCCGACCCGTCGCTGTTTCTGCGCACCGACACCTCTTTGCCGCCGTTCTACATCCTCGTGTACGTCGACGACTTGGTCTTTACCACAGCTGACACTCCTGGACTCGCCTACGTGAAGTCCGAACTGCAGAAGAGACACACGTGCACAGACCTGGGTGAACTGCGCAGCTACTTTGGCTTGCAGATCACCCGGGACAGAGCACGCCGCACCATTACCCTGACTCAGTCACACATGGTGCAGCAGGTCCTTCAGCGCTTCGGCTTCACGTACTCCTCGCCTCAGGCCACTCCTCTGTCTACTCGCCACTCGCTCTCAGCTCTGCCTTCGGATGAGTTCGTAGAGTCGAGTGGCCCGTATGCAGAGCTTGTTGGCTGCCTCATGTACCTGATGACCTGCACACGACCTGACCTTGCATACCCTCTTAGCATTCTCGCACGCTATGTTGCTCCTGGGAGACACCGACCATAGCACATGGCTGCAGCGAAGAGGGTGTTGCGCTACTTGTGCAGTACTTCGGGCATGGGGCTAGTGCTTGGAGGGCGGAGTCCAGTGGTCCTCACTGGGCACGCGGACGCTTCTTGGGCTGACGACCAGGCTACGCAGCGGTCGTCACAGGGTTACACCTTCAGCCTTAGTTCCGGCTCTGTTTCGTGGCGGGCTACTCGCTCGTCTTCTGTTCTTGGCTCCAGTTGTGAGGCTGAGATCTACGCCGGGGCCATGGCTGCACAGGAGCTTCGCTGGCTCACCTACCTGGTGACCGACCTTGGAGAGCCGCCTCGTTCTCCTCCAGTCCTGTACGTAGACAACAAGGCCATGCTGGCCTTGTGTCGAGAGCAGCTACTGGAGCACAGAACAAAGCACATTGCTCTTCGTTACTTCCTTGCTCGTGAGCTACAGCAGCGTGGACAGTTGCGGCTTGCGTACGTGGCCTCTGAGGCCAACACTGCTGATGTCTTCACCAAGGCACTTCCGCCTTGTAATCATTAGCGCTTCTGCACTCAGCTGGGTCTTGTGCCCGTCTTGCCTCACTTGCTCTCCTCTTGACCTTGCTTGTACTCTCATATATATATATATATATATACCTGCTCTTGCTTGTCTACCTTTATATATGTGTGTGTACTCTTGCATGTGAACTGGCCGTGTGGCCTTGACCCTGTGCTCGGACTGTGTGGTGACTTTGTGATCCACCCTGAGCTTGCTTTGCTTTGCTTGACTGGTCTTGTGACCCCTTGTTCTCCCCCACTTTGCCTATGGGGGTGTGTCAGAACATTATAGCTTATGCTGTTGTGTAGGCTATAGTGGGGTATCCCATAGGGGGTACAACCAATTAGGGTTTCATATTTGTACTCACTTCATTTCATAGTTCACTCATTCTCGTTTCGATTCTCACAATTTTTTGGTCCAAGCGAGCACTTGGCCCAAGTGACGACTTCGTCCAAGCGAGAACTTGGTCCAAGTGACAACTTGGTCCAAGCGAGCACTTGACTTAAGTGATTATTTTGTCCAAGCAACGACTTGGTCCAAGCAAGCACGACAACTTGCACCAAACGAACATTTGGTCCAATCGAGCACTTGGTCCAAGCGATGACTTGGTCCAAGCGATGACTTGGTCCAAGCGAGCACTTGGTCCAAGTGACGACTTGGTTAAAGCGAGCACTTGGTCCAAGTGAGAACTTGGTCCATCCGAGGACTTGGTCCAAGCGAGCACTTGCTATGGGAACCTTTTTGCACAAAGAGAAGGGTGGAGTTAGTAGAGTGATGAATAGTTTGGTTTATCATTGGAGTACACATTCCACTGTTCTTAGTGCGTGTATGGAGCTGAAATTTCACTTGTGGGGTTGTTTTCGTTGCCTGCTGCTCCGTCAAAATATGCTGCTGCCATTGGTCGGAAACCACTCAGCAGGATCCAAATGGACATTTCAGACTGAGCGGACGTGGCAAATTCTGACGATTTTCCAAAAAGTTGGCACCATAATCTCGTCAACCCGTCAGATGTGTGGCTGGTGCCTTCTCCGATGCGCTGACGGGAGAAGCGCTGGGGGAAACTGTTGCCAAAAAAGGTCAGTTTGTGAAGCGTCTCCTACCGAGGGCACCTCGCCCATGACACAATGCTCGGTTCATCACCACAACCCTGGTTTCTGCCCCTGACCGGCTGTTCTGTGTCGTGTCATCCTTTTGTATCTTGCAACTTGGACCAAACTACCGGTCCGTCAATTCTCTTCTGGCAAGCAGACTGCTCCGATAACCAGCTCACATGCTCCGTGCATCTCATTCTTTCTCACGCCCTTGTTCCAATCCACCCATCCATTTGTCCATCCGTATTACCGTACCGTACCATTCGTTTTTCCTCGTGTTTCTGTCATTCTTGCCCATGAAAAGTGTGACCATCCGTCAGTGAGAGAGTTGTCCTTTCATGCGTCCAGATTTGGCAGCAGCGTTTTGCTCCCATCAACCTAGCCCAGCGCAGCGTCGCTGATACTAGGTTACTCTGGCGTCTGGTTCCTCTGCACTGCGTCAGGCATTCTCTTCGTGCCGTGGTTTCATCGTTAGGGTTTCCCTGCCTCACGTGCCATCACTGGTTGATGCGTTCCTGATACGTGCCATGGCGACCCGCGTCGGAATCTCAGACCGTTCGATTGCCATCACAAGTTCCCTTTCAGGTGATCGCCAACGCACTGTTGTTCTCATCACTGCTCCTACTCTCCTATCGTACGCGCTGCCGCATCAGATTCACTGCATACGGTCGATGCAGTTGACGAATATGCCATACCCTTCCGGCAATCCACTACCCTAAGCATTCGCTTCCCGTGCATTTCCGATCAATGATTCGTCAGAGTCTTGTATCAACAAGATCTCGGTCTTTATCCGTATAGGCGTTAGGGTTATGCTGCCGGACCATGTTTTTCTCACATTCACAGTTTTAGGTTATGCTGTACGTCAGGTGTGATTCTCCCTGACAGGACCTTTATCCTGGTTAGCGTGTTTCTTGTGTATCTTTGTTTTCCTATATCCACTTGTATCAACTTGTTCCCTCAGCTGCTTGAACTCTGGTTTTTTATCCAATGCACTGCTGCTGCCCATTCATCTCCCACTCCAGAGCTTACTGGATTGCGTCCTAGCCTCCTTCCAGCTCGCCGAACCACGCAACAGACCAAGAACTCAGGTTCGGGGCGAACGCGGCAACGTAATTCGCAATGTCGGTCCGCTGCAGCAGCAGCAACAACAGCAGCAGCTGATTGTTCTTCCACATCAAACGGTCAAGATTTCGCGAGGCAAAGATCCGGATGGCTGAACGGCCGCGCGTGCCTGATTTGCGCTGCACAGGGCTGCGTATCGTGCGTCGGCGTAGCTCCACGTGTCACCCTCCCTTCACCAGTACGCACCCACCAATCCTTCCCCGAAACATCATACCCGCAAACCACTGCTTTAACAACGGCCTTATCTTTGTCTTCAAGTAATTTTGCATATTTTCCTCTCTTTGTTGCCCTTCCAGGGATGTCGTAGGCGTTACTCCCGCAGACGTGTTCTCGCGCGAGGATCCCAAGGGTCCGCAGGGGAGAGATTCTTAGAGTCGGAACCGGGAGGGTCGGGGGAAAGCGGTGTAGCAGGCGGTAGTAGCACCAGCGCCAGCAGTAGCAGCAGCAGCAGCTGCGGAGATTCAGTCATTGCGGATTCAAATAGTAGTAATGATGGGGAGACGGAAGGGAATGGTCGAGTCAGCAGTAGCAGGGCAAATGCTAGCAGCAGTGGCGTCACTGGAAATTCAGGCAGTGGGATAGGGAATTCGAATGAGACTGGTAACAGTAACGGAAACGGAGCTGTAGCCTCGTTCGGCACTGCAGAGTACCCAGGCGGCGCAGGTGGCGATTCGTCTTTTACCATTGCTGCGTCTGTTGAGGCACCTCCGGCGGTTACTCCTGATACTTTATGGGAGGTCAGTGAGTATTAAGTGGAGGGAAGGGAGTCGACTGGAGCAGCGGGTGCTGAGCGTTGCTGCGCCAGCACCGTTGTTGCAAGCCTATACTATGCCTGTGCCTTTGCTCTGATCTGAACAGAGCAATTCGTTGAGATGAGATGACTTCATCATCGCTTGGCTTTTGAACCCACTGACGGATGCGTGTGGAATGTGGGGTGGGGGTGGGGGTGGGGATGGGGATGCTGCTGCCTGTCGCAGGAGCTGCTGCCGTGCATCACGTACCTCTCCCCCACGCAACTGCAAGTCGTCCGCCACGCCTTGAGAGTGAGTCAACTCTCACCTTACTGCTGTCAACTCCAGGGAACAAATGCCCCGCTGTTTGTTTCTTGCATGGAGTCGCCCTCTTTGCACGCTCTTCGCGCCCCCTTGCCCCTCTCTGTCACGCTCTGAACCTCTCGTCCCGCTGCTGCTGCAGCTGCATCTGCTTCCACGTTGCTGCTGCTACTGCTGCTGCTGCTGCTGCTGCACGTCTTGTATCTGAATCCCTTCTCTCCGCCATCACACCTCCTGCGCTCCTCCCCTTCCCTCCCCACCCTATGTGCGCAACCATAACGGCATGCTGTGTGTGTGGTCAGCTGGCGTACAGGGCGCATGACGGGCAGAAGAGGAAGAGTGGAGAGCCGTACATCATTCACCCCGTGGAGGTCGCCCGGATACTGGGGCAACTGGTGGGTTGGTGTTGTGTTGGTGGGTCACCGCATCTGGCACACACATGGATGTTTCACATATACGTAGCACAAGCACATGCGTACATGCATGCACGCATGCGCATATACATGCACATAACAGACGCTGCTACGGGAGAAGGCACCTCGCCTGTTGCACATTCCCCCTGTATCTTTCTCTCCCCCCCTCCCTCTCCCCTCCCCACCTCGCCAGGAGATGGACTGGGAGACAGAGGTGGCTGTGCTGCCGCACGACCCAGTGGAGGACACGGACGTGCATTGGCTTATCATGACACCTCTTCCCCCACTCAACTGCCCCCTCTCTTCCGTCCTCTCCTCATGCACGAACCCTGTATTACCTTTTCTCACCAGGAGATGGGGACTGGGAGACGGTGATGGTGGGGCTACTGCACGACACGACACCATGGAGGACATGGACGTCCAAGGTCTTATTGTCACGCTTCTCCCCACACCCGTCCCTCTTACCCCCCCTTATCCTTCCGTTCTTCCCTTGTGCACGGACCCAATGCTACCAGGAGATGGACTGGGAGACGATGGTCGCAGGGTTGCTGCACGACATGGTGGAGTACACGCCACGCATGGGCTTATTGTCACGCTTCTCCCCACACCCACCACTCTTCCCTCCTCTCCTTTCACCAGGAGATGGACTGGGAGACGATGGTCGCAGGGTTGCTGCACGACACAGTGGAGGACATCGACGTGCATGGGCTCACTGTCAGCCCTCTTCCTTCCTCTTCCCCTTGTGTTCTTTCCTCCCTCCTCCCCTTTTCCCACCAGGAGATGGACTGGGAGACGGTGGTGGCGGGGCTGTTGCATGACACGGTGGAGGACACGGATGTGGTGTCCTTCGAGCAGATCGAGGCCTCCTATGGGCCGGCTGTGAGGCGCATCGTGGAGGGCGAAACCAAGGTGCGAGGCTCAAGACCAAGGTACGAGGAGGGTTCAAACGAAACAAACAGTTTGAATGGGTGGAAGAATGCTGTGATGGATGGGTGGGTGGTGTTGTCACTGGTGGTGAGCTGCTGGGACTAATTCTTGTGGCTGAAGCTGCTGACTTTGGTGGTGCTGGTCGGATAAGAAGCTACTGGGTTCTTTACTTTCCCCACTTGTGTCTCTGGCAGGTGTCGAAGCTGGGCAAGGTGAAGGACGGTAGCAAGGCAGACGTGAAGGCAGACACCCCTCCCCCACACGGCCCCCTCCTGTCGCCCCCTCCTGTCGCCCCCTTGTGTGCGCCCCTGGCAGGTGTCGAAGCTGGGCAAGGTGAAGGATGGCAGCAAGGCAGACGTGAAGGCAGACGATCTGCGCCAGATGTTCCTCGCCATGACAGAGGAGGTGGGGTGTGCTTGGAGGTCCCTCAGAGTCATGCTCTGAGGCTCTGAGGTGCCATTCTCTTGATGGCACCTCCCTGGGTCACCTTCCTCCTTATTTGTCGTCCTGCTCAAGCACACGCCACATGATTTATTCCCTGACTGGCCCCTTATCCCCCTAGTTGCAAGCAAGGTTAAAAAATATGGTCGTTTTTTTGAAATTGCTCTACGATTTCTCACAGGAGCCTATTATACGAAACCGTTTTTTACCGTAGCTTTTCAAAAAAACGACCGTATTTTTAATCCCTGGTTGCAAGTCCTTGTGATCAAAGTGAAGTTGGCAAACAGGTTGCACAACACATGTACGCTCACGCACCTTATGTGTGATTATGTCTCTTCCTTTTTCTACTCTCCCCTCCTCACAGGTCCGTGTGATTATAGTGAAGCTGGCGGACAGGCTACACAACATGCGCACGCTCACGCACATGCCGCCCCACAAGCAGAAGTACATCGCCATGGAGACCCTCAGTGTCTTCGCTCCCCTCGCTCGCCTGCTTGGAATGTACCACATCAAGGTGCGTGGTAGGGGGGTTGTGTGTGTTGTGTTGTGTTGTGTGTGGACTGTCAGCATGCATGTATGTTGCTGCTACAGCATGTACCACATCAAGGTGTGCCTTAGGGGGGTGAGTTGTGTGGGACTATTTGAACGCGAGTGAGCGCATGCTTCACCTCTGCACGCCTTTTGAAACATCTCATAATCCACCCACTTCCTCCCCCCTTCTCCCATCCACCCCCCTTCAGACGGAATTAGAAGACCTGTCTTTTCGGTACGCGTACCCTGAGGAGTATCTGGATGTGTCTGAGCAAATGCTGCACCTCTGCACAGCTTTTGAAGATGCCTCACCCCACCTTCTCTCTCCCTCTCTCATCCTCCTCCCATCAGACGGAATTGGAAGGCCTCTCATTCCGGTACGCGTATCCGGAGGAGTATCTGGACGTGTCTGAGCGAAGGCTGCACCTCTGCATGGTTTTGAGACGTTTCAGCACCCACCTTCTCTCTCCCTCTCTCATCCTCCTCCTTTCAGACGGAGCTGGAGGGCCTCTCATTCTGGTATGCATATCCAGAGGAGTATCTGGGCGTCTCTGAGCGCATACTGCACCTCTGCCCCATTTTCTGAGACGCACTTCAAAGGCCACCTTCTCTCCCCTTCCCTCGCTCAACATCCCTTTTCAGACGGAGTTAGAGGACCTCTCATTCCGGTACGCGTACCCCGAGGAGTATCTGGATGTGTCAGAGCGCATGCTGCACCTCTGCACGCAGCAACAAACTGCTCTGGATGAGGTCCGTATCAGCACTTGAAACAGATGAAATCAAATGGGGTCGGTATCAACATTAGACAACCTTGTCACCTGTAGCAGCATGCCTGTCTTTTTTCTTCTCGTATCTTGTCTAAGTACTTGCCGTTCCTTTCTCTCTCCCGCTCAGGCACGTGTAATGCTAGAGGAAGCGATGCGGAAGGACAAGTTTTTGGATCTCATGACTTCAGGGGCGAGGGTGGAGACTCGGTGCAAGGAACCATACAGGTGAGAGATGAGACAAGTAATGGAAAGACGATGTGACATGGCGCATGACGACTAACTGTACAGGAGTGGCTGTCCTTCGTATTTGATTCGTCCACATGCCTTCTTGCCATGCCCATGCCTCGCCCGCCCTTGTCTTGCCCTTGTCCTTACCTCCTCTCCTCACTCGCCTCTCCTCCCGTTTTTCAGTGCCTGCACTCCGGCCACCCTCACAGCACAGAATCACCTCAGTGCCAAGGTGGAGGAGACCTAAGAAACCTCTCAGTCATCTCAGACCCCATCCCCTCCCTTCTCCCTGCTCCCACCTCTCCGCTTCACCCCCTCCTCCCTGCCTGATTCCCATTCCTCCCGATCTTCCCCTCTCCCGTGCAGCATATTCAAGAAGGTGGTGGAAACAGGCGCCAAGGTGGAGGAGATCCACGAGATCAACTTCCCCTCTGCTTCACCCCCTACTCCCTCCCTCATCCCCACTCCTCCCCCTCTCCTCCCCTCACGTGCAGCATATTCAAGAAGGTGGTGGAAACAGGTGCCAAGGTGGAGGAGATTCACGAGATCTCGCAGATCCGCGTGGTGTTCTCCATGGACGATGCGGATGATCAGCCCGATAGCAGCTCACGGAACATCGCGCAGCAGGTGACCAAGGGGGGACTAAGGGGCGATGGGGGTACGAGGGAGCGAATGAGAGACGAGGGGGCGAAGGGGGGATTAGGGGGTCAAGGGGGGATTAGGGGGTAAAGGGGGGATTAGGGGGTAAAGGGGGGATTAGGGGGCGAAGGGGGGATTAGGGGGCGAAGGGGGGATTAGGGGGCGAAGGGGGGATTATGGGGCGAAGGGGGGATTAGGGGGCGAAGGAGGTACACAATGTCCTACCATGTATGGTTGGTTGGTGTAAGTTTGACGCGTCTCGCTTAAAATTTATTACTGTGCCATCCATCCACCCACCCCCCCTCTCATCCCCCTGCAGGTGTCCTACCATGTGTTGGGTCTCGTGCACGCCCTGTGGCGGCCTCTCCCAGGCACGGTAAGCTTCTCTTCTCCTTTTCACTCTGTCTCCTTCCATTCTGGTTCCTGCTGCCCTATGCTTTCTGGTGCTCACTCCCTCCCAGGCACCTCTCCGATCACAGGGCAGCACTACCACATTCTGCTCACTGCCGTGCTGCTGTGCCACCTCTCCGATCAACCTGCCCCTCGACGCATTCCCTCCCCCTGGCAGGTGAAGGACTACATAGCGACGCCCAAGCCGAACGGGTATCAGAGCCTGCACACCACGGTGCTGCCGCTGGGAGCATCCTCTCTCTTCCCCGTGGAGGTGCAGATCCGCACCGACCACATGGACAAGCTCGCCAAGTGGGGTAACGCTGCTCACCACACCCCTCCCTCCCTCCCTCCCTTGCCCCGCTCGTTTCCCCCTCTGTATCCCTTTTTCCCTCCCTCCCTCTTTCCCTCCCTCCCTCTTTCCCTCCCTCCTTCTTTCCCTCCCTCCCTCCTCCCTCCCCCCTCTCCTCCTCTCCCCCTGGCAGGTAAAAGATTACATAGCAACGCCCAAGCCGAACGGGTATCAGAGCCTGCACACCACGGTGCTGCCGCTGGGAGCATCCTCTCTCTTCCCCGTGGAGGTGCAGATCCGCACCGACCACATGGACAAGCTCGCAGAGTGGGGTATAGCTGCTCACCACACCCCTTCCTCCCTCCTTCGCGCCCTTGTTCCCCCCTCCGTCTCCCTCCATCTCCCTCCCTCCCTCCCTCCCTCCCTCCCTCCCTCCCTCCCTCCCTCCCTCCCTCCCTCCCTCCCTCCCTCCCTCCCTCCCTCCCTCCCTCCCTCCCTCCCTCCCTCTCTTCCTCCGTCTCCTCCCCTCAGGTGAAGGACTACATAGCGACGCCGAAGCCGAACGGGTATCAGAGCCTGCACACGACGGTGCTGCCCTTGGGAGCATCCTCTCTCTTCCCTGTGGAGGTGCAGATCCGCACCGACCACATGGACAAGCTCGCCGAGTGGGGCATAGCTGCTCACCACACCGGCCGCCACCCGCACCTGCTGCTGCACGGCGAGCAGCAGGAGGGGCAGGCGCAGCAAGGGCGGAAGGGGAGGCAGGAGGGGCAGGGGCAGGTGAAGCAGCTAGCTGATGGGTCGGAGGATCTAGCTGGGTTGCTGCTTCCAGGCTTGGATTACTCAACCACAGATGATTCTGAGGGGGATAGCGACAGCTCAGGTAGTGACGACGAGCCGGGCCTTCCTCCTCTTGCCTCTACCATAAGCAGCGTTGCGGTGTGCGGGGGGGTGACTGAGACTCAGAGCAGCTGGAGCAACGACGCTGACGTGGCGAGGCGGGTGAGCTGGCTGAACTCGATTCGCGAGTGGCAGGAGGAGTTTGTGGGGGCGATCAGCGCGCGGGAGTTTGTGGATACGGTCACGTGCGACCTGTTTGGGTCGCGGATCTTTGTGTTCACACCCAAGGGGGAGGTGAAGAACCTCCCCAAAGGCGCCACTGTGATTGACTACGCGTACCACATCCACACAGACGTGGGCAACCGAATGGTGGCTGCAAAGGTGAGAAGAGAATCGTGCATTCTAGTTGAGGAGCGAAGCTGAGATGGGTGAGACGAGTCTGGCCATCCCTTGAGTCGTGACAGTGATAGAATACGTGTGCCACATTCACACAGACGTGGGGGCAACCGAATGGTGGCTGCAAAGGTGAGAAGAGATTCGTGCAATTTGACGGGTGACATGGGTGATGGCATGGGTGATGACATGGATGATGGCATGGGTGATGGCATGGATGATGGCATGGGTGATGGCATGGGTGATGGCATGGATGATGGCATGGGTGATGGCATGGATGATGGCATGGGTGATGGTATGGGTGATGGCATGGGTGATGGTATGGGTGATGGTATGGGTGATGGCATGGGTGATGGTATACATGATGGCTCAGACACTTGCAGCTAAGGCCATAAATGCTGCTGCCGCACTCTCACAATTGTCCTCTTCCCGTCCTTCCATCCCCATCCCCATCCCTCCCTTCGAATCCCTCTCTCCGGGTCTCCTTCCCACTCTTCTCGCTCTTTCCCTTCCTATTCCTTTTCGCCCCCTCTTCTCCCCTTCCCCTTCCCCCACTGCACCACACCAGGTGAATGGAAACTTCGTCCCGCCCACGTACGCCCTCTCCAATGGGGAGGTCGTTGAGGTTCTCACATACAAGGTAAGTCGTGTGAGCCAACTTCGCATATATCGTGTAACTCGTTTCTTTACGCACTCCTATGATCGTCTTGTTTTTGCCGATAGGGAGCACTGTGGTTCTCACATACAAAGTGAGTCGTGTAAGTCAACCCCTTAGCCTCTATTCTTTCCGTATCTGCTGCCCCCCTCCACAACACCCAAGCTCGCCTGTCTGTGCTTCACTTGCCTCTCCCACTCCCATCGTCCCCGCTTTCGCTTTCTTTCCGCAGGGCGGGTCGGGTGGCTCCCGTAAGGGCTTCAAGCAACGTCAGCAGTGGTTGCAGCACGCCAAGACAAGAAGCGCCAGACACAAGCTCACCAAGGTACGGCGAGGACTTGCAGGCTTGCAACGTACAGTGCAGTCCTTGCGGAAGCAGGGTGTGTTGAAAGCAAGGTTCAGAAGGTCTCAAAAAGCTTATGCGTGTCTGCAAGCAATTCTATGATCTTTTCTTGCACGGTGCTGTATTTGTGGGAGCGGGGGCGCTGAAGGCGAACCCTAAAAGCGCGCAACATTGATGCATATAGTAATTACTCATGGATTTGTTTCGTCTGCATTGTGCAGTACTTGCGAGAGCAGGGAGCGCTGAATTCGCATGAGATCACGGCCGACAGAATCAACGAGTTTCTTATTGACCTGCAATCAGCTGACGCCCGCACTGCTGCTGGCAGCAGCAGCAGCAGCAGTAGTAGCAGCAACACTTTTAACAGCAGCAGCAGTAGTGGCAGCAGTGGCAGCGGCGGTGGTGGCAGCAGCAGCGTCTTGGCCGGTAATAACAACGGATCAGCTACTTGGCCTCTCATTTCGGATTCCATTCTCCCCACCAGCCAACCCACTCAATCACCCTCCATACAATCACCATCAACATCACTTCCAGTTGACTTCTCCCCATCTCCCACCCCCTCAGCCTCCCGGACACCTCGCTCCTCCCGCCCCCCCTCACTATCCACACCATCCGCCACAACAACTGTTTCCCAGACTCTTAATAAAGGGAGGCAGGGGCGATCGGCAGTGGGAGAGGGAGAAGCAGGTACAGGGTCTAGAAAAGGGCGCTCAGGCGAAGTGGGGAGGAGCATAGATGGTACACTGGGCAGGAGAGAGGTGGGATTCGGAAGGGTTGGACTGGGGGAGGTGGGATCTGAGACAGGGTTGGCTGGAAGAGGGGATCCTGCTGGTGAAAGCAGCTCAGAGGTTTTGCAGTTTTCTGATGACGGGGCTGCTGCTGATGTGGCATCCGCACGGCTGGCGGCGGGCGATGCTGACGTGTCGCTGGCTAGTGCTGATGTGGAGCTGTTGGAAGGCAGGAGCAGAGATGACGTGGACGGGAGTGGTGGTGCCGGGGTAGGGAGCAGAGAGGAGGGGGTAGATGAGCTAGTATCACGGCTGTTAGAGGGGGTGACAGGAGAAGCAAGGCTGGATGGAAGTGGGGGTGGTGGAGAGGCGAGTGTGGTGGGAAGAGGGAACGGAGAGAGTATTGGCGTGGCTCGTCCACAGGCAGTGGGCTATTCGCCACAGCCACAAGACAAGACGGGAGGGTCCGCAGCAGCAGCCGCGCCAGCAGTAGCAGCAGTACCGGAGCCAACAGCTGCAGGGCCCCAGGCATTGGCAGCAGAAGCAGCAGGAGCCACTGCTGGGACTGAGAGCATATCATTAGAGTCAGCAGGGGTGTCAGAGAGAGGGAGGGTGCCAGAGGGAGGGAGGGCGTCGGAGGGAGGGGGGGCGTGTGTGGATGCGTTTGCGGAGTTTGAGGAGTGGCAGACGCAGACTGTTGCCATGTGGCAGTTCCTGAGTGGCCGCAGAAAGGTGGTGCTGTGGCTGGCCGTGCAGTGCTATGACCGCACAGGTAAGTGCAGGAAAAGGAAAAGGTTTTTGTGCACTTCTGCTCTTTCTAAGCTCTCCCTCTTACCTGCACCCCTGTCCCGCTGCTGATTTTGTTTCCATGTGCGCCTGCAGGGATGCTGGCTGAAGTTTCCAAGATAGTGACCGAATCTGGCCTGCTCATCTGCACACATGCGGTAAGCTGGGCCTGCCACATGTGCACCTTGCAATTGCCCTCATGGTTTTTTTTTTTTTTTTTTTTTTTTCCACATTGCTTTCACCTATACGCTCTTGAGTACCTACTTCGTCTCTTGCTTCTTCAGTTTCTCTGAAATTTCCTTTGCTGTTAATCCTCGCTTGCTCTAATTACTCTCGTTTTTCATCTCTTCCCCACACCACCACCAACAGGGGCGCACCAACCAGGAGGCGGGCACAGGAGTAATGTTATTCGAGGTTGACGGACTGGACCCTGATTTTGTAAGTGCAATGCATACATCCGATCTGCTTCCCCGACCACCAAACCCCCCCCCCTCCCCTCCCACCCACCCCCACCTCTTCCACTAATCTTCCCCCTCCCCAACCCACACTCTCTCTATCCCCTCTCCCGTTTCTACCTTATGACTTATCCATCTTGCTCTCCTCAGCTCACTGAATGACCTCTATGTATGGTGATTGTAGTACTGAAAAGACTCATGCAAAGGAACACAATTCAACCTCTCACCTGTCCTTGTGTGGATTGTTTCCATCCATCCTCTACCCTTGGGCCTGGCAATTTCTGCTGTGTTGGCATGGGGTGGATGGCATGGCATGGCATGGTGTGGTATGGCATGGCAGGACGTGATAAGTGATAAGCTCCTGGCTGTGGATGGTGTTCTCAGCTTCGCCCTCGGCTGCACCCTCGCTAACTCCTCCCGCTTCTGGCCCTGGAGCAAGTGACATGGTGGGGGGAGGTGTGGTGCAACTGACATGGTTTAGGCTGTGGGTGTAGGGGAGACTGGCCCCCGGGCACATGGGACATGCAGCAGAGGTGATAGCACTAGCTAGTCCTGAAGCAGTGACACAGAAGCTACTCTTGATCAAGGCGTTGTAGGGGAAAGGCATGATTCATCTCGTCTCGTGCCTTCCGAAATTATGATAGGGGAAAATAACCACTGGAAAGTTTCCATTCGTGTAGCTGATATGCAACTGAAGTGTAGAAGACGTGAGTGTTGTAAAAGTCGTGAACGATAGTTTCTAGGGAAAATATGTCACAAGTAACCATCACGGGACTCGATAGCGGGAATGGTAAAAAAGTAATGCGTACGATCACTGTATCGGGTTTTTCAAGGGTTTGGTAAGTGGGGACTGGGATTCAGTCACTAACAACAGGTAAAAAATCTCGCGAATGTTTCAAATTTAGGTACCCTGATGTCCACCTAAAAAAAAAAAAATTTACCCTGAAGGCATATTTTCCAGAAAAGCAGCACCCTGATTGCTCAGTGTTGGGAAGTTATACAGTATGGGTGTTCAAGGTCGAGAAGTCACGATCAGGGTACGTGTAGTAACGCGCTGTGCATTATCGAAACTGAACTTTGATGGCGAATCTGTTCTGTGAAAGGGCGAATGTGCAATGTCAGATACATTTTACTGTGTTTGGTCAAGACCTTTGTGTTCTGACAGCTCAAATCTGCTGTGTCAGGGCCATTTCGCTGTGATTGGGCAAATTCGTTGCTCCGTACGACGCGAATTCGCTTTGTCAACGCGAATTTTTAATGACGCTGGTGCTGTGACCAGTCAAGACGGGTTTGACTCACCAGTTTGACCCTCACTAATGAACCTCGGAGGTAGGTGTATCGAAAGAAAATTTTGAGGAAGCTTCCTCCCGGTAAACTTGCATGCAGGGACCACAGAACGCATACTCTGTAGCGACAGACTCCAGAAATGACTAACACTGAGGCCTATTACACTGAATCAGGGGCCATAAAACAAAAACTCTGAGGCTCTCAATGATGAAAATTTGACTACTCTGGAATTCCATTTTTCACAAACTCGATGGTCTGATCCGTCAGACTAATCAGACTATTTACTCTGATAGCGTCAGCCCTGGTCAAGATAGCGAGACAAAGAGGCTGTTCACTATAGAGCGAGCGGTACAAATAGGCAAGAATCAAGAAAGGTGCACCACCAAACAGAAAGTTATATAACTACAGTTTTCTACACTACACGCAGTTATAGAACTAAGTATTATTCTGACACGCCCCCACAAGTGCCTGTAGGGAAGAATGTGTAGTCAACGTCCCCATAATGGGGTTCACCAGACAGGGTGCAGCGAAAGAAACAGTAGCAGGCAAGAGCAGTAGTAGCCAGTGCAGTAGTGGCAGATACAGCTGTAGCACACCCCCCCAGCCAAGGTAGAAGCAGTAGCAGATGTAGGGGCGGCAGGTCGCCTGAGGAGCAGGCTCTGTGGATGCAACATGCAGCAGGTTAGCAGCGGCTCGACGACAGCACCTGCAGGCCCCAGCAGCAGACAACAGAAATAAGGGCAGGTGGCGGCAGGGGCGGCAACAGGAGGTGCCACGGTAGCAGCGGCCGGCAACTGCAGATGCCTGGCTGATTTCGCCACCCTCTCTTAACCTCCCCCCTACGGCAGTGAGAGAGAGAGGAGGGGCGGCTGCTGTCTTTGCAGAATCACTCTCACCATCTCCTGACACTCTCCTCGTTTCCCCTCATCCTCCCCCCGCAACCTCTCTCCCCCCCCCCCCCCCCACGACGGAATCCACGAAAGGGAGGGGGGGCGTGGGTTGTCGATGGCGCTGGCGTCCGCGCTGGCGTCAGCGTCGGCGTCGGGCGCTAGCGTTCGTGCTGGCGCCGAGCGCTGGCCTCAGTCCTTGCGTTCGCGGCCAGGGGCGGGACGCAACGGACGGGACGGGCAGGGCGCTAACGGGGGGCCGAAACGAGGCCGCATTTGACGCCGTCGCGCAGCTCGTCATCACGAACAGCGTGACAGACGAAAGATGCGCGACGGGCAGCACCAAGCAGGGAGCGACGGGGGGTGCCATGAACGAAGATAACGTGCAGGTCTAGGCGAACCAGGCTCTGGATACCATGTCAAGATAGCAAGACAAAGAGGTTGTTCACTGTAGAGCGAGCGGTGCAAAAAGGCAAGAATCAAGAAAGGTGCACCACCAAACAGAAAGTTATATGACTACAGTATTCTATACTACAGGCAGTTAAAGAACAATATACACAACTATATATTATTATGACAGAATGGTCATACATGTAACTCCCGCAAAAATTTCATGAAGCTGTACAAAATTCCCGCTCGTACCCAACCAATCATCTAACTTAAAAAAAAAAAATCAAAACCCAATCGGAATCGGATGCGGTCTGGGAACGGATCAACCCTAAACACCTGGCGAATTGTGTTTAGGGCTGATTCATCCGAAAATGCATCCATGTTCGTTCTGGTTCTGGGTATTATGTTTTTTTGGGCGGAAGTTTCATCTGTGACTATTCACGTTTTTTTTACCAGTTGATAGTGACTGATTCCGTGAAACGTTTTATCAGTCGCGTGTAAACACCCTTTGCAGCGACCGTAACCTTTATTTTTTTTACCAGAAATGTTATGAGTTCCATGATCGTTACCAATGGCATATTTTCCCTAGTTTCTACCCGTAATTGTAAGATTCGCGATTGTGTATTTCGCCTACAGCCTTGTTTCCGAAACCTTGAAGCGAGTTCGGTGCTTCGAGAATCTCTCAGCCACCTTGAAATTATCCCAACAAATTTCTCGAGAACTGCTGGAGTCTGGTCATCACATTCTAGCCGCACTGTCCCCTTTCCCCCCGCCACTTCTTCCTCCGCCATGCCGCTTTCGCGCGCTTGCGCCTCCGCTCTCGCCCCCATACCCGCTTCTTTCAGTTGCGCCAATTCGCTCCCGACATTCCTTCCGCGCGCTGCTGTGCCTTCCGCCGTTCCGCTCCGCATTTGCGCAACTCCCACCAGCCCAGCCACCTCCGCATTCGACGGTCGAAGCGCGCTTCTGCATCGCGCAACTAGCCCCGCGCAACGCGCATCGTTCCGCGCGCGTTCTTCCGCTCCGCACGCAATGGCATCCGCGGAAGTGGTCCCCGCGGTGATAATCGGCGCGGGGCGCGTGGGGCAGGCGCTGGAGAAGATGGGCGGAGGGCGGGATGTGGTGGTGCGGCGGGGGAAGAAGGTCCCCGAAGGGGGGGAGGGACCGATTATCGTGTGCACGCGGAACGATGCTCTTGACGCGGTTGTTGATGCTGTGCCAGAATCCAGACGGCAAGGTAAGCTATTCATGGCTGAATTGAGGCGAGAAGGGACATTGGGATGTCCCCGAGGGCCGTGAAGGACGCGGAACGACGCTCTTGACGCGGTCGTGGATGCCGTGCCGGAATCCAGGAGGGAAGGTAAGTGGAGACGAGACAACTAGGGAGACAAAGTAAGCGGAGATGCCTGAAAAGGTGTGTGCACGCGGAACGACGCTCTTGACGCGGTCGTGGATGCCGTGCCGGAATCCAGGCGGCAAGGTAAGCCATAGATGCCTGGATTGAGGCGAGAAGGTACATAGAAATTGGTTGGTTACCAGTTGCGTCTCGACCCGAGACTAGGTGTTTAGGAGTCTAGGTGTCTGCAGGACGGCACCCAAATGCTCGTGTTCATTTCCTCCCGTTCCCCCGCTTTTTCCAGACCAGCCAGGGATCCAAAATGGCAATGCTGGATCCCTGGCTGGCCTCGAGGGGTCTCCAGGACGCCACGCAGGTGCTCGTGTCGTGTACTTTGCTGTGGCCAAGGCGGGCTGCATGCTTGTGCATCAATGCGCTTTTCCCATTCCTTCCCTCCCACTTTCCTCGTCCTCCAGACGTGGTCTTCATTCAGAACGGAATGCTCGATCCGTGGTTGGCATCTAGGGGTCTCCAGGATGCCACGCAGGTGCTCGTGTACTTTGCCGTGGCCAAGGCGGGCGGGTGACTCGCGTGTTGATCACATCCCTCCCTCCCCTGCGGTTTCCTCTATCCCGCCTCCAGATCTTGTGTTCATCCAGAACGAAATGCTCGACCCGTGGCTCGCTTCTAGGGGCCTGCAGGACGCCACGCAGGTGCTCGTGTATTTCGCCGTAGTTAAGGCGGGATGCATGCTTGTTGGTCAATCCCCTTCCCCCTAAGTCCCTCCGCCTCCTTCCTTCCTCATCCTCCAGATCTTGTGTTCATCCAAAACGGAATGCTCGACCCGTGGCTCACCTCAAGGGGTCTGCAGGACGCCACCCAGGTTCTCGTGTACTTTGCCGTGGCTAAGTTTGGCAACATGCGTGTTTATCAAACCCCTCCCTCCCCCGGTTCCCTATACCCTCTTTCCAGACCTGGTGTTCATCCAAAACGGCATGCTGGATCCGTGGTTGGCATCTAGAGGCCTTCAGGACGCCACGCAGGTGCTCGTGTATTTCGCGGTCGCCAAGGCGGGCGACCCGCCCCTGGATGGCATCACGGACGTCAATCCCGAGGGGCTCACCGCTGCCACCGGCAAGTGGGCGGAGGCAGTTGCAGCTAGGCTCAAGTCTGCTGGGTTGAGCTGTAAGGTGAGAAATGAAGAGTGGTGGCGCTCCAACGAATCCACCAAATGAACGCACAAATCCACATCAGCTGCTCCATCTGTCGCCGGCAGAAGGCCGACGGGGAGAGTACCTGCAGTCAAGGGTGCGAGAGTCAGGCCTCAGGAGGGAAAGGAACGGGAATATTTTTCTTCCACTTCTCATCTTCCAGCTGAGCCCAGACATTTTAAGCCGCACAGATGCAGCATCTATCCATTTGCCTGTGGCAGCAGTGAGCCCTTCGGGATTGACGAGATGCTAGAGACTCTACAGTAGAGTGTCTCTGATCATCCCCCCTCTCACCTTGCTGCTGAGCCCAGCTGATTTCAGCCTTACAACAACAGCCTCCGCCTACTTGCCGGAAGCAGCAGTGAGCCCCTCGGGATTGACGTCCGTGATGCCATCCAGGGGGGCATCTCAGAATCTTCCCTCTTTCCCCCACGACTGTCTTCCCAACTCCTCTTTCACATCAGCTGCTCTCCCCATCCGCCTTCTGCCAGCCACAGCTGGAGAAGCTGATGTGGATCTGCGCGTTCATGCTGGTGGGGGCGAGGAACGGCGGCGTCACCGTGGGGGAGGTGGAGAGTCAACACAAGGAGGCCGTGACTCTGCTGATCAACGGCCTCCAACACCACCCCTGCCCACCTCCCCCCCCCCCTTCCCCTTCCTGTGACTCTGTTTATCTACCCCGCCTTCCGGCTACCAATGCACGCAGGTGCTCTCCCCATCAGCCTTCCGCCGGCCTCAACTGGAGAAGCTTATATGGATCTGTGCGTTCATGCTGGTGGGAGCGAGGAATGGCGGCGTCACCGTGGGGGAGGTGGAGAGCCAACACAGGGAGGCTGTGACTCTGCTCATCAACGAGCTTGCGGCTGCTGCTGTGGCGGCTGGGGCTGTGGATGGGTTTGACGAGGGGTTGGTGGAGCGACTGTGTGCTTATGCTCGCTCAGTGGCACACTTCCCTACAGCTGTTAAAGAGGTAAAGCGCCATTTACAACAGCCATTAAGGAGGTACGGTAGCTGCTGCTGTTGCTGCTGTTAACGCTCCTGCTGTAGCGGCTGGGGCGGTGGATGGGTTTGACGAAGGGCTGGTGGATCGACTGTGCGCTTCTGCTCGTTCTGTGGCACACTTTTGAGTCGACTCAAAAGTCAACTCGTTTATGCTCGTTCTGTGGCACACTTCCCCACGGCTGTTAAAGAGGTATGGTTGCTGCTGCCGCTGTGGCTCCTGACACAGCACACGTTGTTCAATAGGTATGAGACATGGCTCCATGGGTGGTTCCACCCACATCGTGCCACGTCATTTGACATGTCTTATTATATGGCGTTGCTCCTTTCTATCCCGTGCCCCCAATGCTCCCGTGGCTTCCATTCGCCCCACGCCCCCCATGCTCCTCCGCATCTCTCCCATGATCATCACGCTCCTCATGGCTCATGCCATGCCACCCATCACATCTCCGCCATGTGCTTTATGCCTCTCACACGGCCCCTATGCCACTTCCCCCACGCCTCCCGTGCTGTTCCCTCCAGTTTGAGTGGCGCAATGGCTGGTTTCACAACATGTCAAAAGCTGCAGTGACAGCTGGCAAGCCGGACCCTTGCCCCCTGCACTCTGCTTGGCTGGCGGAGTTAGGGGCTGCCCCGCTCCCACAATGAGTGGGTAACGCATAGTTGCAACAGGAAATAGTAGTATATATTCTGATAAAAGAACTCTCAGGAGGTGTGAATGGTGCTCGCCAAGAGGTCGTTGCGAATAAATGAGATGGAGGGTATTGAGATTTGCTTTGTTCGTACTGATTGAGCTTGTTTAAAAGAATTTTCTGTACTTTTCTAAGGCAACTGTACTTATTCATTTTCAATGTCGGATGTGCTAATGAATGGTAGCTTTGTGGTTGTGGTCAGCAGTGCTGAGGCATTTGCTGGATTGCGGGTTGAAAAGCGAACATCGTTTGCCAATCAGTGGACCCCAAGATTGGCAATCCACGGCCCGTGGCCTCCGGAGTGCCACCTCACTGTTCTTTCCTGCTTACGTGCCTGGCTTTGATTCATCCCCCAGCCTTTAGGGCCCCCACAAACTTGCGGTATGGGTGACCAAGCCAGCTAGCGAGCCTCGCAGGGCTTTGAGTTGCGTGGTGCATCCCTCTCGTTGCGGAATCCATCGGACGGTTGATGTTGGAGCCTGATTGGAAACGGCTGTCACTTCAACGAAACCATCAAAACTAGGCAGCTTTTGCACGAGTGCTTTGCACTAAGCGAAGACTTCAGAAGAAATAACAGCTGGTCTGGTTCTCACCTTTGCTTGCAGTTTATTTCATTACATTTTATCGCAACCATGGCTGCCACCATGACCAGCTGCGTTCTTTCCTCCGCCGCGTCCCTCGCTGGCTGCCAAATTGCGGCTCCCCGTCAACAGCAGACTGTCAGGCGGTCAGTCGCCGCCGTCCGCTGCGAGGCGGCGTCATCGGAGGACAAGCACGTCGTGTCCCGGCGATCAGCCGCTGCTTTCGGCCTAGCTGCGCTTCTCGCTGCCATCCCCGCGTCTTCCGCTTCCGCTAAAGACATCCCTCTTTTCGGCATTAGGAGGAAGGCTGTTGAGGAGGAGCCCGCTGCTGCTCCAGTGGCTGCTCCCGCGGTTGCCTCGTCTCCCGCTGCTCCCGTTGTTGCTCCCTCCGTCGGTGTCCCAGTTACGTCAGAGAGCGACATTCCCGCTGAGACCCAGGCTGTCGCCGTTGCTGCCGTGGAGGTCGTTGCTGTGCTTACCGCTGGCGCCATCGTCAAGTCGGTGACTTCTTAAGAATGTCGATATATAAGAAAAATTCGTCTACCTATACTTTTTTTAATTATATCCCACTTCCACTTTGCGTTTTCGTGTGGGTGCTGAGGTGATCGTTTGGGATTCTACTAGGTGTTCTCGTCCCTGCGGCACGTTAGTCATAGGTACATGTTCCACGGCGCCTAGTGGCGTCGTCATTTTCAGCATGAGGCCACTATGGTTGGTTCATGTTGCCAGCAGTGACCAGTCCGGAAACCTACCTCTATCACATGTGTTATTCAAGGTTGTTCACCTGGTGTGCTGGAACATCTGGGGACAAGCACCTACCATATACTGATTCAGCCAGTAACTTGAGTTACAGAGGGTTGGCGTTGAATTAGGAGGGATTAAGATTAGAGGCTAGGTGATCAGACGTAAACATTGGCTAAGATGGTTTGGTTGAGCACGTATTGCTAAAGTATACTCCGCAACCTAGCCGACTAAATGCCTAAATGATGCTCATTTTAGAATGAAATTGTAGATCCTGTAGCATCTGAAAAAAACAACAAAATATCTTCTTGATGCAAACCTGCTGTGCAGGAAATGTACCACATTGACACTTTAAAATGAGGACCACTGAATCGTGTGCGACGGGGTTCTTGTTTCTTGGGCGGACCAGAAATGGAGGATTTGCCCAAATGACCAGAACCTCGGATTGTTCATAATCCGCGTCCCGACTTTCGAAACTATGGCGGATGTTCAGCCATCCAAGCCATCAGACGAGCCTGACGATGCGCAGAAGGTTGACGTTCAGCCGGTAGATTCAACGGCAGAAGCTGGTAAAGACGTTCCGGCAATTTCAGGCCGTGGATGGTTCTTCCTGGACGTGAACCAGCAGAATCAAGGGCCTTACCCAGAGGACCAGGTTCCCGGTACGTCTGCTCTTCTCCTCGATTCCCTTCACAGTTGTCGCTACTTTTGCCTTTGCTCCAGTCGCTAAATATAGTACCGCGGAAGGGTAATTGGAGGCCCAATCAAGACCCTCCTTAAAGACCCATTACACTGGAGACCGATTTTCAGAGTAACGAACAGAACGGTCGTACATTTGTTTGGAGATAAAGCTCCCTGAAATTCCGTGGTTACCCTTGTCTTGCTCTTTCCTCGCTTTCAGTATTAGTCTCCAATCTGTAACTCGTTATTAATACCTGTGACTGCTTTCAGGTCTTCTCGCGTACAACTATGTGACGCCTGAAACTCTTTTCTGGGCTGAAGGCTGTGCAGATTGGCTGCCCATAAAAGCAATTCCTGAATTCGCTGCAGCTTGCGCTGCTGGTGCCAGTGCTGCTGCATCTGAGGCAGCAGCAGTAGTAGCAGGAGAAGGAGCAGCAGCAGCAGCAGGGGTAGCAGCAGAGTCAGTGACAGCAGCAGGGAATGGTGCAGCTTCAGATGCAGCAGCAGGCACAGCAGGAACCGGTGGGGAACTCAAGGCTGGTAGGACTTGGCAATGGGGGGCTCCTGCTGGCGATGGGGGGAGGGGGAAGGGCAACGGGAAGGGGAAGGGGAAGGGGAAAGGGGTCGCGGATGGGGGAGGAGGGGGCGCGGAGGGCGAGGGGGAAGGGGGCGGAGGGGGAGCGGAGGATGAGGAGATGCGGAAGTTTCTGGCGGAGGTGAAACGGGCAGAGGCGGAAGCAGCTGCTGCGAAACGAGCAGCGAGAAAGAGAGGGCGGGTGGTGGCGGCTTTAGCCCATGGTGCTGATGCTGATATGGAAGAGGAAGAAGAGGAGGAAGAGGAGGATGAGGGGGAGGAGGAAGGGGAGGGAGAGGGAGAGGAGGGTGAAGAGGCAGGAGAGGGGAAGGGGGAAGGGAGGAAGGGGCAGGAAGGTGGAAATGAGGATGTGGAAATGACTGCTGGAGACGAACAAGAGCAACGGCAGCAGCAGGGGCAGGAGAAAGGGGAGGGGCAGGGGCAGCAAGGGCAGGGGCAAGCGGAGGAGGGGGATCCAGCAGAAGGGGATCAGTTTGAGGATGATGACGGCACGACATACCGATGGGATGCCCGCATGCGCGTGTGGGTGCCTCTGGTGAGTTACCCGCTCGATTGTGTCTTGCTACACTGCGCCTCTCCCTCTGTCTACCTTCCTCAGGATCCCCCCGCTCCCCTCCTCATACCCCTGCTGTTTCCATGCCTTGTTTTCTCCTGCCTTCTGGGTCTCTGCTGTCTTGTGTCTTCCAGGGGGAAGAAGGAGCAGCAGCAGCAGCAGCAGCAGCAGCAGCAGCAGCAGGAGCAGGAGCAGCAGGGGCACCAGATGCAGCAGCAGGGTTACCAGGTTACGACCCAGAGCAGATGGTATTCGTAGAGGACGAGGAGGTTATTCCGTCTCTAGACGCTGTCATTGCTGCTGCTGTTGCTGAGAGGGAGCGAGCAGAGGCGAGCGAGGAGGAGGAGATGGGGGCGGGGCGAGGGGGGAATGAGGAGCGTGGGGGGAAGAAGTGGGGAAAGGGCGGGGAGAAGGAGAAGGGGAAGGGGAAGGGGTGGAAGAAGGGGGAGAAAGGAGGAGGGGAGGGGGGGAAGGAGGGTAGTGAGGGGAAGCATTGGGGAGAGATGGAAGGGGGTGGGAAGGGCAAGGAGGGGAGGAAAGGGGGGGCAGGGAAGAAGGAGCAGGGGGAAGAGAAGGAGCATGTGGAAACACGCAAGGAGCTTCAGAAGAAGGTCAGTGGGTGGGGTTGGTTAGCGTATAGGCTCGAACACGCACACAACTGCTGTGTTGTGTGCTCTTGATTGAAGTAGTGGTTGGTTCAAAAGGGCAAGAAAAGGAGCATGTGGAGACACGGAAGGAGTTTGAAAAGAAGGTCGGTGCTGTGTTGTGTGCTCTTGGTTGAATCAGTGGTTGGTTCAAAAGGGCAAGAAAAGGAGCATGTGGAGACACGGAAGGAGCTTCAGAAGAAGGTCAGTGGATGGGTGGTTGGTTCAGGTGAAGCTTCAAGTCTCACAGGTCACCTTGTGAAGCGCTTCCTTACATGAACATATGAGCATATGGGCCATGTATGAGCCATGTATGAGCCATGTATGAGCCATGTATGAGCCATGTTTGAGCCATGTATGAGCCATGTATGAGCCATGTATGAGCCATGTATGAGCCATGTATGAGCTATGTATGCATGCATCCTCCCTCTCTTGTTTCCCTCTCACCCTCTCCTCGGTCACTGGCCTGCCTCTTACCTTCTCCTTACACTCTGCTTCCTCTCTCCTCTCTCCCTCTGTTCTCTCCCTCTCCCCTCTCCCTGACCCCAATCCAGGTGGCCAACAACGAGCCAAACGAGTGGTTTGAGCTCAAGGTCAACACGAGTATGCATGTCACCGGCCTGCCTCTTACCTTCTCCTCCTCTCTTCCTTTCTCTCTTCTTTCTCCCTCTCCCCTCTTCCCTCTCCTTGTCCCCAATCCAGGTGGCCAATAACGAGCCAAACGAGTGGTTTGAGCTGAAAGTCAATACGAGTGTGTATGTCACCGGCCTGCCTCATGACACCGACGAGGACGAGGTGAGTTGCTGGTGAGGCGCCTTAGAGGCCAAGAGAGGGGTCCTATGAAGAGCCGAATGAGTGGCCAAGTGGTCTGAATGAGTGGCCAAGTGGTCTGAATGAGTGGCCAAGTGGTCTGAATGAGCTGATTGAATGAAGGTTAACACACAAGTGTTTACGTCACCGGCCTGCCTCACAATAGCAACTAGGACGAGGTGGGGCGCCTATAGCGAGTACAGGGTGTACCAGTATGTTTTGCCACTTTCGTGCCACTTGAGAGTGGCGTCACATATTCATATGGATGTACCCATTGTGAGAAAGATGTAAGAAGAGAGCGCGGTGTCAGCCCGCGCTGGTTGCGTCCGCGGCGTCCGCCCGCGCTGGTCGCGTCCGCGGCTTCCGCCCCCGCTGGTCGCGTCCGCGGCCGTCGTTCGTCGCGGGTGTGGCGTCCGCCCGCGATTAGGGTTTCATCGGTCGCGTTCCGACTGTTGCGCGGATCGTTCCGACGGTTGATGTGTTAGTGGGAGAGCGGGGAGAGCCGCGAGAGGCGGAATTGACCGTAGGAAGGAGGGAGGGGGGGCGCTGAAATTTAGCGCAAGGGGAGGGGGGGCCGTGACGGCGTAGGGGCGCACTAGGCGCAAAGAGCGACGTAGTGTCGTGTGAGAGAGGGGGGGGCGTGATATAGCACGCGGTATGTACGGTCCTTAGGATCGTAGATGGTGTGAGCCGTAGTTGCTCTGATACCATGTGAGAAAGATGTAAGAAGAACCGATAGTTTCATTAGGAAGGGCATGGGTTTACATAGTAGAGCTAGGATGTAGGAGCCATGCCAACATTATTGGCCCCCACCAATAAGTTGGGTTGAGGAATTATTGGTGGGACCAATAATGTTGACCAAAAATGGGTCAACATTATTGGGGGTCCAATAATCTCCCAACCCAACCTTGGGGGCCCAATAATTGGGTCAAGGTTGGGTTCCAACCTCAAACTAGGGTAAACCCTAGTTGTGCACCCAAACTAAGTTTGGGTGCCTATCTCTAACCGAAGCTTATGTGATGATGCAGGTTACAATGAGGATGATAATCTGACACCCATGTGTGTGTGGTGCTTCGTGTCAGTGCCACTGCTATAGGCGTGTGGTGGATATTCATATGGAGAGTGGTGCTTCGTGTCAGTGCCACTGCTATAGGCGTGTGGTGGATATTCATATGGAGAGTGGTGCTTCGTGTCAGTGCCACTGCTATAGGCGTGTGGTGGATATTCATATGGAGAGTGGTGATTCGTGTCAGGGCCACTGCGTTTGCCCTTAACTTCTGCTTCTTTTCTCCGATTCTGGTTTCCTTGTACGGCAGGTGGGGGAGGTGTTTTCCAAGTGCGGGCTTATCAAAGAGGTCAGAAGAACCCATTGCATCAAGCATTCCCTTTTAAATACGGACCAATCAAGAGGTACGGATAGCACTAAGGGGGTATACGTTACGATTCGGCCGGCTGATTGCCTCCTGCCCATTGCGTCCGTCTCCTTTCTCTGGTCCTGGTTTTTCCTGCTTTTTGTCTACCTTTGTTTGTCAGGATCTGGACACGGGCAAGGCACGGGTGAAGCTGTATCGGGACAAGGCAACGGGCGAGCTCAAGGGGGATGGGCTCATCACATTCCTCAAGGTGAGTGCCAGTTGCATTGGTCAAGGTGAAGCCACGAGTCCAGGACTTGGATTAGAGGACCCTGAAAAGGCGTCACACAGAGGCTTCGGTGCGGGTGAAGCTGTATCCATCAAGAGTCATCGGGATAAGCCGACAGACGAGCTGAAGCATGTATCGTCACGAGGTGAAGGAGGATGTACCCATCAAGACTCATAACCTTCCTCAAGGTCAGTCGATTCATACTCTTCAAGGTGAGTTCCGGTTGCATTGCTCAAGATGATTCTGGTTGCATTCCATTTCTCTCCACTTATATTGGAGTCCCTTTTGATTTCTCAAAGTGGTTTGATTTCGATCAGCATCAGAAAGCCATGAGTCCAGGATTTAAACCTCCCTCTTTCCACTTCCCTCTTTTCCCCTCTCTCCCCCCCATTCTCCCTCTTTCCCACTCCAGCCGCCTTCAGTTGACCTAGCTCTCAAGATTCTGGACGGCACTCCTCTGAGACTAGGAGACAAGCAGCCTATGTCTGTGACTCTGGCCAAGTTCGAGCAGAAAGGTGCATGGTGGTGATGGTAGGGTAGTGAAGGCCGTTGCGAGCTGCAAGGTTCATCCACTCTGTTGCTACCCCACGTTATCTAAAACCTCCCTGCTTTTCCACGTCCCACCAACCGTGTTCCCACCTCACCCACGTCCCTATCTCCCTTGCCATTCCACCGGCCTCGGTCTGCCCCACCAGGCAATGTGTTTGTAAAGAAAGCGAGTGACAAGAACAAGAAGAAGAAACTCAAGAAGCTCGAAGCGAAGGTGCTCGGATGGGGTGAGTTATTACTTTTTTCCCTCCATTACACCACACTTGCTCCTCGGAATCCCCTCCACCCCCATTTCTGAACCACATGAGAGTGCCAGAATTTTCACATGGTCACACGGGTTGATGTGCCTTGTGCCTTCACCACCCCTTTCTCTTGTCTCTTCTCTGCCCCTCCCAGGCGGATCCGACAACGCCAAGCACACCTTGCCCATGACAGTGGCGCTCTTCCGCATGCTCACTCGCGGCGAGGTGGTCAATGACCCCTCCTTGATCTCTGAAGCCCTGTCACCTGACCCTCTTTCTCCCTAACCCTTCCCACCCTTTCAGGCGGATCAGACAATGCGAAGCACACCCTGCCCATGACGGTGGCGCTCTTCCACATGCTCACTCGCGACGAGGTGGTGGTTAATGTTCCTTGTGCGTTTCCCATCCCCCTCTCTTTCACCGATACCCTTTCAGGCGGATCTGACAACGCCAAACACACTCTCCCCATGACGGTTGCTCTCTTCCACATGCTCTCTCGCGACGAGGTGGTGAATGACCCCTTACTGATCTCTGAGGTGGTTAACCACCCCTCACTGGTCTTCCTCTTGTGTTCCCTGATTCCCTTCCCCTCCCCTCCCAGGCGGATCCGACAACGCCAAGCACACCCTGCCCATGACGGTTGCTCTCTTCCACATGCTCACACGCGACGAGGTGGTCAATGACCCCTCACTGCCGGTGGAGCTGGAGGCGGAGGTGCGCGAGGAGTGCGCCAAGATGGGGGTCGTTGAGAGGGTCAAGGTATGTGCTACGATACCACATGCTCACTCGCGACGAGGTGGTCAATGACCCCTCGCTGCCCGTGGAGCTGGAAGCAGAGGTGCGGGAGGAATGCGCCAAGATGGGCGTGGTTGAGCGAGTCAAGGTGAGAAGAAGGTTCAGGATTTGTGGTTTGGGGTTCAGGGTTTGTAGTCAACTAGTAGGTACGTCAGGTATCAGGAGTAACCCACTCACCCACACCCACCCACGAGCTGGAAGCAGAGGTGCGGGAGGAGTGAGCCAAGATGGGGGTGGTGGAGATAGTGAAGGTGAGGCAAGGTTCTGGCCAGCTCAGAAGTCACTTTAGATATCAGCAGCAGTCACAGCCCACCCACCCCGTCCGGCCTTTCGCTGCCGGTGGAGCCGGTAGCTGGGTGTTTTGGAGAATTCTCAAAAACACCCTGCAGCGGGGGTGCAGGAGGGATGTGCCCAGATGGGCATCGCAGAGAGAGGTAAGGTGAGCGGAATGATACTACCAGGTACCAAGGTTTCTGTTTCCCTTCTCTTGAAGGGTGGAACCTCCATCCATCACCAAAACAGGGAGGTTCCTGTTTTACTGTGTCTGTTGGGATAAGGCACCCGTTTCTACTCTGCCTTGCCCACACCGTCCCCTGTTCCCCGCCTCTTCTCCTGATAAACCTCCGTTATCATTGTCCTTGCCTACTCATGTCATCAGGTGTACCCCAATCATCCAGACGGTGTAGTGACAGTGAGGTTCAAGGACAAGGCAGCTGCGTTCAAGTGCATAGAAGTCATGCATGGGCGATGGTGAGTGGGTCCTGAATGGCAATGTTGAGTGGTGAAGAGCGATGGTGAGTGGTGACAGTGAGGTTCAAGGACAAGGCAGCTGCTTTCAAAGTGATGCATAGCCGATGGTGAGTCGTGAGTGGGTGATGGTGAGTTGTGAGTGGGTGTTGGTGAGTCGTGAGTGGGTGATGGTGAGTCGTGAATGGGCGATGATGAGTCATGAATGGCCATTGGTGAGTCATTGTTTGGTTGTTGCATTCTCTGCATATTGTGCTGCATGAGAAATCTCGTGAGCCCTGTGCATGCCTTCCCTTCCCTTTCTAGGTTTGGGGGCCGGCAAATATCAGCGGTTGAAGACAAGGGTTTGGTTAATTGGGGGCTTGTGCGGGACGAGGAGGAAGAGGCAAGGAGGTTGGAGCAGTTCGGGGAGGAGTTGGAGGCAGATGAGAAATAGTGTAGCATACAGTGAAATTAAGTGCTGTAGTGAAGAAGTAAGATTGAGAAATAATAATAATGAAAATAAGGAGGGCGAAGTGGTCGTATGCCCACTTGGTGAGATGTCCATCATCAAGCCACAATGCGTTTGGAGTTGAATTTGAGCCTTCCACAGAAAATGTAGTACATGTGAGCATACTTTCTCCAGTTCAGCTTCACCCTCGTTAGATCTTGTACCGCGTACAATGTGACCACTGACAAATTCAGATTTCGGTCCTCTTACTAGTCTTCGATTTGAAACTGACATGCAGAGAATTCAGCTGCAGGTCTAGACATTTCCGTAGGCAAAAGACGGCTAGCAGGCAACCATGCCGGCCATCACTCGCGCGTCGTTAAACCGCGTGGACGCGGCCGGCGTGTGGTTCGACTGCAACGACGGCTTCGCGCTCCGCGTGACCCCCGTCGCGCGCAACCTCTTCCGCGTGCTCTTCCTCCGCCCCAGCGGCCTCCGCGAGCCGCGCACATGGTCCGTCTGCTGCGGCCGCACGGACGCGGAATTCGCATCTGTATCGGTGCCATCTGCATCTGTAGCGGCGCAATCCGCAGCGGAATCTCCTTCCGCAGCAGTAGCAGCTGGTGCAGGGGTAGCAGGCGCAGCAGCGCCAGGCGCACCACGCGCGTTTCAAGTGCCGTTCACAGGCGATCTCCCGCAAAGCCCGCTGCTGCCATCACCGCACGATCCCCCGTGGGAGGGTTACGACCGCCTGAACATCCCCTTCGCGCCCATAGATTTCTCCGTAGAAGAAACTACAGTGACGCTGACAGAACAGGGCACTCTACCGCAATCAGGGAGCACTATAACGGAGGCTACAGCGGCCCAAGCTCCTGCCGTGACCATCCGCTCGTCGCAGCTGATCCTGACCGTCCGTTTGGAGCCGTTTCATCTCTCGTGGGCCGTTCCGAGCAGCACCGCATCTGCAGCCGCGACCCGGCTTCTACCGGGGACAAAAACGGTCGAAAACAGTCGCCCTGTCGTTTTCGCAGAGGACAGGGAGAGCTGCCCGTATCGCTTTTCTGACCGTTCCTTCGCGTTTGAACACGCCATGAAACGATGCCCGCCCTCCCCTGCCAATGCAGATGCCGCTTCCACTGCTGCTGATGCCACTGATGCTGCCACTGCTGATGCTGATGCTGATGTTGCTGCCACAGCAGCAGCAGCAGGAGGCGATTTTTACTTCGGTCTGGGCGACAAGACAGGTCCTCTCAACCTCCACTCGCGCCGCCTCGCTATAGGCATGCGCGACGCGCTCGGCTTCGACCCGTTACAAGGCGATCCCCTTTATAAGCACTGGCCGCTGCTGCTGACGCGCGACGGGCGCACGCGCGTGTGCTACGGCCAGCTGTACGACAGCCTGGCAGATGGTGCTGACGTGGACTTGGGGTGTGAGAACAGCAATTATTACGGGCCGTACCGGGTGTGGATGGGGAGGGACGGGGATTTGGATATGTATATGGGTGTGGGACGGGGGGTGAAAGAGGTGATAGGGACCTTCTCTAGGCTAATGACTGGTGGGGTGAGAGAGAAGGGTGGGGAAAGAGGGGATGGGGGTGGGGAAGGGGAGGCAGAAGAGAGGGGTAACAACGAATGCAAGCAGCAGCCGTCACTGCCACTATCAACGTCAACATCAGCACCACCAGCATTGCCATCACCACCACCACTGCCACGAGCCGTAGGGCCTGCTCTGATACCACGGTGGACCCTGGGCCTCCATCTCACCGCCATGCCGCTAGCCGACGCTCCAGATGCGCAGGCGCGCATCTCCCGGTTCATCTCAGCCGCCCGTTCCACCCACATGCCGGTCAGCGCGTTTCACTTTGGTTCGGGTTACACCATGATCGGCAAGCGGAGGTACGTTTTCCACTGGAACTTAGCTAAGTTCCCGGATCCGCAGGGGCTTGTGGCGGAGATGAGGGCGGCTGGGATGCGGGTGGTAGCAAATGTAAAGCCTTGTATGCTGGTGGACCATCCGAGGTATGCGGAGGTGGGTGGGAAACATGGGTTTGTTTTCTTGAGTGAGGATGCAGCGGCAGGAGATGCAGATGGAGTAAAGGAGACAGGAGGAGCAGGGACAGGAGGAGCAGGGACAGGAGGAGCAGGAACAGGAGTGAATGTGGCAGGAGGAGGGGCTGGAGGAGGGGCAGGAGTAGGGGGAGGGGGAGGGGGAGCAGGAGCAGCAGGGACAGAGGAGGAAGCGGAGTCTTTTCCAAAGCCAAGTGCAGCAGAGCCGCCAGCAACAGCTGAATCTAGACCGCCGGCTATAAGCCAGTTCTGGGACGGGCTGGGAGCTCATCTAGACTTCACCAACCCAGCCACCATAGCCTGGTGGCAGGCCAACATGCAGCGAGCGCTGCTAGATGTTGGTATAGAGACCGCGTGGAATGACAATAACGAGTATGAGATCTGGGAGGAGGATGCACGCAGTCACATGTTCGGGTGGCCCGAGCCTCTGTTTCTGCATCGGCCGATCCACGCGCTGATGATGACCCGCGCCTCGTTCGAGCAGCAGGTTCGGGCCGAGCCTGGCCGGCGACCCTACTCGGTTACCAGAGCTGGGGGATTCGGCATTCAGAGATACGCACAGACCTGGTCTGGGGATAATTCCACTAGCTGGAAATCACTCAGGTACGGAGATCATTAACATTTCTGTTAGTCTGATGCAGTTTGGCATTCAAGTATCAATAAGTATGAACCTTCATGCGTGGTTCTTGTAATCACTACCATCCGTTGTTGGCTTCTTCCATATTCCCTTGTTTTGCAATGGGGTTATCTAGGCCTCTTCAACTGCGGTCGCAACATCCGTGGGCTTCGCTTGTCTCACCCTGCCCCCTCATCCCACCTGCCTTCCCCCCTCTCTTTAATATTTGTGGATATCCAGGTGGAACCTCCGCCTAGGCCTCTGCCTCTCCCTCTCCGGCCTCTTCAACTGCGGCCATGACGTCGGCGGCTTTTCCGGACCTCCTCCCGAGCCTGAGCTCCTGGTTCGGTGGGTCCAAGCCGGCCTGCTGCACCCGCGATTCCTCATGAACAGCTGGAAGCCCGACGGAACCATCACCTGCCCTTGGATGTACCCCGAATCGATCCCAGCCGTCCGTTGGTCCGTGCGGCTGAGATACCGCCTCATCCCCTACCTCTACTCTCTCTCCTTCCGAGCTTCTTTTTTCCACGAGCCGATGATCCGCCCGACTTTTTATGATTTTCCTGAGGATGACCGATGCTGGAGGGATGGGGATGAGCTTATGGTGGGACCCATGCTGCTTGCAGCCCCAGTGGTCGAACGCGGGGCACGCCAGAGAAAAGTTTATTTGCCCGGAGGGCAACCGGGCAAGAAAAATACAGCATGTTTCTCTGAAGCCGAGGGGCTGATGGCTGGTTCAACCCCGGCCCCGTGTTCGGGCTGGTTTGATTTTTACTCGGAGGAGTTTTTCCTTTCCGGGCAGGTTGTGACAGTGGCGGCTCCGCTTGACCGAGTGCCGTTGTTTGTTCGGGCAGGTGGGATAGTGGTGATGACTGAAAGTACGGTGGATTTCAGTAGGTTGCATGATGAGGGGTCTAGGGTTCTCAGGGTGTTCCCTCCCCCTGTGGGTCCTCCTGCTAGTGCTGCTGGTGGTGGTGCTGGTGGTGGCGCTGGTGGTGGTGGTGGTGCTGCTGCTGCTGCTGCTGCCCCCGGTGCTGGCACAGCTGCTGGAGCTGGAGCATCTGGTGAAGGTGGTGGGGAGAGCCAGTGCGTCTTGTACGAGGATGACGGGGAGACTCTTAAAGGGGATAGAGCAGAGGTGCATGTGTGCATGCAGTGGGATGCACAGAAGGTGGTGGTGACTGTAACGATCGTGCATGTACAGGGGGGGAGTGGGGGAGAGAGTGGTATGGGCAGCAGAGAGGAGAGCAGCAGAGGGGAGAGCAGCAGAGGGGAGAGCAGCAGAGGAGGGGAGAGCAGCAGAGGAGGGGAGAGCAGCAGAGGAGGGGAGAGCAGCAGAGGAGGCGGGTACAGAGTCCCCTGGGAGACTCTCAAGGTGGCTTTACCAGCTGCAGATACACGTGAGCTGGTGATTCAGTGGGGGGATGGAGGGGGAGGAAGCGAGGTGGTGAATGATAAAGGGCAGGTGGTTGCAGTGGAGAAGGGGGAGTTTGTCTGGCACTTGCTATAACACAGTGGTGGTGGGGTGGCCAAAGTGTTGATTACTTTTATGTGCTGACCAGCTTGCCTGTAGAATACCGTAGTTGCTACAAACGGTAAATGAATCAAGTGTACCTTACTACACCCAACTATGAGTTTGTCACTGCACTCCAAGAGTTTATGGCTGCTTCATGCTCCCACATGTAAATTATACAGTAATGCCAAACCACAGTACCAGTAGCTCAATTGATGTACAATAAACAAGCTTCGTTAAAAGGAAATAGAGATGACAAAAACACCCTACCCAAGTCTTCTTCCTCACACCCCTCTCCTCTTCCCTCAGCTCCTATGCCTGCTGCCGTATCTATCTTCTCCTCGTCCTTCTGCTCACCCGCTCCACCTCTCTCACTCGCCCTGCCCGAACCGGCCTCACATCCCTTTCTTCCTCCTCCTCTACCTCTTCTCCCTCTTCCTCCTCTTCCTCCTCTCCCTCTTCTCTCTCCTCTCCCTCCTCTTCTCCCTCTTCCTCCTCTCCCTCCTCTCCCTCCTCTTCCTCCTCTTCCTCCTCTTCTTCCATCACTCGTCCTCTCACTTTCCTCTTCTCTCTTGCTCTCTTTTGTATGGCCCCGTTCCCCCTACTCCTCCCCCTCCGCTCCTCCTCTTCCTTGCCTCCCCCTTCTCCCCCCTCTATCCCTCTCTCTCCGTCTCCAATATCCTCCTCCTCCTCCCTCTCCTCTTCCCTCTCCTCCTCTCCCACTATCCGCTTTCCTGCCCGCCTCCTCCTATCTGCGCCCCCCCCTCGTCCAGCCGCTTGGGATTGGCTGGGTGGTGCAGGTTCGTCCGCCCTGGAAGGCCAGGGCGCATCGCATTGGGGGCACTTGGGATTCTGATGGGGAGAGAGGGAAGGAAGAGGGGCGTGGGGAGAGAGAGAAAGAGAGAGATGGGTGCGGGGAGAAGTAGGGGAGTTTTGGGGTGTATCCTCCTATCTGTTCCTCCTCTGCCAGCTGCTTGGGTCTGGCTGGGTGGTGCATGCTCGTTCTCACTGGAAGGCCAGGGCGAGTCACACTGGGGGCACTTGGGATTCTGGTGGGAAGAGGAGTGGGAAGGAACAGAAGATCAATGGGCAGAGGAGTGGAAAAGCGAATGGGGAGAAAAAAGAGGCAGGTTCTGAGAAATAACCGACCCACTCGGCTGACTTTTGAGTCGACTCAAAAGTCAGAAGGGGAGAAGATGAGGCAGGTTCTGAGAAATAACCGACCCACTCGGCTTCACTGAAAGCAAACAGCACTGGGGGCACTCATATCAATTCATTCTATCCAATGACACCCCGTTGACTTGCGTTGACCCACCTTGACTCGATGGAACTTGGCGGGCATGCAGTACTGGTGCAGGTGGTATTCACAGCCCGGGGACACACAGCACACAGCCTGGAGCGAGGGAAAGTAAGATGAAAGAGACCAAAACGGATTGAAGTGAAGATAGTAATGGTGCAGAGCAGTGCTTCAGAGATATTTTTTAGGCGCCTCAATCAAAACCACTTTTGCAATCACACAAAAAAGATGGCAGCACTACTTACACTCAGACTCACTTTCACAGCAGCATCGTGGCACACATCGCGCACCACCACCCCTTCTACGCTCTTCAGATACTGCTGTAGATCACACTCACCCCCAGCCACACACTTTCATGCCCCCTGCTACAGTTGCTATTGCCTTCCCATCCCACACCACTCACCTTCACACCAGCGTCGTGACACCGCCACCCCCACACTCCCTTCAACCCCACACTCCCTTGCACCGCCACCCCTTCAATGCTCATCAGATACTGCTGCAGTTACTATGGAGGCACCTTGTGTGATGATTCGATTAAAAAATCGACTCATCACGTTCGGATAGTGCTGCAGCTATTATGGAGTCACCTTGAATCCTCAGAAGTCACTCTTTTTCATAGCAGCATCATGACACACGTCACATACCACCGCCTCTTCAATGCTCTTTCAAGGAGTCAAGCTGAGCACCCCAATCCAAGACACAGTCACAGGAACACTTCAGCATTCCAGCATTACTCACCTTCACAGCAGCATCATGGCACACGTCGCACACCACCCCCCCTTCAATGCTCTTCAGATACTGCTGTAGCTCACACTCAATCCCGTTTTTGAGGCGCAAAAGTAGACGCACTCAACCCCCCAGAACCACACTCCCTTGGACTCCCCTCCTCCTGCCACTGTTACTAATGCCATCCCCATGACAAAACACTCACCTTCACAGCAGCATCATGGCACACGTCGCACACCACCACCCCTTCTATGCTCTTCAGATACTGCTGTAGCTCCAAATACGTTCTCACGCCCAGACCCACACTCCCTTGCACCCCCCTCCTCCCACCACCACTACCGCTACCACCGCCGCCACCGCTGCTGCTGCCGCCGCCACTACTGCCATCTCTTGAATCACTCGAGACGCTGAGCCAATGGTTGTCCGCCAGGTCAGCGATCAGTCGCTCTTTGTCAGTTAGTGAGAGGGTGTGTGTGCGGGCGGCAGGCGGGGAGAGGGGAGGTTGCGAGGACGATGGGGAGAGGGGGTCTTGAGTTGGGTTGGGCTGTATGGGTGGGGAGAGGGATTGGGCAAATCGTGGGGAAGAAACGGGAACGGGAAGAGAAGAGGTGGAAAAGGGTGGGAAGTTAATTAAGAAAAGGGACGTGATCCATGGTCCAGGAGTAAGTGGTGTGCAGAGCATGAGGGAGGGGGGATGGGAGGCAGTGTTTGAGACAGAAGAGAAGGGAGAGGGATGCAGGGGAGGGGAAAGGAGCGAAGGTGGCCTTGTGACACTGCGAGGGGTGCACCAGCAGGGACACCATGTGCAGTTCGGAAGAAAGCGAGGGTAGGTACACTGCGGTAGAGGGGAGTGGGAGAGGGGAGTGGGAGAGGGGATACCTGGGAGGAACTGGGGGCAGGGGTGAGGTGCAGCGCTGCGATGCTGGAGATGCATCCTGAGCCGTTGGATGCGGTTACCACGTGCTCCACCAGGCATTTGAAGTACTGGATCTCCTCGTGGCTGTACGTCGTGCCCAGCTTGCCCTGGCTGTCTGCCGCCCGGTTGACCACTCCGTACCAAAGCCCGCCGTCCGCCTGGTCGGCTGCCGCCCGCAGCTCCAGCTGCAGCAGCGACAGGGCGGCGTTGATTCGACCGATGGATGTTAAAAAGTCCTCCTGGGGTGTGGGATGCGTGAAGGGGATGTGTGGGGAGGAGGGGAGAGTATGGTATGGTGCGAGAGCCAGTGAAGGGGGTTATGACAGCTGCAGCTGCGAGAGGGCGGCGCTGATTCGCGCGATGGAGGTGAGAAAATCCTCCTGGAGGGTGGGAGGGGGAGAAGGGGAGAGATCGGTACGGTATGGAATGGTATGGTATGGATAGGTAGGGAGGCCGTACAAGGGGGTACAAGAACTGCAGCAACGAGAGGGCGGCGTTGATTCGACCGATGGAGGTAAGAAAATCCTCCTGGGTGGTGGGATGTTTGAAGAGAGCGGGGAAGAGGAGGGAGGGGGAGAGAGGGGGGGGGGGAGAGAGGGAGGGGGGAGAGAGGAAGAGGGGGAGAGAGGAAGTGGGGGAGAGAGTGGGAGAGGGGTGGTATGGGATCCAGGAGAAGGGGGTTGGAGATGCAGTAGCGAACGGGCGGCGTTCATTCCCCCGAAAATCAGCTGTGCGGAAAATCACCTGCCTGCGAGTCGCCGGCGACGGAGGCCCAGATGTCGCGATGGAGCTTCTTCGCATGAGCCTCCTTGGCGGGCCCGCGACTCATGAGCGACTGCACCAGAGCGTGGTGGCGAGCTTCGAGAACCATTGCGACGGAATGCGGCGAGATGCGACGGGATGCGACGAATGCGACACGGTCATGCGACGGACGTGGTTCAATGCGAGAAAGTATACTAATCCTTAGCCTGACGGAGGTGAGAGGGTGCTCGACTCATCGGGTGACTGACAGGGCGTGGTAAAGCGAGCTCCTTGCGCGCCACTTTTTGCACCATGGCATGGCGACGCGATGCGACACTAGGCGACGGGATGCGACGCGGGACGGCGACGAAACCCAGGAGTTCCCGAAGCAAAATTTCCTGAGAATTCGCAGCACAAAAGCTCAAAATCAAAATTTCAAAACTGAATTCGCTAGAGGGTACGCGTCCTACGTGTAGGTCAGAGACTGTAGAAAACAAATATTCTCTACACGCTAAGGTATGGAGCTGTAGATTCAGTATCTTACACTCACAGCGTCATTTCACATCACATCTTGAAGGTGAATGCATTCGGGTAAAGTATCCTGACTTGCTCCCACATGAAGCATACAAAAAAATGATGAAAATCTAAATCGTTGTTGTGCAACCAACCCGCATCCAGTCCAGTCACTTGAGCGAAGCGTAAATATTGTTGACAGCTTGTGAAAGCTCCTTCACTCGCTTTTCAATGCTGCTCCGGTGCTTGTCGTGTAGCCGTAACCCCCACTTCTGCATAAACTTGTCTGCATTCCAGAGAACAAAGCGATAGGGGGACACAAAATTATTTAATAATGTATTCCTGTATGTGTCATAACCAATGGCATGTACGAAGGTGCCATCAAAACAAAGAATGCACAAACCAATAAGAGCACGAAACCGACCAATCAGAGCACGACACATACCAGGGTGCCATCGCACCACCTCCTCCCTCATCCTCTTCCGGTGCTGCTCCTTTGGCACGCCATGCAGAATCACATGCTTCAGCTCCTCCTCTCCCCCACCCACCACAGGGAACGGCACATCAGCCATGGTGATACCCATGTCGCATGACTTGGCAAATCTCTTCCATCTCTCATCGTAATCCTCTTGCTTCTGTACCACCTTCTTTTTCTGTACTTGCTCCTTGATCGCTGCTCTCCAGGCCTTATCCTTGGCCTGTTCTGCTTCCAGAACCTTCCTTGCTTCTTCCTCCCGTACCTTCCTCTCCTCCTCCCACCGTCTTCTCTTGTCCTCTTTCTCCTCCTGCTTCGCTCCAAAAACTGCCGCCCGGTGGCTCTCCTCGTCCCTCCTCATCCTATTCTTCATCTGAGCTGCCACGTCATCCTTCCAAGCATCATCAGCTCCCCATGGCCCGGCACCAAACCTGTCGGATTGGGACCCGAACCTGTGATACCGAGCCTCAGCAGCTGCTGCCTCTGCATTCTCCTCGGGATCTCCCCACAATGCAGGATTGTTTGAACCATTACCATAACCACCACCACCACCACCACCACCACCAAAGCACCCTTCATTGTCACTCCCCTCACCCCACAGGCTCCCAGCTTTTTCCAAAGCTGCTTCCGCAGTTCGGCGCCGCAAATCCATCAGCCTGCGCTGTACCAGAGCCTCGGGAGTCTCCCCAGCCAAATTCCGAGCCTGCATGTCAGCTCCGGCCCCTCTCAGCAGCTGGATAACCGAGGCATGGCCCATCCTAGCTGCCACGTGGACAGGCGTATTCCCTCTGTTATCCTGCACTGATACCAAATTGAACCCTTCCTTTTGGTCCTTGCTTGACCTTTTTGAGTGTCTACTAGACTTCTTGTCAGGATGACATACCTCCTTATTCTTGGCGAGTTTAAGGAGGTATTTGACGAGATCAGCTGAGCCTGAGTGGGCCGCGTGGTGGAGAGGGGTCCATCCCTGGGCGTCTGTACTACTCAGATCAACACGAAGCTTTTTGGAAGATGACCGTTTCTCCCTCTGTTTCCTATGACTGCTATGTGAGGTTTTACTCTTCCTGTGCTTGTCCTTGCGCCTGCTGCGCTTGTCCTCCCGTTCCTCCTGTTTATCCCGTTTCTCCCGTTTCTCGTACCCCCTTCCCTCCCTCTTATCTCGCCGCTTTCCATTGTGCTCATAACGAGGGGAGGAGGAACGACCTTTTTTATTGTGACTCTTCTTCCCCTGCTCTTCATCCTCCTCACCCCCCTCCTCCTTCTCCTTCCTTCGCCTCGTCCTCCTCGCTGCTGCTCTGCGCTCAGTCTCACTCGAGTCTGAATCTGAACTCAATTCTGACTCTGGATGTACACTCGAATCTGAACTTGATTCCGAATCGGAATCCGAATCCGAATCAGAATCTGATGACCTATCCCGGCGTTTCCTCCTCTTTGACCTCGTCTCGCCTCTTATCTTCCCGTCACCTTTCCTTCTTCTCTTCCTTTTGCTGAAGCTGCTGCTCCTACTCCCGGAAGTGCTATTATCCCTTTCGATAGAATCACAATCGTCACTATGACTTCGCCTCCTCGATCTTCCTCGATTCAACGACCCCTCTTCCTTACGTCTCTTGCGATCCCTCTGGTCCTTTTTCCGTTCGTCTGACTCGGATGAAGCAGCGTCTGAGCTGGACGAATCCCACCGTCCAGACGAGTCCGAATCCGACGGTTCAGATGCGTCCGACGCCGATGATCGTCCCGCCGACCCTTTCAAGAGGGCTTTAATCTTCTTTAAAGACCCCTGCGCGGAGTACTCAATCAGCTTCCGGCGAATTCTAGCGCTGCTCATGCCAGTCTACTGTCTGACGATACGGAGAGGTGTAGCGCCGCCGGGAAACGATTGTCGAGGCACCTAGAGAATGCCGAGGCAGGAAAGGGGAGCAGTGCAGCTGACAGCTGAAGCTGCTTGACAACGCACGCTACGCGGAAATTTTCTCAGATTCTGCGACCAAAAAACAGTATCGGAAAGCCGGAAAGCAGCTGAGAAACTACAGCTTCGCAACCTGATTTTGAAGGTCTACTCTGGACCATACTAAATGAACTCGTCAACTCAGCCAGCCATGCTCAGCAGGAAGCAGGAAGCAGGAAGCAGGAAGAAATGGTAATGAGGCCGCACGCCGAAACACATACAGGCACGCTACCGTATCGCACCCACGCGTAATCTTGCTGGACATTGAGGAGTCGAACCCAAACTCTCGCAACAGCAACAGGCAAACCAGCTTGAACTTTCTCTACTTTGACCGACTCGCTACACGATAAGAGCGCAGTGTACTGTCAATGACTTGGATTTGCTTTATTACTACGACATCCAATTGCCCACCCTAACCTGCAATAGCGTTCAGTTCATATTGCTAGAAGTGGACCTCCCAGCTACTAAAAATACTGGGTACAAATTGCTTGTGCGCCTACAATCGTGAATTGTTTTGCCATCACAGTCTACAGTGCCATTATAGAAGGTCGTTTTGGCCAGGGTCACAAATATAGACCAGACACTCGTGCCGAGGACGAAGTTGATGCACTTTGAGAGGCGGGGGAGGAGGTTTTGGTGGGAGGTGGAGGGGAAGCAGACGCTCGTTCTGGCTGCTGCATCACTGATTGCAGCCCCCCTCCCTCCCATCCCAGCCTCAGCATCTGATCCACCATCTTCACACTTAGCTGAAAGACGCAAGTGGTGCGGGTTGGGGGATGGTAAGGATAAAATATTAGGATGCTCGATTAGTGGGCTATGTGCTATGCAACAGGGTGGAGCGGAAGGTTACATAAAGTAAAGCATCGCCGAGACAACAGAGGATATTGATATGGCTACAATAAAACCACCACCAGGAAGGCGGCATAAATAAACACTTACAATTGGGTTACTGTAGAGAATGAGGTGGCCGGGGGAGAGAACGACAGAAGCAGAGCAGATGAGGTTGGTGTTGTCTGCTGACAGGGCCAATGATGTCACATCGCTGCTCTCAGGCAGCTTGAAGCGATACAGAGCCTGCTTGTAAGGGGGATGGAATGGATATAAGGAAGAGAGGTGATGGTCAGCAGCGCAGAGCAGATGAGGTTGGTGTTGTCTGCTTATAGGGCCAGGGCTGTCACATCGCTGCTCTCTAGCAGCTTGAAGCGATACAGAGCCTGCTTGTAAGGGGGATGGAATGGAATGGAGTAGAGGAGGAAGAGAAATGGTGGTCGGGAGACACAGGCAGTGCTGCTAGCACCTTGTTGCACTGGTACAGAGCATGCATATACAGGGGACATGCAGGCGATTTCTATGAAAGGTGAAGTACATTACCGGTGTGCAACAATAGAGGTGCATCAATTGCAGCACAAAGCACTTATCCACACGCATTCGAGGCCTGTATCTAAGTCTTGAGCCAACTTGCAGAACATTCGAGGACTGTACCTTGAAAGGGCTTTTGAGGAGACTCAACGCATTCAAAATCCGTACGTACCTTGAGAGTGAAGATTTCAAGGAGTGAAATAGCCGACCCTCTCTCCCGCTTGGACCCTCCTTCATCCGAATCCCTCCAGTTCGGCAACCCCTCCTCCTCAAACGCCTCCCTCCCATCCCCCCCTCTCCCCACCCCCTCTCCCTCCTCTCTCCCTCCTTCAGCTCGGCTCTTCCCACTCTTCCCGCTCTTCTCCTCCCCACCGACCTTCCTCACTCCCACGCTCTTACCCACCACCACTGCAGCCCTCTGCCTCTCCCTCTCTCTCTCCTTCTCCCTCGTGTATCTCCACCTAGTGCAATCCGTCCCCACCACCACATACAACCCATCTGCAGAGATCTGCACCGCACTCACATCCCCATCCTCCTCCGGAACCCCCACAGCCGCCACCGGCTCAGCATTAATCGTAAAAACTCTTAGCGCGCGCTTAGCTAATTCCCACACCACCACCAGCCCCTCGGGGGAAATCGCGAGCACGTCTGCCCGGGCGACCCCGGGCAGGGCGCGGAGAAACTTTCCGCGCATAATCGAGTGCAGAAGAACACCTGAGGAGAGCGAAGACGAGGCGGCAATATCTAGGTCTGAGGAAACGGCACAGCATACCACCTCATCTGTATGCCCTCTCAGCACATGCACGGGACCCTCTAGTCTCCTCAGCTTTTTCTTGACTTGCTCTATAGACGCTCGGCCGGCAGCGAGACTAGAAGCAGCGAGCCCAGATAACATCCTACCAGCGAGAGTAGAGCCAGCAGGAGAATCGCTGCTGCGGCTACCTCGCCTCCTCCGCTCCTCCTTCTCCCTCTCCTCTTCCTCTTCCTCCTCGTCCTCCTCCCTCCTACTCGCTGCTTCAGGCGACGACACAAGGCCGGGATCATGCGGCCCTCCAGTGAACCCCTGAGAAGAAACGGTGCTGTCTGGCGTCCCCAGCATGCTGGCAGCGAGGCTCGAAGCAGCAGCAGCAAGCGAAGCCGAGCTGTTCACATGCCACAGCATCACCGTCCCGTCCGCTGCTCCTGTAACCAGCGTCGCCCCTTCAGGGGATAGGCTCAGGGAGGTCACAGGAGCGGTATGCACCAGTGCTGATTCAACCACGCGGGTGGTATCCACTGAGATTAGCTTCACACAACAGTCCGCATGGCCTCCCGTGATCAGATTCTTGCCATCCGGCGTGATTGCCATGAGCTCTTTCGGGCGGCGGATGCCCCTCGCAGGGAGAGCCAGCAGCCGCGGGTAAATCGACGTCTCCGAGACCATCCCTCCTCCTCCTCCTCCTCCTCCCCCTCCTGCTCCTGCTCCCCCTGCTCCTCCTCCTCCTACTCCCCCTCCTCCCGAACCAGCTCCCCCCAACCCTCCGCCTGTCCCAACCGAACCTCCGAAACCGCTTCCCCCTATTCCCATACCTAGTCCGGCCACTATGCCGCCCGCGCCAAACCCCGGGGCGGAGCTTTTCAGCATGCGGAGGAGTGCGCCGCCCGAAAGCGACGCCCGCCCGGGCTGGAACAGAAAAGGCCAACCGTGGCCGTCCGGCGTGTTGGGCTGCCATTGGTGGACGGCGATGTGACAGGCTGGCACGTTGTGATCGACGGTGATGATTGCGTCTGACGTGGCGTGCAGCCGGGCGGCCGGCACATTGAGGGTCTCGGGGCGGGGCAGCACGTAGGGGAGAATCTCGTTGGGCTTGCGGAATATGGTCTGGGGGGGGGACGGGGGGTGGAGGGGAAGAAGTGGGGGAAGAAGTGGGGGAAGAAGTGGGGGAAGAAGTGGGGGAAGAAGTGGGGGAAGAAGGGGCAGTTGGAAGTGGGGATGGGAGGGAGCAAGGGCACGTTGAGGGCCTCGGGGCAGGGGAGCACGTAGGGGAGAATCTCGTTGGGCTTGCGGAATATGGTCTGGGGGGGGGGAAAGGAGGCGGGGGTAAGGGAGTGGAAAGGAGAGGAAGGGTGGGGTGTAAGAGCATGAGGGAGCAAGGATAAGGGAGAAACCTGTATGTGTAAACAAAAGCTTGAGCAAGTCACTCCCACTGAGCCACATACATGCGGGTAAAGAGCTCGGCCAGAGGATAACTGTAAAAAACAGTTGAAGACAGCCAGTTATACTGTTACATGTATGAGTCAAAAGTGGATGGACTCAAAATTTGAGCCACGTACATGCAGGTGTAGGGCTTGGTCGAGAGGGATGCGCTTGGGGTGAGGAGCGGTGAAGAGGTGTGAGGGCGTTTGGCCGAAGTACTTGATCTGATCCTGCAGGCCCTGCCGAGTGACCTGGGGCATTGCGGAACGACAGAGACAAGCAGTGAGGATGAGAGGACTTCGTTAAAAAAAAAAAAAAAAACAGCAACAACGACAGCAGCAGCAACAGCAACAGCAACAGCAACAGCATCAGCAACAGCAACAGCATCAGCATCAGCATCAACATCAGCAACAGCAACAGCAACATCAACAGCAACAGCAACAACTAAACTAAACAAAATTAAACCAAAAGCGCAAATAAACACAGCCTCGCATACAAGAGCACGATGTGACCTTTCACTCACAGGGTCGTGAACCGAGTCAATATCAACAGCGCCCTCGTAGGTCACATAGAAGAACACGTTGTGCGCCTTCACTGCCTCTTGCCCTGTCTGCTTGTACCTGCATGGTGGGTGGGAAGAGAAGAAGAGGATGATGGGAGGAGCAAGATGGTGGGATAGAGATCGAGCTGGGGGGTGAGCTGAGCTGAGCTAGAGTCAAGGACACGTTTTGCGCCTTCACTGCCTCTTGCCCCATCTGCTTGTACCTACATGGTGGGAACGAAGGGGAGGGAGGAGGAGGAATTCTCCTTTCGAGTCGACTCAAAGGTAGTGAGACAGAAATGGAGTCCCTTGTGCAGGGTGAGGTAGAACGAACAGACCCTTGTGCAGGGTGAGGTAGAACGAACAGACCCTTGTGCAGGGTGAGGTAGAACGAACAGCCCCTTGTGCAGGGTGAGGTAGAACGAACAGCCCCTTGTGCAGGGTGAGGTAGAACGAACAGCCCCTTGTGCAGGGTGAGGTAGAACGAACAGCCCCTTGTGCAGGGTGAGGTAGAACGAACAGCCCCTTGTGCAGGGTGAGGTAGAACGAACAGCCCCTTGTGCAGGGTGAGGTAGAACGAACAGCCCCTTGTGCAGGGTGAGGTAGAACGAACAGCCCCTTGTGCAGGGTGAGGTAGAACGAACAGCCCCTTGTGCAGGGTGAGGTAGAACGAACAGCCCCTTGTGCAGGGTGAGGTAGAACGAACAGCCCCTTGTGCGCCCTCACTGCCTCTGAAGCGGAGGGAGGAGGAGGGATCAGGATCATGAGAGCGATGGAGCTGGGGTGAGCTGGGCGGAGGGATGAGGAGCTGGAGTGATGAACAGCCCCTTGTGCGCCCTCACTGCCTCTCTCTGGCCCTGTCTGTATGAAACGCACAGTGGAAAGGTAACCGTATAAGATCTATTTCGCTCCGAGCCCTGAAATTAAGACGGTTGACCAAACAGAGATGTGGTTCAGGAGTTCAGATACCAACGGCAACCTGATCCAACGGTGCACATTGCACATACCCGAAGATGAGGTCGATCCAATGGTGCAGGTTGCTGCTGACGTATTCGCTCTCCAGTGCCGCCCGCTGCTTGTGCACAAAATCAACCGAGCTGTCAGCCCAGGGCGGCAGCACCACATCCCCGATCTCCTCCCCTTGCTGTGTTGAGCCTAAAGGGATCCCGTTGACGTTCTGAAACATCTCTGGCAGGCAGAACCACTCGGGGATCTGCCAACGGAAGAAAAAAGGAGGAGAGGGTTGGGATGGGTGGAGAGGGAGGGAGAGGCAAGGCAGCACAACAAGGGGGCCACAAGGGAGCCACAAGGGAGCCACAAGGGAGCCACAAGGGAGCCACAAGGGAGCCACAAGGGAGCCACAAGGGAGCCACAAGGGAGCCACAAGGGAGCCACAAGGGAGCCACAAGGGAGCCACAAGGGAGCCACAAGGGAGCCATAAGGGAGCCACAAGGGAGCCACAAGGGAGCCACAAGGGAGCCACAAGGGAGCCACAAGGGAGCCACAAGGGAGCCACAAGGGAGCCACAAGGGAGCCACAAGGGAGCCACAAGGGAGCCACAAGGGAGCCACAAGGGAGCCACAAGGGAGCCACAAGGGAGCCACAAGGGAGCCACAAGGGAGCCACAAGGGAGCCACAAGGGAGCCACAAGGGAGCCACAAGGGAGCCACAAGGGAGCCACAAGGGAGCCACAAGGGAGCCACAACAAGGGGGCCACAAGGGAGCCACAAGGGAGCCACAAGGGAGCCACAAGGGAGCCACAAGGGGGCCACAAGGGAGCCACAAGGGGGCCACAAGGGAGCCACAAGGGGGCCACAAGGGAGCCACAAGGGAGCAAGGCTGTTGACGTTGTGAAACATCTCCTCCCCCCCTGCTGTGGCAGCCCAGGGGGGGCAGCACCACGACAGTGCAGGGCAGGGCAACAGCGCAGGAGGGGGTGGGAATGGGTGGAGAGGGAGGGGGCAAAGTCAACACATCCCTGCCCACTGCCCACGGCCCACACATCTCTCATCTCAACCGCCTCACTCACCAGTCACGCCCCTGTCCCCCCTCGCACCAGCTCCTTCACATCAGCCATGTCGGTGGTCACCCCCTCCCACGTGCTCGCCACGTCTCGAAAGAGCCGGTCGGGATGGTCCAGCCTCCCTCACTGCCCTCCCTCACTGCCCTCCCTCACTGCTCTCCCTCACTGCCCACTGCCCACACAGCTCTCAGTCACCGCTCCTCTGTCATCCCTTCCCCCCCCCTCTTTTCTCTCACCAGCTCCTTCACATCGGCCATGTCGGTCGTAACCCCCCTCCACGTGCTCGCCACATCCCTGAATAGCCGGTCGGGGTGGTCCAGTTTGCCGCCCTGGAGAGATACAGCGAGAGAGGTGAAGGGCTCCAGACGCACCAGATAGTGGGAGGCCTGGGGTGGTGGGGGCGGAAGGGGGGAGGGGGGATTGGAGTGGTGGGGAGGTGGCAAGGGAAGGTGGAAGCATGTGGCATGTAGTAGGTAGGAGTCCCGAAAGAGCCGGTCAGGATGGTCTAGTTTGCCGCCTTGCAGGGAGACAGCGAGGGAGGTGAAGGGCTCTAAACGAACGAGATAGTGGGAGGCCTGTGGGGAGGGCGGGGAGCACATGCAGGCAAAGGTGACTCTTCCCTCCAGCCGCCTCGAAAGGAACCGGCCGGGATAGTCCAGCTTTTTGCCTTGCATGGCGACAGCGAGGGATGCGAAGGGCTCTAGGCGCAAGAGATGGTGGGAGGCCTGGTGTGGTGGTGGGTGGGGGGGGGAGCGAAGGGAGGGGATTGTGGTGTGGAGTGAGCGAAGGGGGGGGAGCGAAGGGGGGGGGGGCGAAGGGGGGGGATTGTGGTGTGGAGTTAGAGAAAAAAAGGTTGTGTTTGGTCCTTTGAACGAGCCGGCGCTTTTCAAGAGTCGCGTGCTTAGAGAGTTACTTATAATGCTAGAGGTGTCACAGTGCTAGGGGAGAAACTCACAATGGCAGCACTGGAGTAGTGCGTGCCGCGGTGGGTGGAACTTGGGAATGACCGGATCCCCAGAGGAGCAAGGGACAGAGTGCTAAGAAACCGAGTCACAGTACTGCTAAGAGAGGGAACAGTACTACAATAATCACTCACAATTGCAGCGCTGGAGTAGTGCGTGCCGTGGTGGAACTTGGGAATGACCGGATCGTCAAATGACTCGTAGCGCTCGGTTATCTTTGCCAGGCGCGGCTGAGTCAACGCTCCCATGGGCTAGAGGCAGGGGGGAGTGAGGAGTATTGAGGGAAATGAGGGAAAGGATATAGGGGAAAGAGGATCACGGGATCGTCAAATGACTCGTAACGCTTGATTATCTTTGCCAGGCGAGGCTGAGCCAACGCTCCCATGGGCTGGAGGCAGAGAAAGGGTGGAGTAGGGAGGGAGGGAAATGAGGAGAGGGGGAGAGTTGCAAGGGGATGCAGCATGGCACGAAAAATCAGGGCGGCGAATTCGAGGGAACAGAAAATCGGGAACAGATGAGGATGGGAGGCAATTTCAGGCCAAACTATTCCAGCCCAGAATATATGTCAGTCGGGAGGAGACTATTCCAGCCCAGAATATATGTCAGTCGGGAGGAGACTATTCCAGCCCAGAATATATGTCAGTCGGGGGGAGACAAACCGGCCCAGAGCCACATTCCAATGATTCCAGCCTGGGCTGGCCTGCCCAGTTGTAGTATATTTCAGCCCAGGTGCAGTGCAGTGCAGTGCAGTGCAGTGCAGTGCAGTGCAGTGCAGTGCAGTGCAGCCCAGGGTTGTTACCTTTGAGAGGTCGCGGAATGTGGCTGTCTTGGTGAGATCGAGCTCCTTGGAGGTATAATCCTGAATTACCCACGGGAAGACGGGGTACTGCAAACAGACCAGGGGCAACGGGAATGGGGGCAAGGTAAGTAATGTGTGCCTGCTTCCAAGAGATGAACGTTCACTGAAGGTTCTATCCCTGGCGTGCCTTTGAGAAAGAGCACGCACCTGAGTGACATCGTTGAAGGATCGCCCGGCGAGAGTGTTGAGGTGCATGAGGTACTCAAAGTTGGTGATCTGACGGGGAGTGGAGAGGAGTGGAGAGGAGTGCAGGGGAGTGTTGAGTGTTTTGCAACAGGAGAACAGAAGGGCAGTGGGCATCATGGAAAATTGGCCAGCAAGAGTGCTTGAGGTGAGCGGAAATGCGGTGCACATATATATGCGCACCACAGAGTGCCCACGTGATTGAAAAAGGGTTTTGAGACGTCTCAAAACCCTTCTTCAATCAAGAGTGCTTGAGGTGGGCGGAAATGCGGTGCACACATATATGCGCACCACAGAGTGTCTGTCCCTTACTTCTCTGTTGACCCATTTCTTGGTGAGCTGAAGCTTCTCCAGAATGGTCTCCGGTCGCTGGAAACACACACACACACACACACACACACACACACACACACACACACACACACACACACACACACACACACACACACACACACACACACACACACACACGTACGTGGGCAAGATAAGAAAGCAAGAAACAAGACATAGACAAGAAGAGAAGAGAATGAACATTACAATAGAAACCAAGGGCCACACACAGAGGACAAGGACTCAAAGATGAGCACCACTGTTACAGGGATAAGAATTCAGAGATGGGCCCAGAAAAACATTCTGATCGCTTGGCAGGGCAGGTACGATAGCGACCACCACCCTTAAAACACATAGCAAGACAGCATGACAGGCCGAAAGAAGTGTGCTAGAACTAATAAAGAACGACATGAGAATGCACTGAGCAAAGAGTCCGTTGCAATCACCTGCGATTCCGAAAAGAGGTGCTGGAAGTGTGGCAGGTGGGCCCTCTGTATCACTCTAAGTAATCATCTGCAAGCGAGTGCAGCACTGTGCCTGCGAGGCGGAGAAGAGGTGCTGGAAGTGCGGCGGGTGGGCCCTCTCGATGGCACGGTGCACTCGCTTGCGCTCCTCGGCCCCCACAAAGGCAAAGAAAGTTGAAACGGCCTACCATGAATGTGCTATACTCACCTGAGATGCAGAGAAGAGGTGCTGGAAGTGCGGCGGGTGGGCCCTCTCGATGGCGCGGTGCACTCTCTTGCGCTCCTCGGCCCCCTCAAAGGCAAAGAAGAAGTTGGACCGGTCTATCATGAATATCTCCAGGGCAGAGCGACGCAGAAGGTAGCTGATTGCAGGGGGCAGGATGGCAGGGGAATAAGGGCAGAAAGTGCTTTAAAATAGAAGTGTGTGCTCCCTCAAAGGCAAAGAAGAAGTTGGACAGAGCGGTCTATCATGAATATCTCCTGAGCAGAGCAGCGCAGCAGGTAGCTGGTGGGAGGGAGAACGTAGAGGGAATCGTGTCGGTAAATATCAAAGGCAAAGAAGAAGTTGGATCGGTCGATCATGAATATCTCTAGAGCAGAGCGGCGCAGCAGGTAGCTTGATGTAGAGGGAGAAGGGGAGAGGGGAGGAAGGGAGGATATGGTGGATAGAGGCAGTCGTGTTAGCCAACAGTCAAGGCAAAGAAGAAGTTGGACCGGTCGACCATGAGTATTTCCAGAGCAGAGCGACACAGCAGGTAGCTGGAGCAGGGATGGAGGGGAGTAAAGGGGGGGTTTGCTTTGCATGTGAGTGAGTGAGTGAGTGGTCCCTCAAAGGCAAAGAAGAAGTTGGACCAGTCGAGTCGACCATGACTATTTCTAGAGCAGAGCAGCGCAAGAGGTAGCTGGCGGGAGGGAGCACATGATGGAGGGAGAGAGTCGTGTTAGTAGCAAACGTCTAAGGCAAAGGTTCAGTCAGCAACGGACGTTTGAGGCACATCAGAAGTTGCGTGCCAAACCAAGTGAAACACATAGTGAAATGAAATCCACACACCACCATGACATCCAGTTAAGGACCCTCACCGTCGAGTAAGCACTTCGCGGACAGATGAGAGCCGCCACATGCAATCGGCCATGCTCCCAACCACCCACCCAACCAACCACCCACCCACCCAACCACCCACACCTACCCACCACCAAAGTCTATCCTATGGCACCCAGACCAGTTGTCTCACCGTCGAGTCAGCACTTCGCGGACAGATGAGAGCCGCCACACGCGATCGCCCATGCTCCCACGCGCAGTCCCATCTCCTCCTGTCGCTCCTTCGCTGCTGCCCACCTTCCCCTCTTTGCCGCCGCTGCTACTCGAAACCGAAGCCTCCTGATTGCTTTTCGCCTCATCCTCCTGTCCACCGTCCTCCTTTCCTCCGCCCACCTCACTCTTCTCTCCCTTCTCACTCTTCTCTCCCTTCTCTCCCTGTCCTCCGCCCCCTCTCTCTCGGAAGGGCACAGAGGGGTCCACGTGGAACCAGAGGCGAGTGGTGGTAACCACCAGCCGCCCCTTCACTGTTCGCAGCGGCTGTACCATCATTGCTGCCACGTCAGCCAGCACCTCTTCGCCGTCCACATCCGCCACTAGCGTCCACTCCACGCCGCCCGGTTTCGCTCTCTTCTTCCCACCACTGGACGATCCACTTGGCTTATGCTTCTTCCCTCCACTCGCACCCCCTTCCACACCACCACCCTCAACACCATCTCCCACCTCTTTCCTCCTTACATCCTCTCCTGCTACTACACTCCCAAGCACTTCCCTCTCAGCAACAGCCCCTGCTGTAGCTCCGTCTCCCCCACCCACGTCACCTCTCCCTACCCCTCCCTCCTCGCCTCCCTCCTCCTTCCCAGCTCCCTCTCCTCCTCCCTCTCCTCCTCCCTCCCCTCCTCCCTTCCCTCCTTCCTCCTCGTCTCCCTTTACCTGCTCTTTCTCCCCTTCCCCCTCCGCTACCCCCTCCTTCTCCCCCTTCCCACCACCACCCCTCATGAAGCCCCCAAGAGGCGCAGGCAGGGCTCCCCCAAGCCGCTGCACTGCCTCCTCCACTGCTGCAGCACTCGTTTCTGTGGCTTCAGCTGTGGCTGCTGCTGCTCCAGCAGCAGCATCGGACCCGGCGTCTGCAGCAGCATCTTCTGCAGCTACAGCAGCACCCCTTATGGCCCCGTGGGGACCGGAAACAAGGAGCCTGGCAGTAGCAGTTGTGGAGGAGAAGCATGGCTTCACGCGCCGGCGCATGCGCAGAGAGGTCTCCATGCGATCCAGCTGCCACACGGCCTGATGGGTGGTGGATGGGTGGGTGGGTGTATTGGGGGGTGGAATGGTGGTGAGGAAAGTGCATGCGCAGAGAGGTCTCCATGCGGTCCGGCTGCCACACCTCCTGGTGGAGGAATTGGGGGTTTATGGTACGGTACGGTAGGGTACAGGGGGGATGTTGGGAGGCAAGGGACAGCTGCCACTCCCCTTCAGTCATCACCTCACTCACAGTGTTTTGAGGCGCAAACAAGCCCGGAAACTCAAAACAGTCGCACAAGCACAAGAGCCCTTTCAAATGCTCCACGACTTGATGATAAAACTTGGAAGAACAAAAACACTCACTGGTGATTGGCGGAATTCCTCATGGCTTGCCCGAGCGCCACACAGCCGCCCAGACTTGAGCAGCTGGCGAATGAGAGAGCGCCACATGCGCGCTCCTGCCGCCCGAGCCTTGACAATGGGTGAGTGAAGCTTTGCTTCTTGCAGGGTCTGGAGAGGGGGGTGGGTGAAGAATGGGGGAAAGGAGGGTGGGAAGATGGGAAGGATGGGGAAACGGTCGGAGGACTGAAAGTTTATAGTGCATGAGTTTTCATCCCAGGAGAAGGCAAGAAACAGAGCAGCAGAAAGAGAGGCTGTGACCCAGGGAGGCTGTGACCCAGGGAGGCTGTGACTCAGGGAGGCTGTGAGTCTGTGACCCAGGGAGGCTGTGACTCAGGTGTGACTCAGGGAGGTAAGCTGTGACCCAGAGGGAAGTAAACGCTGGTGTAGATGACAGTTGCGGGAGGCTGACCTGTGAGTCGAGCAGGTCGTGCAGAGAGGAGAGGTAGAGCTGCAGTCCTCCTACTCTGGGTCCCAGAGAGATGCTATACCGCATGTCCACCTCATCCCCTCCCACTCCCTGTTGTTGCTCACACCTCATTCTCTGCTGGGGGAGGCTGACTGACCTGTGAGTCGAGGAGGTCGAGCAGAGACGAGAGGTAGAGCTGCAACCCCCCCACTTTAGGTCCCAGAGAGATGCTATACCGCATCTCCACCTCATCCCACTCCTTGATACTGCTCACACCGCTGCTGCTGCCCTTGACAGGAGAAGAGTGCAGGAGACTAGAGAGCTTGAGAGCAGGGTGTTTGAGACCAATCACATCTACCCACGCGCCTTCCAGCGAATCCCACAGGCTCCACCGCCCAGACCTCTGAATGTCCCCCTTCTCCCGCCGCTTCGCTGACGTGGCGGCCTCGGGAACTCCGTCCACTCCCGGCCTGCCATCTGTCAGCCCGTACAGCCTATCCATGTGCCCCAGCTTCCTCTCTCGCCCCATCCTTCCAGCAGCAGCACCAGCACCGAAAAATGCACCACCCACACCGCTACCACCACCGCCGCTCCTGCTGCTGCTGTTCCAGCTCCTACCCGAGCCATGAGCAGCAGCAGGGCCTGTGGCAGCAGCAGTGGCGGCCAGGCAGACAGCAGCAGGCGGCGAGGCAAACGCAGCGACCCACACCGGGGAGAGAAACGCAAGAGCAGCATCTGTAGGGCTGGCGTCGGTGGCAAGAGCCGGGGTGTTGAGGTCTGAGAGGGGGGAGGCGCCTGTGTGGTCTGAGAGGAGGGGGAGGCAGCGGAGGGATGGGCGCCACTTGCGGAGGAGGGCGGTGAAGGGGGGGAGGAGGAGGGCGAGGAAGGTGGGGCGCAGTATGGTGCGATCGCAATCGATTGAGTGGATAATCTGGCCGGTTGGGGGGGAAAGAGGGGGGGGGGGGGGAAGAGGGGGAGGGAATGAGCTGGATGTCATCACATTTAGGGGTGGAGAGGGCGGAAGAGAAAGCGCTCATTGAAGATACAGCCACCACCACCAGTAGCTTGGCGTGGGACGCCACAAGTGCACGCTTTGATAATAAAACTACGATGGAGCAGTTTGCACACTGCACGTGTGTGCAGTGCGGCATACCTCTGTGCTCGGCACATACCTCTGTGTGCAGAATTGCAGCGACGGAGAGAGCGCAGTTTTGCCGCTGGTCGAGGCGAGAGGTGGTGAGGAGCGGCGCCAGGATTCTGACAAGCGGGGTTGGGAAAAGCCACAGGGAAAACAGCCACAGGGAAAACAGCCACAGGGAAAACAGCCACAGGGAAAACAGCCACAGGGAAAACAGCCACAGGGAAAACAGCCACAGGGAAAACAGCCACAGGGAAAACAGCCACGGGGAAAACAGCCACAGGGAAAACAGCCACAGGGAAAACAGCCACAGGGAAAACAGCCACAGGGAAAACAGCCGCAGGGAAATGCACGGAGGTTGAACAGTGAACTTGCATGGACAGGTGGATGCCATACGGATGGATGATGGGCGTGGGGCTTGGGAGAGAAAGCAGACAGAAACGAATACGAGTCAAATGTTTGGATGATGGATACACTCCATATATACACTCAAATTATTTGAGTCAAGCTCCAATGTATACACTCACCTCCACAGCAAGGAGCTCAGAACTTTCTCCGTGACTTCCTCCCCCTCCCTCACTCCTTTCCTGATCAGCTCCCCACCCATCTCCCCCCCATCCGTCTCCCTAGCCGCCACCAACACCACCCTCAATATAGTCACAAGCGATTGATCATCATCCAATATCCCTTTAAGAGCCTCGCTCATTCCTGCCCCCACCCCTCCCAGCACAGCCAAAACGCCAGACTCCGCTGCTCCCACCCCCTCCTTCTCCAGAAGCATACCCTTCAGTATAGTCACACCTTTTAGCACTAGGCGTAGGTCTACCCATCCCCCTGCCTCATCCTCCTCCTCATCCTCCACTATAGGTTCAGCAAGCTCTAATAACACTCGCTCTAAAGCAGACACCTCTGCTCTGCTCCCCTCCTCACAACCACCCGCCTCCCCTCCCTTCCCCCCCTTCCCTCCTCCCTCACCCCCCCACCCCACTGCCTCCTCCCCTTCCTCCCCCACACCCTCTCCAAACCACAGCCGGGACCGGCGGCGCCAGCTGTCGGGCAGGGATTGGACAATAGATCCGTAGCTAGCTAAGGCAGATTGGACGGCTTTGAACCGCCTTGGTTTGTGCTTCTTGCGGTTCCTCTCTATTGCTGACCCGAGGCCTGATGGCGATGCATGTGTCTGTAGCCGCCGCTCCTGCCGCTCTTGTTGGGGGCTGTCTAGGGAAATAAGGGAGGCTGATCCTGGTGGGGATGACAGGGGGGCTAGAGGAGGCGAGACGGTGGGGTGCAGGGGTAGATTGGAGGGAGAGAAGGAGCCGGTGAGCAGATCAAAATGCATCCCAGCTGCTGCTGCTGCCGGCACTGCTGCGGGTGCTGATAATGATTCGTGCACGGCTGCTCCTGCCGCTGGGCTGGAAGTGGGTGCTGCTGCGGAGGTGGTGACAGTGACAGTGACAGCAGTGGAAGGGAGGGTTTCTGCGCTGAGATCGATGAGAGGGAACTCGGCCACCCACCCGAAACCATTAGAGGCAGAATCTGCAGCAGCTGTAGCAGGCGAATCGGCTATAGCAGCTGTAGCATCTGCAGTGGGAGGGTCTGTCTGGCTGGTAGATTCAGGGTCCAAGGAAGGAAACTCAGCCATCCATGCAGGAGTAGCAGCAGCAGTTGCTTCAATGCCTCCTGTACCTTCTGTAGTTGCCCCTTCTGCTGCTGCTGTTGCTTCTGCTGATATTCCTGCTGTCGTTGCTCCAGCAGCAGTAGCAGTATCGGCAGAAGCGGCACCACCAACACCAGCAGCAGCGGCAGCAGCAGCAGTCAAAGCAGCATCAGCCGGATCAGCCCAAGCAGCAGGCCTATGCTTCCTCTGCCCCTCCCCATCCTCCTCCTCCTCTGCCACCACCGTCCACCGCACTCCATCCCTGTCCACCCTCTGACCCTCCACCAGGCCATCCCCACTCTCCTCCTCCCCTTCCTCTTCCTCCTCGCCCTCCCCCACGCTAATCTTCTTCTCAGCCTGCATGCGTAGAAACTCTTCCAGCAGCATCAGCAGTGCCACTGCGTTTTCTAACAGGCAGGTGGCAGCAGCAGCAGCAGCAGCAGTTGGGGCAGCAGCAGTTGGGGCAGCAGCAGCAGCAGCAGTAGCAGCAGCAGCAGCAGCAGCAGGAGAGGCAGTGGTAGGCAAGGCGGCAGTAGCAGGGGTGGTGGAAGAGCGTGGAGAGAGCATGTCTAGGGCAGAGGAAGAGGGCGGAGGGGAGGAGAGAGAGTGGGGTTGAGAGGGGTTTGGAGGAGCAGGAGGGTTTGCGGGGAGGTGCGAGGCGGTGAAGTCCAGAGCTTCGTGTAACAGCCTGCGATGGATGGTTACCATTGCTGCTTGCCTCCTGCATATTTGTGTGTGTGTTGGAGAGATGGAGAGATGGATGCACGGATGGATGGATGGATGGATGGATGGATGGATGGATGGATGGATGGATGGATGGATGGATGGATGGATGGATGGATGGATGGATGGATGGATGGATGGATGGATGGATGGATGGATGGATGGATGGATGGATGGATGGATGGATGGATGGATGGATGGATGGATGGATGGATGGATGGATGGATGGATGGATGGATGGATGGATGGATGGATGGATGGATGGATGGATGGATGGATGGACGGATGGACGGATGGATGGATGGATGGATGGATGGATGGATGGATGGATGGATGGATGGATGGATGGATGGATGGGTGGGTGGGTGGATGGATGGATGGATGGATGGATGGATGGAGATGGAATCATGCATGTGTTGAAGGATTTTTCAATCTCAAACGGTGATGACCATGCTGTGCAAACATGCACTCAAGCCCGTCCTGACAACTGAATGCGCACAAACACACGCACATGCACACATGCACGCACGCACACAGGCTCACGATCGCGAGCGCACAGGCACTCATGCATGCATGCACACTGGCACACGAGCGTGCGCACGCGCACACGCAGATGTGCGCGCGAGCCTGCACACTCTACACGCACCTTTTTAGCTGCTCTCCCACGCTGCTTCCCCCAATGAGTGCCTTCCACAGCAGGCACTGAAAGGAGGCCTCCAGGACCTGAGAAGACAGAGAGGGAGAGAGATGAGATGAACCATATAACAACCAAGGAATCAGCGTTTCTCACCCTCACCCTGTGCCTCACTCCCCCTCACCTTCCAGCCGTCCCTGTCAAGCAATGCTGAAACGCAATCTCCAAGAAGGCGGCAATGTGCTGCTCATTATTATGCTCTAGAAGCTGACTTTCCCCATGCATCACCCCCCTCACCTTCCACCCCTGCTTGACTGTCAAGCAGTGCTCAAAAACTATTCCCAGGAAGCTGAAGATGAGCTCATTCACATCCTCCTGCACGCTTGTGCTGCTGCGCACTGCACGCGAGTCCCCATTGCTGCCACCTCCAGTGCTCTCCTTCTCATCGACTTGCGTTGCTGTGGGTTGGAGGGAGCCTGTTGCAGGCAAGGCCTGGAGCCATGTGGTGTGGCATTCGGAGCAGCCAGGGGTGGGACAAAGGAAGAAGGAGGCCCGTGCGTGAGAGGCACATGAGAAAGCTAAGGGAGTGGAAAGCTAAGGGAGTGGAAAGCTAAGGGAGTGGAAAGCTAAGGGAGTGGAAAGCCATGTAGGAAAGCCATGTAGGAAAGCCATGTAGGAAAGCCATGTAGGAAAGCCATGTAGGAAAGCCATGTAGGAAAGCCATGTAGGAAAGCCATGTAGGAAAGCCATGTAGGAAAGCCATGTAGGAAAGCCATGTAGGAAAGCCATGTAGGAAAGCCATGTAGGAAAGCCATGTAGGAAAGCCATGTAGGAAAGCCATGTAGGAAAGCCATGTAGGAAAGCCATGTAGGAAAGCCATGTAGGAAAGCCATGTAGGAAAGCCATGTAGGAAAGCCATGTAGGAAAGCCATGTAGGAAAGCCATGTAGGAAAGCCATGTAGGAAAGCCATGTAGGAAAGCCATGTAGGAAAGCCATGTAGGAAAGCCATGTAGGAAAGCCATGTAGGAAAGCCATGTAGGAAAGCCATGTAGGAAAGCCATGTAGGAAAGCCATGTAGGAAAGCCATGTAGGAAAGCCATGTAGGAAAGCCATGTAGGAAAGCCATGTAGGAAAGCCATGTAGGAAAGCCATGTAGGAAAGCCATGTAGGAAACCTACCAGATCATCCATAAGAAAGGCTTCAAGAATATACATGCGGCATTTGTCTGGTTCGAGATGTATGGGAGGAGGGGTGGCAACGAGGGAGGGTTTAAGGAGAGGAGCTAAGCTTGGAATTTGTGCAGCAACCAACCATACCCATCGAAAGGAGGGATTTTTGCAGCTACAAGTGAATTTCGTGCAGCAAGGAGTGGAATTCTCCAAAAAGACACTCAGGAAGTTACCATTCACTCCAATTCCTCACCTACTGCTGCGCTGCATTCCCTTACCTCAAGGCTTGAGAGGAGAATCTCGAGCAGCCACTCGGGCCACTCAGGGGAGTGGGTCCTGCAGCACTGCAAGCTGAGTGTGTGGCGCGGCAGAGGGCAGCGCACGGAGGAGGGAGGAGGGACCACACTCACAAACCTACCTATCCCTTACCTCAAGGCTTGAGAGCAGGATCTCGAGCAGCCACTCGGGCCACTCAGGGGAGTGGCAGCGCACGCAGGAGGAAGGAGGTCCTACCTATCCCTTACCTCGAGGTTTGCCAGCAGGATCTCGAGCAGCCACTCGGGCCACTCAGGGGAGTGGCAGCGCACGCAGGAGGAAGGAGGTCCTACCTATCCCTTACCTCGAGGTTTGCCAGCAGGATCTCGAGCAGCCACTCGGGCCACTCAGGGGAGTGGCAGCGCACGCAGGAGGAAGGAGGTCCTACCTATCCCTTACCTCGAGGTTTGCTAGCAGGATCTCGAGCAGCCACTCGGGCCACTCAGGGGAGTGGCAGCGCACGCAGGAGGAAGGAGGTCCTACCTATCCCTTACCTCGAGGTTTGCCAGCAGGATCTCGAGCAGCCACTCGGGCCACTCAGGGGAGTGGCAGCGCACGCAGGAGGAAGGAGGTCCTACCTATCCCTTACCTCGAGGTTTGCCAGCAGGATCTCGAGCAGCCACTCGGGCCACTCAGGGGAGTGGCAGCGCACGCAGGAGGAAGGAGGTCCTACCTATCCCTTACCTCGAGGTTTGCTAGCAGGATCTCGAGCAGCCACTCGGGCCACTCAGGGGAGTGGCAGCGCACGCAGGAGGAAGGAGGTCCTACCTATCCCTTACCTCGAGGTTTGCCAGCAGGATCTCGAGCAGCCACTCGGGCCACTCAGGGGAGTGGCAGCGCACGCAGGAGGAAGGAGGTCCTACCTATCCCTTACCTCGAGGTTTGCCAGCAGGATCTCGAGCAGCCACTCGGGCCACTCAGGGGAGTGGCAGCGCACGCAGGAGGAAGGAGGTCCTACCTATCCCTTACCTCGAGGTTTGCTAGCAGGATCTCGAGCAGCCACTCGGGCCACTCAGGGGAGTGGCAGCGCACGCAGGAGGAAGGAGGTCCTACCTATCCCTTACCTCGAGGTTTGCCAGCAGGATCTCGAGCAGCCACTCAGGCCACTCAGGGGAGTGGGTGAGGAGGCGTGTGTTGGCGGGGTTGAGGGAGAGCAGCAGCAGCAGGTCCTGGAGCACTGCGAGCTGAGTGTGCGGCGCGGCAGAGGGCAGCGCGCGGAGGAGCGCTAGTAGCAGCTGCTGCTCCCAGGGCGCTATGAAGGTGGACGGGGGGAGGAGGGCGGAGGGAGAATCGACGGCCTGCAGAGGGGTTGAGAGGGGCATAAAAGGGAAGAGAAGGTGTGAGTAGAGGTCAGGGCGCGAAGGAGCGCCAGCAGCAGCTGCTGCTCCCAGCGGGCTATGAAGGTGGACGAGGGGAGGAGGGCGGAGGGAGAATCAGAGGGGTTGAGAGAGGGGAGGAAATGGGACGGGAAGAGAATAAGTGAGCGTAGGGTAACGAGCAGAGGAGCGTCAGAAGCAGCAGCTGCGCCCAGGGCGCTATGAAGGTGGACAGGGGGAGGAGGGCGGAGGGAGAAGAGAATCGACGGCCTCCACATGGGAATCGTACAAGGGAAAGGAATTAAAGAAAGCGAGTGAGTTAGGAGGGGCCAGCGGAAGCTAGAACACTCAGGAGTTACAAGCACAGAAGCCGTCCCTTCACCCTGCATCTCACCTTGCATCGCAGCACAGCAGTCATGAGAGCATGGTACACAGCAGGCGTGAACAGCCTCCCAGGCGCCACCTGCAGCGCCCTCTGCACCCCATACACCGCCCACGCACCCACATTACTGCGGTCCTTCCCTGCCCTCTCCGTCACCACCGCTCCCAACCCCTGAGTTGTTGGCACCACTCCCAGAACCGATGGGTCGGATAGACGCAGGAAGCCAGAGTCCGCTAGCAGCCCTAGGATTGAAATTACCGCGACCATGATCGCATCCGGACCGTCTGTCAGCGGGAAGCCCTGGTCGCTGTCGAAGTAAAAATCCGCAGCATCAGCTGTACCAGCTGTAGCAGCATCAGCAGCGGCGGCTGTAGCAGCATCAGCAGCGGCTGTAGCGGTACCTTCAGCAGCAGCCACGGCAGTGCCCTCAACCATCCAGCCAGACAGCCAAAAAGCATCTGCAGCAGTGGCAGCAGAAGCAGTAACCCCAGCAGCAGCAGCAGCAGCTGCAGCAGCAGCGGCAGCAGATCCTCCTGTGGTGGTGGGAGCGCCATGAGAGGATGATGATCTGAATGCAACCCTTCCCTCAGCCCTACCAGCAGAGGCATGACCACTGCCACTCTTAACAACTGTGCCACTGCTACCCGCACTGCTGCTGGCGCCAATACCCCTGCTGCCGCCTCCCCCATCCCTACTTGCAACTTTCGCAACAGCAGCAGCCGCCGCCGCCACAGCAGCAGCACCAGCACCGGCACCGCCGCTCGCATGACTGGAGGCAGATTTCACAGAGGAAGAACCAGACGCAGGGCCAGTCCGGGCCAAGCGAGGCACAGACACACACACCCAGGGAGCAAGCACGGCCATCCCTTCCTTTGTCACCTGCACCGCACTCTCCTCCGCGTCGTCCTCATACACCTGCTTCGCCCTTAGCCTCGCCACCACTGCTGCCACCTCCGCTACTCCCCTCCTAGTGCCCTCCTCCCCATCCTCCTCCTCGCCCTCCTCCGATCCTCTCTCCTGCTCTTTGCCCACTCCTGACTGCTCCCCACTTGCTGATTCATGCGAAAGCCCACTAGAGCTTCTCCTGCTTCCTGTTCCCGCTGCCCCTGCTCCTCCTGCTGCTCCTGCTGCTGCCTTTGAGCCTCTCTCGCCACCCACTTTGCCTACTGCCGAGTCCGGTTTCTCTGCCCCAGTTTTCTTATCGTCAATCGAGCCAACCTTCAACCCAAGAGGCTCCAGAAACACGTTCCAAGTGCTCAGATCCCACACGCCTCCCCCCTTTGTCGCCTCTTGCTTCGGCTTACTCTTGCTCTCTTCCTCTTCCTTCTTCTCCTCTTCCTTTTTCTCCTCCTCCTTCCCCTCACTCTCCTTCTCAGAAACATCCTCTTTCTTTTCCCCCTCCTCAGACATACCTTCCCCAGATTCACCCTCCTTCGTCGAATCTTTCCCACAAGCTTTCTCACTGTCCTCACCCTTCTCCTGCTCTCCTTCCCTCTCTCCTTCACCCTTACCCTCACCTTCCTTCCCCCCACTGCCTGTCACCTCCCATCCCTCCTTTGAATCTTCTCCCCCGTTCTCCTCTCCCGCTTGCCCCTCACCCGCCCCTCCCTTCCCATCCCCAAACACCAGAACCTTCCGTGCACCTTCCTCCTCACCCTCACCCTCACCCTTCCCCCCTAACTCCCCCTCCTTGCCCCCTTCCACTTCCCCTCTCCCCTCCCCAGCCTCATCTTCAAGGCCTTCGCTGCCCGGAACCGGAACCAGACGCCTTCTAATTGGCCGACTGCCGGATTTGGTCGGGAAAGTGGCCGGGTAGGTCTCCCCATACTGGGTCTCCCGCAGCAGCAGCGCCAGGAGCATTTCTGCTCCGCCTGATGCAAGGAACTGCACCATAAAGGCTGATGCTCTGCTGCTGTTGGGCTGAGACATGAGTCGGTATAGCAGCAGCAGCACCCGTGCCACCTGGAATGAAAGGGAAGGGAGGAGAGAGCAGACGAGGATAAGGTTGAATAAGTCCCTGCTGCTGCTGCTGCTGTTGGGCCAGGAGCATCTCTGCTCCGCCTGATGCAAGTACTTGCACCACGAAGGCTGATGGTCTGCTGCTGTTGGGCTGAGACATGAGGCGGTAGAGCAGCAGCAGCAGCACCCGTGCCACCTGAGAGGGAAAGAGCACAGGAGGAGAAGCGTGTGCATGTCTGCCCCAATCACATCCAGCCCAACACCATGTGCCCACCATCATTCACCCTCGTGTGAGTGTGTAAGTTCAATATCTATTTCGTACCTGGTTGGCCTGAGGGCACTGCAGCGCAAAGGAGACGAGAGCGCGCATGTCTGCCCCCATGACATCCAGCCCCACGCCAGCACACACCAGCTTCTCCAGCGCATGGGTTCAAGGTTTTGGGTTTTGGTTCCTTACCTGGTTGGCCTGAGGGCATTGGAGGGCGAAGGAGACAAGAGCGCGCATGTCTGCGCCCATCACATCGAGCCCCACGCCAGCACACACCGGCTTCTCCAGCGCATGGGTCTAGGGTTAGGGTTGGGTTTAAGTTCCTCACCTGGTTGGCCTGAGGGCAATAGAGGGCAAAGGAGACAAGTGCGCGCATGTCTGCGCCCATCACATCGAGCCCCACGCCAGCACACACCAGCTTCTCCAGCGCCCCCATCACCGCATTCACCATGCCATTCACCTCCCCCATCAGCCCCATCCGCTCCTCCTGCATCTCCTCCCTCCTCCATTCCCCACTCCCTGCCCCTCCCGCTTCTCCTGACCCTCCCGTCACCAGTGCTCCCACTCCTCCTCCTTCTGCTTCTCCTGCCTTCACCCTTTCTCCCTTCACTTCTGCAGCCTGGCGGGTAGTAGGGCTCCAGCTGGCAGTGCAGAGGCGCACAGAGGAGGGCTCCCAGGTCATCCAGTAGCAGCGGCGGCAGCCGTCCAGAAGGAGCTGATGGGTTGGGGGAAAGCGGGAAGAGCAGGGGTATTGCAGTCTGTGCGACAGAGGAGGGTTCCCAGGCCATCCAGTAGCAACGGCGGCAGCCGTCCAGAACGAGCTGAGAGGTGGGTGAAAGGGCGGATGGGCAGGTGGGGGTGGAGAAGGGAAATGATGGGAGTGGAAGCTGCAAATGCAAGAGGAGGGCTCCCAGGTCATCCAGTAGCAGCGGCGACAGCCGTCCAGGAGGAGCTGGGAGGAGGGGGTGGGGGCCGATGGGAAGGGGGTGTCGAGGAGGTCAACAAAGAGAAGAAAAGCTGCAAACTCAAGAGGGGGGCTCCCAGGCCGTCCATTAGCAGCTGCGCCAGCCGTTCAGGAGGATCTGGGGAGAGCAGGATGGGCGGGTGAAATCAGTGGAAGGGGAAGTGATAAGAAGAAGCATGCAAGCGCCAGAGAAGGGCTTCCCGGCCATCCAGTAGCAACGGCGGCAGCCGTCCAGAAGGAGCTGGGAGAGCAAGGGGGGTGGTTGGTTGGGGGCTTGTCAATGAAGGCGAACATACAGACTCAAGACGAGGGCTCCCAGGCCATCCAGTAGCAACGGCGACAGCAGTTCAGGAGGAGCTGAGAGGAGGTGGGAGAGCGAGGGGAGGTGTGGGTGTGGGTGTGGGAGGTCAATGAGGGAAAGGGAAGCTGCAAACTCAAGAGGAGGGCTCCCAGGTCATCCAGTAGCAGCGGCGGCAGCCACCCAGGAGGAGCTGAGTGGTGGAGGGCGGACGGGTGAATGGGCAAGTGGAGTGTAAAGGAGGTCACTGTAGTAAGATCGGAGAAGAATGCAAACTCAAGAGGAGGGCTCCCAGGTCATCCAGTAGCAGCGGAGGCAGCCGTTCAGGAGGAGCTGAGAAGAGGGAGGGTGTGTGTAAGGGGTGGGTGGGGGGGATCGGGGGATGAATTGAAGCATGAAAGTACGCCCTGTCCCTCCTTCTAAATTACCCCTTGTCTCCAACCTTCTCTTACCGAGACGACACCTACCGACTGCAGAGCCTGTAGCTCCAGAGACATCGCGTCCGGAAACCACGAAACCGGGAAACCGGGAAACCGGGATACCGGGAAACGGGGATACGGGGAAACCGCGATACCGGGATACCGGGAAACCGGGATACCGGGATACCGGGATACCGGATACCGGGAAACCGGGAAACCGGGATACCGACATACCGGGAAACCGGGAAACCGGGATACCGGGATACTGGGATACCGGGATACCGGGATACCGGGATACCGGGAAACCGGGCTACCGGGATACCGGGAAACCGGGAAACCAGGATGCCGGGATACCCGGAAACCGGGATACCGGGATACCGGGAAACCGGGCTACCGGGATACCGGGAAACCGGGAAACCGGGATACCGGGATACCAGGATACCGGGAAACCGGGAAACCAGAAAACCGGGATACCGGGATACCGGGATACGGGGAAACCGCTATACCGGGAAACCGGGATACCGGGATACCGGGATACCGGGAAACCGGGAAACCGGGATACCGGGATACCGGGATACCGGGATACCGGGATACCGGGATTCCGGGATTCCGGGATACCGGGAAACCGGGAAACCGGGAAACCGGGAAACCGGGATACCAGGATACGGGGAAACCGGGATACGGGGAAACTGGGAAACCGGGAAACCGGGATACCGAGATACCGGGATACCGAGATACCGGGATACCGGAAAACCAGGAAACCGGGAAACCGGGATACCGGGATACCGGGAAACCGGGACACCGGGATACCGGGATAGTGTTATACCGGGATACCGGGATACCGAGATACCGGGATACGGGGATACCGGGATACGGGGATACGGGGATACCGGGATACCGGGATACCGGGAAACCAAGACACCGGGATGCGGGATACCGGGATACTGGGATACCGGGAAACAGGGATACGGGGAAACGGGGATACGGGGAAACCGGGACACCAGGATACCGGGATACCGGGATACCGGGATACCGGAAAACCGGGATACCGGGATACCGGGATACCGGGAAACCGGGAAACCGGGATACGGGGAAACCAGGAAACCGGGAAATCGGGATACCGGGATACCGGGATACCGGGATACTGGGAAACCGGGATACCGGGAAACCGGGAAACCGGGAAACCGGGAAACCGGGATACCGGGATACGGGGAAACCGGGATACGGGGAAACCGGGAAACCGGGAAACCGGGATACCGAGATACCGGGATACCGAGATACCGGGATACCGGAAAACCAGGAAACCGGGAAACCGGGATACCGGGATACCGGGAAACCGGGACACCGGGATAACGGGATAGTGTTATACCGGGATACCGGGATACCGAGATACCGGGATACGGGGATACCGGGATACGGGGATACGGGGATACCGGGATACCGGGATACCGGGAAACCAAGACACCGGGATGCCGGGATACCGGGATACCGGGATACCGGGAAACGGGGATACGGGGAAACGGGGTTACGGGGAAACCGGGACACCGGGATACCGGGATACCGGGATACCGGGATACCGGAAAACCGGGATACCGGGATACCGGGATACCGGGAAACCGGGATACGGGGAAACCAGGAAACCGGGAAATCGGGATACCGGGATACCGGGATACCGGGATACCGGGAAACCGGGAAACCGGGAAACCGGGAAACCGGGATACCGGGATACGGGGAAACCGGGATACGGGGAAACCGGGAAACCGGGAAACCGGGATACCGAGATACCGGGATACCGAGATACCGGGATACCGGGATACCGGGATACCGGGATACCGAGATACCGGGATACGGGGATACCGGGATACGGGGATACGGGGATACCGGGATACCGGGATACCGGGAAACCAAGACACCGGGATGCCGGGATACCGGGATACCGGGATACCGGGATACCGGGAAACGGGGATACGAGGAAACGGGGATACGGGGAAACCGGGACACCGGGATACCGGGATACCGGGATACCGGGATACCGGAAAACCGGGATACCGGGATACCGGGATACCGGGAAACCGGGAAACCGGGATACGGGGAAACCAGGAAACCAGGAAATCGGGATACTGGGATACCGGGATACCGGGATACCGGGAAACCGGGAAACCGGGAAACCGGGAAACCGGGATACCGGGATACGGGGAAACCGGGATACGGGGAAACCGGGAAACCGGGAGACCGGGATACCGAGATACCGGGATACCGAGATACCGGGATACCGGAAAACCAGGAAACCGGGAAACCGGGATACCGGGATACCGGGAAACCGGGACACCGGGATACCGGGATAGTGTTATACCGGGATACCGGGATACCGAGATACCGGGATACGGGGATACCGGGATACGGGGATACGGGGATACCGGGATACCGGGATACCGGGAAACCAAGACACCGGGATGCCGGGATACCGGGATACCGGGATACCGGGAAACGGGGATACGGGGAAACGGGGTTACGGGGAAACCGGGACACCGGGATACCGGGATACCGGGATACCGGGATACCGGAAAACCGGGATACCGGGATACCGGGATACCGGGAAACCGGGATACGGGGAAACCAGGAAACCGGGAAATCGGGATACCGGGATACCGGGATACCGGGATACCGGGAAACCGGGAAACCGGGAAACCGGGAAACCGGGATACCGGGATACGGGGAAACCGGGATACGGGGAAACCGGGAAACCGGGAAACCGGGATACCGAGATACCGGGATACCGAGATACCGGGATACCGGGATACCGGGATACCGGGATACCGAGATACCGGGATACGGGGATACCGGGATACGGGGATACGGGGATACCGGGATACCGGGATACCGGGAAACCAAGACACCGGGATGCCGGGATACCGGGATACCGGGATACCGGGATACCGGGAAACGGGGATACGAGGAAACGGGGATACGGGGAAACCGGGACACCGGGATACCGGGATACCGGGATACCGGGATACCGGAAAACCGGGATACCGGGATACCGGGATACCGGGAAACCGGGAAACCGGGATACGGGGAAACCAGGAAACCAGGAAATCGGGATACTGGGATACCGGGATACCGGGATATCGGGAAACCGGGAAACCGGGAAACCGGGAAACCGGGATACCGGGATACGGGGAAACCGGGATACGGGGAAACCGGGAAACCGGGAGACCGGGATACCGAGATACCGGGATACCGAGATACCGGGATACCGGAAAACCAGGAAACCGGGAAACCGGGATACCGGGATACCGGGAAACCGGGACACCGGGATACCGGGATAGTGTTATACCGGGATACCGGGATACCGAGATACCGGGATACGGGGATACCGGGATACGGGGATACGGGGATACCGGGATACCGGGATACCGGGAAACCAAGACACCGGGATGCCGGGATACCGGGATACCGGGATACCGGGATACCGGGAAACGGGGATACGGGGAAACGGGGATACGGGGAAACCGGGACACCGGGATACCGGGATACCGGGATACCGGGATACCGGAAAACCGGGATACCGGGATACCGGGATACCGGGAAACCGGGATACCGAGATACCGGGATACCGGGATACCGGGATACCGGGAAACCGGGAAACCGGGATACCGAGATACCGGGATACCGGGATACCGGGATACCAGGATACCGGGAAACCGGGATACCGGGATACCGGGATACCGGGAAACCGGGATACCCGGATACCGGGATACCGGGATACCGGGATACCGGGATACCGGGATACCGAGAAACCGGGATACAGGGATACCGGGATACCGGGATACAGGGATACCGGGATACCGAGATACCGGGATACCGGGATTCCGGGATACCGGGATACCAGGAAACCGGGAAACCGGGATACCGAGATACCGGGATACCGGGATACCGGGATACCGGGAAACCGGGATACCGAGATACCGGGATACCGGGATACCGGGATACCGGGAAACCGGGATACCGAGATACCGGGATACCGGGAAACCGGGATACCGAGATACCGGGATACCGGGATACCGGGATACCGGGATACCGGGAAACCGGGAAACCGGGATACCGGGATACCGGAAAACCGGGATACCGGGATACCGGGATACCGGGAAACCGGGAAACCGGGATACCGAGATACCGGGATACCGGGATACCGGGATACCGGGATACCGGGAAACCGGGAAACCGGGATACCGAGATACCGGGATACCGGGATACCGGGATACCGGGAAACCGGGAAACCGGGATGCCGGGATACCCGGAAACCGGGATACCGGGATACCGGGATACCGGGAAACCGGGAAACCGGGGTACCGGGATACCGGGATACCGGGATACTGGGATACCGGGAAACGGGGAAACGGGGAAACCGGGAAACCGGGATACCGGGATACCGGGAATCCGGGATACCCGGATACCGCGATACGGGGATACCGGGAAACCGGGAAACCGGGAAACCAAGAAACCGGGATACCAGGATACCGGGAAACCGGGATACGGGGAAACTGGGATACCGGGATACCGGGATACCGGGAAACCGGGAAACCGGGAAACCGGGATACCCGGATACCGGGATACCGGGATACCGGGATACCGGGATACCGAGAAACCGGGATACCGGGATACCGGGATACCTGGATACCGGGAAACCGGGAAACCGGGAAACCGGGAAACCGGGATACCGGGATACCAGGAAACCGGGATACGGGGAAACCAGGAAACCGGGATACCGGGATACCGGGATACCGGGAAACCGGGATACCGGGATACCGGGATACCTGGATTCCGGGAAACCGGGAAACCGGGAAACCGGGATACCGGGATACCGGGAAACCGGGATACCGGGATACCGGGAAACCGGGATACCGGGATACCGGGATACCGGGATACCGGGAAACCGGGGAACCGGGAAACCGGGATACGGGGATACTGGGATACCGGGTTACCGGGATACCGGGATACCGGGATACCGGGATACCGGGATACCGGGATACCGGGATACCGGGATACCGGGAAACCGGGAAACCGGGATACCGGGAAACCGGGAAACCGGGAAACCGGGAAACCGGGATACCGGGATACAGGGATACCGCTCACAACCTCATCCTGCCAACGCCCTTTCTCCCCAACACTTCACACAAAACGTACTAAAACAGCACCCACTGACTGCAGCGCCTGCAGCTCCAGAGACACCGCGTCCCCTATGGTTGCAAGCAGGGCCCTCTGCGTGAAACCACCCCTCCCATCACCCCTCTTTCTAAATTACCCCTTGACTTGACTCCAACCTTCTCTTACTGAGACAGCAACCACTGATTGTAGCGCCTGCAGCTCCAGGGACACCGCATCCCCTACGGCTGCAACCCTCTCCCTCTTTCTAAATTGCCCCTTGTCTCCAACCTTGTCTTACCAAGACAGCCCCCACCGATTGCAGAGCCTGCAGCTCCAGAGAGACCGCGTCCCCCACGGCTGCAAGCAGGGCTCTCTGAGAGAACATCCCACCCAACCATCCCTCACCCCCCATCCTGCCAACATCGTCTCCCCTATACTTCACACAGTACGTACCGACACAGCTCCCACTGATTGCAGCGCCTGCAGCTCCAGAGAGACCGCGTCCCCTACGGCTGCAAGCAGGGCCCTCTGCGTGCTCAGGTGGGAGGGCGCCCACAGAGGCAGGTGCAGCAGCAGGTGCTCCATCAGGTGGTTTTTCAGGTGGTCGCCAGGGCGGGGCATGTGGGCCAGGAGCATGCACGCGTGGACCAGCTCTTTGTCCCTATCTCGCTCTCGCTCTCGACTCTTCTCCATTGAATGTTCCTTGGAGCTGTCAATAGATCCACTAGTATCTTCAGCTGCTGATTCGTTAGAAGCTGATTCGTTAAGAGTGGGTGGCGAGGAGAGGACGAAGTGGAGGAGGTGGGAAAGGAGCGCGGGGGCGGGTCCCTTGAGTTCTTCTCGGTTCATCGGGCGGCGGAGGGAGCGGGCGATGATGCGGAGGGCGTTGGGAAGGAGCTGAGAGGCGGAGAGGGAGAGAGGAGGCGAGCGAACCTGCAAGAGAAGACAAGGGGTGGGAGGGGAACAGAGGTGGGGAGGGAGGGAACAGGGAGGGAGGGAGCGGGCGATGATGCGAAGCGAAGGACGTGAGGGAGGAGCTGAGAAGGAGGCGAGAGGGCGAGCACCATAACGAAACGGGAGAAACAAATGCCATGGCAGTAAGCTGCTATTATACTCACCTTTGGCGCCATCGTGCAGAGATCTAGGGCTTCAATAAACATTTGCAGCAGTGCCAGGGGCCCGGCGCGGCCTCTGCTGTGGCCCAGAGAGCATTGCTCAAAGGGACCTTGAAGCACTGAAGCAGCCAGCACTCACCTGCGGTGCCATGGTGTGGATATCCACGGCTTCAGTGCAGAGGGGCAGCATTTGAGTCGACTCAAAAGCAATATCCACGGCTTCAGTGCAGAGGGGCAGCATTTGAGTCGACACAAAAGCAATATCCACGGCTTCAGTGCAGAGGGGCAGCAGCGCCAGGGGCCCGGCCCGGCCTCTGCTGCAGCCCAGAGAGCATCGGCCGCTTGCTTCCTCGCTGCCACATGCACTTAAAAGCAGTGGCACGACCAGCTTGCCTGCTAGTTCTACAGCACCTCACCTGCTACTATAGAGCAGCTCACCTGCGGTCCCATGGAGTGCAAATCCAGAGCCTCTACGCAGAGGGGCAGCAGCGCCACGGGCCCGCCCTCTGCTGCAGCCCAGAGAGCATCGGCCGCTCGCCGCCTCGCTGCCACATGCACCTGCCCCACCACCTCTGCTGGCCTCCTCTGCACGCCTGGTGGGAACAGGCGGGGATGGAAGGTGGGGTGCAGAGGTTTGAGACGGTGATACCAAGCTGAATGCTTGTATGAGCCATGCCCACCCTCGCCGCCTCGCTGCCACATGCACCTGCCCCACCACTTCTGCTGGCCTCCTCTGCACGCCTGGGAGAGCGTGAGAAAGGGTTCAGGGTTTGAGTCTTGAGATTGATTGGGCATATATGGGTCCATCCAGCTTCACTTCAAAGTCAGCAAAGGAGCGGAGCAGAGCAACTCAAACATCAAAGACATGAAACGGGTTCTTTTCCTCAGACGACTCAAAAGCTGTTTGAAAGGCACCAGAGAGAGACTGACTGAGATGGGAAGAGGTTCAGGGTTTGGGATTTGATGAACCATGGAACTTGAATGTGGGCATGGTAGGGTTGGGATACAATACACACCAGATGCAGTGGCAGGCGAGGCGTCCGGGCAGAACCTTCCCAGAAGCATCTTGGGGTGGTACAGGAGGTGGATACTGGGTGCGAGGTCCACATCTAGACTGCATGACTCCTCAGCTTTCCTCATCATCAGCTCACTCCCCATGTGAGCTGGCGCCCCCGCACCCGCCCCAAACACAGGCAGGTGGTCCCCCCCACGCACTGCCAGCCTGGCGATTCTCTCGCTTCCGATTGGCTCCTTGAAGATGTAGACCGGGCCGAGCTCGGCGAACAGGGGGCACTGTAGCCGCTGCTGCCGCTGCTGCTGGTGATGATGGGCGGCGGGTCCTGTCTGTTTCTGAGAGGAGTTCAAGAGCAGTCCGGAAGGGGGGTTGGTGCCTATGCAGAGAAACCCTAACGGATTGGAGATTCTGGGAAGGTCAAGAGGCCAGGACTCAATCAACCGTCCGTTCACATACAGCCTGATTTCACTTTCTGCTTTACCCATGAGAGACGGTTTGAAGATATGTTCCAGGGCTAGGAAATACCAGCGGCGCGGGAGGAATGTGTGCCGGAAACGAACCGCGTTTCGGATGCCGGTCCAAGGGCAATTAGACTCCACAACGAGGGTGTCTTTGTGGAAATAGGCCTCTATTCCGTGGTTCTCGATGGTTAAGAAGCTGTAGAGGCGTGGCAAATGGAGGATATTGGAGTTAGCGGCTGCTACAGCAGCAGCGATCTGAGCAGCAGTCACCTGAGCGGACCCTTTCCCTCCTCCCTTTGCCGTGATTGCTGCTGCAATGGCTGCTGCTTTGGCTGCTGCGGTGATCGCCGATGCTGACGTGTCGACAAACGATTCGACGTACAGCCACGTGGCGACGGCGTAACCGTTACTAAAGGGCCACTTGCTGTCGCCCGGACCTAGCAGCCCGGAGGTTCGGCCGTCCAGCTCGAAGGAATGGGACGGCCCCCGAGCCTCCTCCCCAGCCATGGCACGCTCCAATGCTGTCAATAAGAGAGCAGCACGACTGCTACCAGCTAGGCCACTTCTGCTGCTGGGACCATCTTGAGCGTCAGCAGCAGCTGAATCAGCAGCCGTAGCAGCAGAAACAGCAGCATTAGCAGCAGCAGGTGGGGCAGCAGCAGGGAGGATAAGAGCCTCGGTGGATCGGACCCAGTCCTGCAGCTCAGCAACGTTGAGAGAGTGTGCTGCTAGACACTCCAGCGCCGTCACCAGAGGGGAGCAGTCCCACGCTGCTTCATCTGCCACTCCAAACAATGGCGTCACTGGAGTTGATTCACCCTCACACCCTGTCTCATCTGCACCTGCGCTCGTGCTGCTAGAACGGTCGTTATTCTTCGAGCTGATGCCACTCCTCCCTGGCAGCAACAGCGCGTCAGCAGTAGCAGCAGCAGGCGGCAGTCCCTGCGAGTCCACCCCTCCCAGGAGAATCCCCCTCAGAGCGGCCAGCAGCGCCCTCACGAGCCCCATTGAGGCGCACAGGGCGCGGTTGCGCGTGCAGGAGAGCAGCACGCGGGCTATGCCCCGTGCCATGCGCGTGCGAGGAGACACTTGCAACTGACCAGCACCGGGTTTTGCTCTAGCTGGTGGCTCTGGGGCGGGCTGAGTGGCAGCTTTGGCAGTGCTGCTTGTGATTATAACGGAAGGGACTGCAGCTGGATCTGGGGAGTCAGTCGATGAGGGGTCGGCAGCGGGGGAGTCAACAGAGGGTGATGACTCAGCAGCAGCTGACGTGGCAGGATCGTCGCCATCTGAAGCTGACTGGATCGCCTGAGATTGCGCGTTCTCAGCAGTTTCAGGCTTATCAGCTGTCTCTGCATTCTCAGCATTCTCAGCAGTCTCAGAATTATCAACTGTCTCTGCATTCTCAGCAGTCTCAGAATTATCAACTGTCTCTGCATTCTCAGCCTTCTCAGCTGCAGGTTCGGTTTCAGCGTCTGGAGTGTGAGCAGCAGGCTCGTGGCACGGCAGCCATGGCAGCAGCCACGCGCCGAGCCTGGCAGCTTCGGGAGTGAGCATGATCACAGGCCCTCCTCCCTTCATCCACCCCTGCCCACCACTGCTGCCCATACTGCCACCCATGCTGCTGCTTCTCTTGCCGCTGCTTCTGCTTCCCATTCCTTCTCCGCCCTCCCCTTTGCCTGACCCAGCCTGGCCCATCTCCTCCTCCTCGTGCCTACCCCCCATGATCGCCAATAGAGTCTCAACAATCAACCTCGAGGTTTCCTCCTTCCCTAACGACCCTAGCGTTCCTAACTCCTCCCTGGTCTGTGTCACCGCGGCTTCCCCGTTGCCTCCTGGTTCGCTTGCGTCGTTCTCCTTCGCTTCCTCGCCTTTTCCAGATTCGTCACCGTGGCCCGGAGCATCATTCTTCTCTTCTGCATCTTCCTCCTTCTCCCCAGAGACACCTTCGCCTTTGGTTTCATCCCCTTGGGTATCCACCCCTTTGGCCTCTTCCCCTTCTGTCTTCTCTTCGGCGTCCCCCGCCTTCCCCTCCCCGCGCCTCCCTTTTGTAAAGCTCTCCAAAGTATCCAACCCAGCTGCAATTCGGCGAAGTTTCGTTAGCGCCTTCGGGTGGTCCTCGTGAGCCGCTGCATCGATCAGCCGCAGCAAAAGAAGCGGAATGTCCGGAACAGTCACGACGCCGTGTAACGGATGAACTGACGCAGAGGACGCAGCAGCAGCAGCAGCAGCAGCAGCAGCAGCAGCAGAACCAGGAACAGGAGGAACAGCAGGAGGAATAGCGGGACCTGACGGACCAAAACCTAAAGCTTTTTGCTCCTGGTATGATCCTCCTGATGCTCCTGCTCCCTCATTGCGCGTCTGCGATTTCCCTAACCCGTGCTCTTCGTGCTGCTGCGACTGAGTTCTCGAACTCGACGGCTCCTCCGGGATTACCGGGAACGATCTAACGTCCGAAATTATCGTGACGGCGGCAGCGGCGGCGGCGGCAGCGGCGATGGAGGAATGCGGCGTGCCTCGCGCTCTGTCCGCTTCTTCCGCCGCGAGAGCCGCGAAACGCTGGAGGGCGGAGTTACCAGAAAGGTCGACTTCGCCAAGCATTAAATCGGAGACGGAGGTGGTAGAGCGAGTGGGACCCGTTCCATCCCACTTGTTACGGCCTGTCGATTCCGTCATGGTGTTCCCAGTTGCCGAGAAATCAAAATGACATCACCTAATGCTGATCAATGTCGACAAGAATGTACCTCTGCGACGTCAAAATGTTCCGAGATTCTACAAAAGTGTGGATCAAACAATAGATGTCAGGAGAAATGTTGCTACTTAACGCGAATGTTTTCATGGATGCGCCACTCTTTGGTCAGCATTGTGCTCCCGGCTCTCCCTGATAACCAGAATCTCCCTGATGCCTGAGAAATGTGAACACACAAGACTTCGATTCCTGTCAAAGATTGGCTGCTCTTGCTGACTGGTGAACTGTTGCTTGGTGTAAGGGCGTGTGTGATCTATTTTCAAGTTCGGGAAAAAGGTCGAACTTTCTGTGGTTACCAGCTTCGCTAATGTCGTCAGGAAGCTTTTGCGAAGGCATGAGAATTTTGGGGCACATAAGTTCGAATGTCAAATGTGAACTCAACTCGAATCACACGAGTGAACGTGCGGGTGCACGTGAGGCGAGTGTGTGTTGTTTTCAGCACGTACGAAGGCCATCCGAAAATCGCGACCGCTTTGCGAAGGTCGTTGAGCTTCGTTGCGCATTACGTTAATTGGTCGCGCTGTACCAGGTAGCCTACTCCCCTACGGGCGGCTTGCCGCCATCCCTAAAAGGTCGAATCTCTGTGTTCGACCTTGAGTGTGTGATTGTGACTCGTCTGTGTTGGAGACCCAAGATTCGAACTTCGCTGGAAAGAATGTCGAGTTTTGTTCAGATGCTACATCCGACCTAAAAACATAAACTTTCACAGATTTGTAAGACCACACACGCCTTAATCTCGAGGTTGCCTTAGCCCTCATGTTGGCAAGATCCAGCAGCGGTAAAATCGGTGGAGGTGGTTGATGGTTGGTTGGTGGTGCCTGGTGCAGGAGGAACATAGGAGGATGAACCGCCCCCGATCGTTCGCTTACCGGTTTGAAATCCGTTTCAAAGGATGCAATAGCTTTTGAGTGCGATGCAGTGAGGTGGGGGATTGATTATCCTAAAACTTGTTACCACCTTCTTGTGGCAATTATAATTATTGGCCTTCTGAATGTTTGCACTAATAATGTATTTCATCAGTAAGTTGGAATACGGTTCAATGTAGATTTGATATTTAGCCAAGCACTTGTATTTTTTCTTCATTGAATCTTGCATTGTTTTTCATTGAGACCAGGGTTCATGATTTGCAAATATGTAAAATAGCGTGTGAAAACATCATTTTCTCCACGACGAGGACACGGCCTCGGTGTCTCCATTTCTTGGCTTGGGTTTGGTCGTATGTTTGGGATTGCCGTACCTCCTCCACCTGCCTCGATCTTGCCCCACAACTCTGCCACGCCTCGCCACCACCAACCTCCTCCATTTCAGTTGGGCATTGGCGTCCCATCCCATCCCATTTTCGTTGACCATTTTCAGCGTGATGCAACAAATGTGACATGTCCATTATTTTCTTTGATGCAGTCGCGCAATACAAGCACTTCGAACACCTTTGCCAGCAGGCTGTAGGGACTTGCGAGACCGAAACCTTCAGCTGGGAATGTTTTTTATGCGCCCGTGAAGCTTAGAGCACGCATGGTTCGGTCGGGAATGCGAGGCGAGTGCTGCGTTGAACGGCTTGAAAAAACTACCTTTTACGGGTGAATCGTTTCCTAGAGCTTCAGGATAGATTGCCGAAGCTAAATGCGAGATTAGCAGGAGAGCCAGATCAAGTGCGTCGTACGCGACGATATGGATAGGCGACAATTCGGAGGGTCGGTGCATCGCACGGGATCCGACACCACTGCGAACCGCTCTGCACCGAGCTCCGACGCGCCGGTTCATCGCACGGGATCGGCTGTCGTTAAGAAGAAGAAACTCGTGCAGACTCGTCCTGTCGTATCAGGTTCAAGGTAAGGAATTATTTGTCAGTTAAGTTTGCAGAATTCTTGCCATGCGTTAGGTAAAGGATTTTGTTTCACTATTCTTCGGAGTAATTTACGCTATGCATGTATGGTCGCATTATCCATTTGAAGTAATGTGGCGTTTTTGCACTGGAGTCAAAGCTTTTTGTCATTTCATTAACAGTATGGGTCAGATTGTGAATAGAATACAAAATCGTAACTTTGCAACCCCGTTGGCTGTACTAGTGATCGTTTCGTAGGAATCCGTGCTGATGCCGCAAAGATTTCGATCGCGGTTATTAATCCCGAGTTTTGGTGCATTCACCTGTCCTCTACTGCACCCACCAAACCACACTCCCTGCTTCGGCAACCCTTCCCCTTCACAGATCCCCCCAACCTGTCTCTCCCCGAGCCTCCTCTCCGAAGCATGACCCCGCTTCACCCAAGCCTCTCGTCCTCCACGCCTCCAGCAGAGCCGCACCTCCCTCAGTCCCCACCCACATGCTCCCACAAGACACGGACGAGCTATCCTCCTACGCGTCTTCTGGCTCTCAGAACCATCAGCAGCATGAGCAGCAGCATAAGCCAGGCGCCTCTTCCTCCTCCTCCGCCTCCTCTGCTTGGTTCACTAAGGAAGACGCTGATGACATTCTTGGCGCTGCCGGGTTGTCAAGCGGGAAGCTTCCCTCGGGAATTGCTGGAATCGCGGCTGTAGCGGCTCAACTCGCCCGCGCTGCTACAGCCGCGTCCCCCCCGCGCCGTCCGCCAGGAGGGAGGGAAAGCGGGCCGGAGAGAGAGAGATATGATCCCGAAAAGCAGTACCTGACTCAGCCTAGTGGCGTGCTGTCTGGGTTTATTGAGAGGAAGTTTAAAACCCCTCCCAAGCGGCAGCAGCAGCAGCAATACCAGCAGCAGACACATGGAGGTGGTTTTGTTGGCGGAGGTACAGGAGCAAGTCCGGAATTTGGAGTTCCGAAGCGATCAGGTTCGGGAACTGGCCGAGCCATCCTAGGCTTGGGAGTGTCTTCTGACCGCCCCTCCAGCTCCACCGGTCGACCTTCCAGCTCCGGTGGTCAAACCTCTGGTGCAGGCCTGGGTGCTAGTAGGGGGAGTGGTTATAAAGGGGGCGGTGGGTGGGGGGGGAGTGATAAAGGGGAGGAGGACGAAGGGTGGGGGGCAGAGGTGGAGACAGATGAGTGGGATAAGGGCAGCACGGGTGGGTGGGAGGGACTAGGGCTAGCAGCTGCAGTCTCAGTGAAACCCTCGAAAGGTGTTACCAGCAGTAGCACTGGTGTTACCAGTAAGAGTGGTGTTTCCAGCAGCAGTGGTGTTGCCAGTGGTATTGCTGCTGGTGTTGCTGCTGCTGCTTCTGCTGCTGATGCTGCTGGTGCTGATGTTGATAGTGACGATAGTAGCAGCAGCGGAGGCTGGGATAATTCAGATTGGGAATCCTTATCCCCTGTAGCTGCCACCGCTGCTGGTGGGCAGGCCTTGTCTTCTTCTGCCGCTGGTGGGCTTTCCATGTCTTTTTCTGGAGCGAGACTGGCAGAAGACGTAAGGGGAAGGAGGGTCAGGGGACTGGGGGTTGATTCCCTAAATAGACCCAGTGACGGGGGAAGGGGAGGGGGCAACAGAGGGGGAGTTGGGGTGAAGGGGGGAAGCGGGGGGAGCGGGGATTGGGGGAACTGGGGCTCGTGGGATGGGGGGGAGACAAAGGCAGGGGGAAGATCCCCCTCCTGGGAGAGTAAATCCGGGGGAGGGGCAGGCGGAGGGGGCAACTGGGGGTGGGGAGCTTCACCCAGGGGGAGTGGTATTGGGGCGGGGGGCGCAGGGCGAGGGGGAACGGGGGGAGGGGGGATGGGGAGCGGGGGGAAGGTAGGGGCGGGCGTGCCATTATCATCCAGGAAAAAGAGAAGGAGAGGAGTGATTCTGTGTTGCCTGGTTAGTTCTGTAGTGATGGTGGTGATGCTGCTCCTGGTGGGGTTCATAGGCGGTTTTTCAGCTCAGTCAAGAGTGAGGAGGGACGATGGCAGTGTGAGCGGCAGTGAAAACAGCAGTGAGAGCAGCAGCGATTTTGGTGTTAGTATCAACGATCCCAGCAGCAGCAGCAGCAGCAGCAGCAGCAGCAGCAGCAGCAGCAGCAGCAGCGGTAGCAGCGGTGGCAGTAGCAGCAGTGGCAGTAGCAGTGGGGTTGGTGGTGGTGGCGGTGGTGGCGCTGTTGATGGTGATGGTGGGGATTCTGCCTCTGCTATAGGAACTTTCGCTCCAGTCACACCAGACACATCCCTACTCAACGGCTTAGCAACTAGGGAAGAGGAGGGTGCTGCTGTGCTGAGAGCAGATGCTGCTGGCGCTGGGGCAAGCATGGTGCAACAGAAGACTCCTGGGCTGCTGAGTGCAGGGGAAGGAGGAACAGGGCAGCAGCTAGATCCGAGAACAGAACAGGAATCGCAGGGAGATGGTATGAGGGAGAGGGAGGTGGGGAGGAGAGGAGAACGCGGGATGGAGAGGGCGGGATTTGGGGAGGCTGGGGCTGAGGAAGGTGGTACTGAGGACGGGGATATAAGGGTTAGTGGGCGGGTGGGGCCTCGTGGAAGGGGGAGGGTTGCAGGCAGGATGGGGCAGGATGGGATGGTGGGAGGAGGCGTAGGAGGGGTGGTTGTGAGAGAGGGCGGGATTGGAGTCGCTAGGAGCGATGGTGTTGGTGCTGCTGGTGCTGGCGCCGCTGGTGCTTATGTTGCTGGTGCTGGTGTTTCTGATGGTAGTGGTGGTGGTGGTGGTCTGAGAAGCATTGGAGCTTCTACCGGCGTTGGGGGTCCTGATGACACTGTCCCAGCGGATTCGCTAAGAGGTGATCCGGTATTGGAAGCAGCAGCTAGGCTCGTGGGGAAACGGTCCACAGCAGAAGATGAGGAGCTGGATGGAGAAGGGGCAACCGACCAGGAGGTGGCGGGAGAGGGGCAGATGGAAAGAGTGGGGAGGGTGGAAAGACAGGGGCAGTTTGAAAGGCAGGGGCAAGGAGAGAGGAGAGAGGACGAGTTGAGAGGGAGGGGGAGGGATGCCGAAGGGGATGAAGGCGAAAGAAAGGTGGAGGAGGGAAGGTTGGGGCAGTCAGATATTGAGATGGCACAGGAGGAGGGGGGGATACCAGAGGGGGAGGGGGAGGCGCTAAGGGAGGAGAGAGAAGGGAGAGGAAACGGGGGGGAAGCAGAAGAGACGGGAGGAGGCGAGAGGGAGGGAGAAGAGGCGGGGGAGGAAGAGAGGGGAGGAGCTGAGGGGGGGGATCTGCAGCAGCAGCAGCTGCTGAGAGAGCGAGAGATTGTGAATCAAGGAGTTGTCGTCCCCGATACAACCCCGCAGGGTTTACCGTACAGTGATACTGGTGGTAGGGCTGGTGGGATGGGCGGAGGTCTTTCTGGTGAGGGTGAAAGTGAGGGGGGTTGGGAAGGTGAGAGGGGGAGGGGGAGTGAGAGAGGGAGAGGAGGGGAGGCAGAGGATGGGGTGGAGGTGGATCATGAGACAGAGAGTCACCATGTGCGGACCGGGGCTTTTAAGGATGAAGGGGAAGGGGCAGGGGAGGGAGAAGTGGAAGGTGGGGAGAGTGGGGAAGGGGTAGGGGGAGGGAGAGCGGAAGGGGGAGGGGAAGGGGTAGGGGGAGGGAGAGCGGAAGGGGGAGGGGAAGGGGAAGGGGGAAGGATACTGGATATTGCAGGAAGAGCCATGGATGTTGCAGACGGAGGGGGGAGGGAGCAAGTATCGGATCTTACAGGGGACTTTGACTCCAAAGGAGGCCAGGGCGTGGCCGGGCAGGCACAGGGTGCATTGGGGCAGGCACAGGGCGCAGCAGGGGGAGTACATGGTGCACTGGCGCAAGCACAGGGCGAGAGGAATGCAGGCATAGGGGATGTAAGAGGGGATGCAGGAATGAGGAACGCAGGGACGAAAGAGGGAGAGGGAGAGGGTAAGAAGCATGAGGAGGATGACGAGGTGCTGCGAGGGCTGGGGGGAGTGGAAGGGGAGGAGGAAGAGGCTGGGGCGCGTGGTGGTGGCACTATGGCTGCTGCTGTAGACAGGGGCATTGATGCTGCTGCTGCCAACGGGGGCATTGATACTCGAATTTCTGGTTCTGATTATGGCTCTGGTTCCGCTTCTGGTGCTGGCAGGGGATCTGCTACTGGTGGTGGTGCTGCTGTTTCTGGTGCTGCTGCTGGTGCTGCTGTTGATAGGGGTGAGTTTAGTGGTGAGGTGGGAGAGGGGGGCGTGCAGGGACCAGAAGCTGTGGAAGATGATGCAGAGGGGGAGGACGAGGGGGGAGTGGGAGGCGGAGAAGGGAAGGGCGTGGGAGGGGAGAAGGAGGAGGGTGAGGAAAAGGAGGAGCAGGAGGAGAAAGAGGGGGATGGGGAGAGCGAGCGAGAGAGAGCAGGGGTAGCTGAGGGAGAGGGAGAGGAGGGTGGAAGCACGGAGGGGGATGGGGATGGGGATGGGGATGGAGATGGGGAGGGTGACGGGGATGGGGAGGCAGGTGTGGGGATGGGAGGGGAGGGTGATTTGGATGGGGGAATGGAGGGTGAGATGAGGGCGGCTAAGAGAGTGCGTAGGAGGAGGAAGAGGAGAGGGACGGCTGCTGCTGGCCAGGGTAGTGACGGCAGCCGCAGCAGCAGCACTGGCAGCCTCAGGAGCAGTGGCGATGGCATCAGCAGCGGCAGCAGCAGCATCAGCAGTGGCAGCATCAGCCGGAGCAGCAGCAGCGGTGGCAGCGGTTTGGGTGGCAGTGAGGGAGGTGTAATAAGGAAGGAGGGATCAGAATGGGGCTCGGCTGTGGCAGTGTCAGATGGTGGCAGGGGGGAGACGACTTTTGAGGCGCCTCAAAAGCTGGGTGGCAGTGAGGGAGGAGTAATCAGGAAAGAGGGATCAGAATGGGGCTCGGCTGTGGCAGATGGTGGCAGACGGGAAGGGGCAGGTCAGCAGCAAGAGCAAATGCATCAGCAGCCAATGCAGCTGCCAGGAGTGCAGGAAGCACGAGAGACAGTGGGATCTCAGGTGCTTGGCCGAGCACAAGGGACTAGATTGCCGCAGCAGACAAATTTGCAAATGCAGCAAGGGCAGATGCAGCAGGGGCAGATGCAGCAAGGGCAGATGCTGCAGCAGCAGGCACTTCAGCAGCAGAAGCAAACACTGCAACAGCAGCACCTTGAGCCTAAGTCATTTTCTGGTTCAACTGCAGGTTCAGGTGCAGGTTCAGGTTCAGGTTCAGGTTCAGGTTTGAATTCAGACCCTATTCTTGGGCTTGACGAGGCTGAGAATCTGCTGAGGGATGTGCCTTCCTCTGATGACGTGGCAGTGGATAAATCCTCGTCATCTCTGCCTACATCCACCTCAGGTCCGCCCACATCCACATCAGCAGCATCCACTTCACTCCAAGCACAATCGCAGCAACCGAATCTGCTGACCAAGCCAGCCTCCTCTCTCCTTTATGCCACTCCTGTTATTGTCACTCCTGCCACTGTTACGACTACCTCTGCTCCGGTTACCAGCAGCAAAAGCATTCTCTCTCCTAGCCCTATGGTCACCGCAGGTAGCAGAACAGGAACATTAGCAGGGACAGCAGCAGGTGCTGGTGTTATGGGAACAGCAGCCAAAGCCACCACAGGACGTACATCAGGAATGACTGCAGGGGCATTATCAGGTGGAGTTGCTCTGGGAGCAGCAGCAGGAGGCAAAGGAGGCACCGGAGTGATAGCAGGGGCGGCAGCAGGTGGAGGTGAAGGGAGAGTAGTTGAAGGGAGAGGAGTAGGTGCAGGTGGCACCATGCTTCGTGGGACGGGTGGCACATCTGCCACGTCACCACCTGCATCACCTGCATCACCTGCCACGTCAGCAGCAACAGTGAAGCCTGTAGCAGGAACAACAGCAACACCATCAGCAACACCACGCCCTGCAGTATCATCCCCGTCCCTATTAGCAGCTGTAACAAAGACGCTGCCTGCCAGTCCTGCAGCAGCAGTTGTAGCACAGTCAGTGCCTGCCACCCCTGCAGCGGCAGCGGCTGTAGCAAAGCTGGTACCTGTCGCTCCTGCAACATCTGTAGCGAAACCTGTGCCTGCCACTCCTGTAGCAGCAGCTGTAGCACTGCCTGCCACTTCTGCTGCAGGAGCAGCTGTAGCAAAGCTGGTACCTGTCACTCCTGCAGCTGTATCACAGCCATTGCCTGCCACTCCTGCTGCAGAAACAGCTGTAGCAAAGCTGGTGTCTACCACTCCTGGAGCAGCAGCTGTATCACAGCCATTACCTGCCACTCCTGCAGCACCAGCTGTAGCACAGCCAGCCCTCCTCACTCCTCGCCTTACTCCACTCTCAGCGGCTGTAGCAACCACAGTCCCCCCAAGCACTGCTACAGCAGCTGCCAACACACCAGCAACACCTGTTGCCCTGCCTGCTGCTATTGGCGCATCTACTCCTGTCGGTGCCACATCTATCCCCAACACCGGCACATCTATCCCCAACATCGGCACATCTATCCCCAACACCGGCACATCTATCCCCAACACCGGCACATCTATCCCCAACACCGGCACATCTATCCCCAACACCGGCACATCTTCCCCAACAGCCAAGGCTACTCCAATTATTACATCTACTCCCATCCGCACGCCTACCCCCACCACTTCAACTATCTCCGAAGCTGACAGCCAGGCTTTGGCTAAGCTCATGCAAGGAAAGCCAGGTTCGGCAGCTGGAGGCTCGGCTGCCGCAGGCTCGGGTGCAGTCGCAGGCTCGGTGACAGCCAGCCCAGCAGCCTCGGCCAAGGTAGCTGCCAAACCTGCGCCAACAGCCCCCAAGCCTGCAACGTATGTTCTTCCATCATCAGCAGCAGCAGGAGGCGCAGCAGGAGCAGGAGGAGCAGCAGCAGGAGGAGCAGCAGCAGGAGCAGTAACAACAGCAGGGGCAGCGGGCACAAGTCAGGCCAAGCCTTTGTCAGACACTCAACCGGCAGCTAAGCCAAAGACTCCTCCAGCTACAGGTGGTGCTGCTGCTGGTGGGGCTGCTGCTGTTGCAAGCCCAGCCAAACCAGCAGCTGTTGCAGCAGGTAGTGCTGTTGCTGGGAGTACTGGCGGAGCTGCTGCCGCTTCTGGTGGGACGGCCAGTGCTGTTCCTGCCCATGCTGCTGCTGGTGCGACTAGTGCTGCTGCTGCTGCTGCTGCTGCTGCTGCTGCTACTGCTGCTGCATCTGCTAAACCTGCAACTGCTGCTGCTTCAGGTGCCAGGCCCGTCAGCCCTACACAGGTTACCACTGCACTAGTTACATCCACACCAGTTACATCTGCGAAGGTTACATCCGCACCGGTTACGTCTGCCAAGGTTACCTCTGCTCCGGTTACCACCTCAGCAGGTGCTGCTTCTGGTACTGCAGGCTTGATTGCTGATGTGGCTGGTGGTGCCAGTGCTGGCGGTGCTAAAGCTGGTGCCAGTGGAGCAACAAGCACCACCATGCAAGATAAAACAACAAAAACAAGTGCAGTGTGATAGTCTGAACCGTTCTATACATAGAAACATTCTATTGTTGAGTGGTGTAGGTGGGGCGAGTGGCTGGAACTTTGGGTTGAGTTTACACAGAGTGCCAATGATTCTAAAAGTGTACTTGGCAAAAACGATCAACTATCACATATATTTTCAGGTTTATGCCGTCCCTTTGTAAGGAATTTTCTCGGCATTCCTTACGGAGCCGACTACATCGCGTATAGCAACAGCCGATTGTTCGCCCGTTACTGCTAACGGAACTTCGCCGACTTCGCGCGCACTGTTTTGCCAAACCTCGCATTGCTGGCATGGCCGTATCGGCCTACGCTTCGGGACTAGCCCGAGCCTCGTTCCAGCGTAGCACTAGCAAGCTCGCACGCACCGCGTTACCGTTTTGCATGTTTCGCGTATAAATGTTCGCTCATGCCTTCGCTCACATTTTGTACTCGTTTGACACCTTAGTGCAATTCTCGCTACTTCGATTCATTGCACCCGTAACACTTGGTTATCAGAGCCCCTTTCTTTCGGACCGCGCATCTCCGCACACCAGGAAATCAACTTTTGATTTTTCACTCGAAGGGACTCACGCACCTTAGCTCCTAGGAGCCGCTGTCCTCGCGTTCTCGCGTAAACGCGTGCAGCCACGACTGCGCCTAGACTAAGACGAGCCGACGCCCTTCGTCATGGCCGAAAATATCGACGTCACCACTCTCACGCAGGAGCGTTTGAACGATCTGCTGCGACAACTGCACGAAAGCTCCGAGGAAATCGCGGCATTGACGGCAGAACGCTCATCACTGCAAAATGACCTCATGAGAGCACAATCTCAAGCACCTGGCACTCCGATTCAACCCGCACCCTCAACATCACAACACGGGAGTGTGGGGCAACCCGCGAGCGCGGCCAGTGATGGCGTCGTCCGCCCCGACGGAGACGACGACCACGGCACGACACACCCCAGAGCGACGCCTGCGGCCCCAAGCCAGCCTCGCGTCACGATTTCGGCACCAACCCACGATTCGGGACTGCCGTCACCGATGCCGCTGAAGCCGCAGCGCCCGCCATGCTTTGACCCGAGTCAACGGGGTGGTCCTACCGTCCAGGCGTGGTTGTTCACAATGAATGTCTTCTTCGACGCCAACTACGTCTCGGAGGACTCGGCGAAGATTCGATACGCCGTGTCGTTGCTGCGAGGACCCGCCATGGACTGGTGGCGCGTCATCGTCACGAAGCCGACCGACTACGCGACACTACCGACACGGGAAGGACAAACCGGACCCTGGGCGCCGTCGTATTTCGTGGAGGTGCCCCAGTATCGCACGTGGGACGCGTGGTGCGCAGGTCTGCGCGCTCGATTTGAGCCAATCGCGGCCTCGATCTCGGCGCGACAGAAGCTCCGCACTTGGCGCCAACTCGGTTCCGTCCAGGATTACACGAGCGGATTTCTGGCGCTATGCGAGCAGGTGGGCTACATGCATGAGAGCGAACGCATCGACCGCTACATCGGCGGCCTGAAGCAGGACATCGCTCAGGAAATCCAGCTTCGCGGCGTCACTGAGTTTCAGGAAATTCTCGCTATGGCGGAGAAGCTCGACTTCTTTCGCCGACCGAGACCGGGGTCCTACGGAAACAACAACTGGGGACATCGGCCTCGTGGGACGAACGAAAGCGCCACGATACGCGCCGTCGCCGCAAATGCCGCCGCCGCACCGTTCAAAGGGCGCTGCTTTGCGTGCAATCGGCCGGGACATCGCAAGAGCGAATGCCCGGAAAACGCTAAGGGAAAGGGGGAAGTTGAGCAGCAGACACAGACCAAGCAGCAGGGAAACGCTGGAAGTCAGTAGCAGACGGGCCCTCTACTGACAGGTCACGCCGCTCGCCCGACCCAACCGACCCTCACCGAGTGATTGTGCCGGTTCACGCAATCGACCACACCCGGCCGAATAAGGAGGGTACCACGGTAGATAGCCCTATACTGCTCAGTGGGAAAATTGGGACGGACTTAGTTAAAATCTTCGTAGACGGGGGAGCCAGCCACAGCCTCATTAACACTGCTACAGCACGAAAACTGCGACTGCCACTGGACCGATGCTTACCTGAGATCGACGCACGACTGGTAGACGGCACGCCGCTGGCAATACGGGAACGCGTAGACCGAGTTCGGATTCGATGCGGGGGTAACTTCACGTTTAGCCAGGAAATGCTCGCAACGACCCTCGACGGAACCGACATTTTACTCGGGCGTGATTGGCTGCGACGACACAATCCGCGAATTGACTGGACGACGGGGGACTGCACCGTGCGAGTGAATGGTAACAACATCGCCTTACCTCGCTGGGGCTCGCCTGAGTCTTCGTCGGTGCGTGTCAATGCGATCACGATGAAACGCGCTGTTGCGGCCGGAGCCGACGTGTACGCGGTTGACATTCGGGAAGCCGAGGCAGCAGACAAGGGGGGTGATTTACAGAAACTGCTGACCGACGTACCGAGTGACCTGGCGGCACTGTTAAAACAGTACAGTGACATTTTCCCGGACGACCTGCCGACGGGACTGCCACCTCAGCGACCGCATGATCACAGGATAGAACTGGAACCGGGAGCACAGCCAACAGTACAGCGACAGTTCCGACTGACCCAACCCGAACTAGACGAACTGAGGAAGCAGCTCGATTACCTGCTCGAAAAGGAATTCATTCGCCCTAGTTCGTCGCCCTTCGCCGCACCCATACTGTTCACACCGAAAAAGGACGGGGGGTTTCGCATGTGTATCGACTACAGGGCACTGAACAGGGTTACCATCAAATCCCGTTACCCCATCCCACGAGCCGACGAACTGATTGACCAGCTGCGCACAGCCCGGGTTTTCTCGAAAATCGACCTCCAAGGAGGCTACCACCAAATCCGCGTCAACCCACCCGACCGCCCTAAAACCGCATTCCGAACACGCTACGGATCCTTCGAATACACCGTCATGCCATTCGGACTGACCAACGCCCCCGCCACTTTCCAAATGACCATGAACGAAGCATTCCGCCCGCTTTTAGATAAGTGCGTCATCGTTTATCTGGACGACATACTGATTTACAGCCCTGACAGAGCACAGCACTTACAAGACATCGAAGCAGTTTTTAAAATCCTGAGTGAGAACCGCCTACTGACCAAAGCATCTAAGTGTGAGTTTTTACAGGACCGCCTGGAGTTTTTGGGACATGTTATTTCAGCTGCAGGAGTGGAAATAGACCCGAAGAAAATTGCGACGATTCAGGCTTGGCACGCGCCGACCAACTTGACCGAGTTGCAGAGTTTCCTGGGGTTCGTCAACTACGTGCGCCGGTTCGTCCCCGACATGGCGAAGCTGACTGCCCCGTTGACCGACCTGCTGAGGAAGGGGGTTGAGTACACGTGGGGGGAGAAAGAGCAAGCTGCCTTCTCGGCCCTCAAAAACATTTTGTGCTCCCCGCCCGTCCTTCACATTGCAGATCCCCACCGTCCGTTCGAGCTCGTCACCGACGCAAGTGACATCGCTGTGGGAGCAGTACTGTTGCAGGACTTTGGGAACGGCCTCCAGCCAATCGCGTACGAGTCCCGCAAACTACACCCGCCCGAACGTAACTACCCGATACACGACCGCGAGATGCTAGCGATCGTGCACGCGTTCAAAGTTTGGCGATGTTACCTGACTGGCGCCGACGTGACAGTACGGACAGACCACCGATCACTACAGTACCTTCGCGCCCAACCGAATCTCAACCCACGACAGATCCGCTGGTTGGACTATCTCGAGTCCAATTTTCATTACACCGTTACGTACAAAAAAGGCGCATCCAACATCGCCGACGCTCTCACCCGCCCCACCGCCCAACTCCACGCCATCCTACTCGCCCAGACCAACCCGCTTTTAACCGGCCTATTCACCCACGGATACCGCACCGACCCATTCTTCACGACCGGAAATTCACAGCAACTGGCAGAAGCAAAAGGAGTTTATTACGTAAAAACAGGCACCAACCGCATTTGGGTACCCGCGTACTCACTACTGAGGGAGCTGCTACTACAGGAGGCACACGACGGGATTACCTCGGGACATTTCGGGGTAGAAAAAACGCGACAGCAACTGCAGCGGTATTATTACTGGCCGGAGCTGTTGACCGACGTACAGCAGCACGTGGGCTCGTGCCCGACGTGTCAGGTGATGAAGAGTTCAAGGAAGCGGAAGGCGGGTCAATTGCAGCCGATCCCACCGCCCGAACGCGCCTGGCAGCAAGTAACCATGGACTTCGTCACGGGGTTACCTTCGAACCCTGGGGGTAACGACGCGGTGATGGTCGTCGTGGATAGGTTGACGAAGATGGCACACTTCGCTGCGTGCAAAAAGTCGATCTCAGCCGAAGAGACCGCTCGCCTGTTCATCGCAGCCGTTGTTCGCCTGCACGGGATACCAGCAGCAATTATCAGCGACAGGGACACGAAGTTTACCAGCAACTTCTGGAAGAACCTCTGGGAGCAGTTCGGGACCAGGCTACAGTTCAGTTCGTCGTACCACCCCGAGACCGACGGCCAAACGGAGCGGACGAATCAGACGATGGAGCAGTTGATTCGTGCCACGTGCGACGACCCCACGACCTGGGAGCAGCAGCTGCCGCTGATCGAGTTCGCGTACAACAACGCCACATCAGCCACGACGCAGCAGTCCCCGTTCTACCTGAACTATGGGCAAAACCCCATAGTGCCCATGACGCCGAGTCCGGACAACCCAACGCCACGTGCACAACAATTCGCCGAAGTCCTGCAAGCTGCCCGCGCCAGAGCCGCCGAAGCAATAAAAAAGGCCAACGTCATCGCTAAGCGCAACGCTGATCGCCACCGCCGCCCTGTCACGTACCAATCTGGAGATTACGTGCTACTCGACACGCAAAATCTGCGACTGCCCGACGTACCGAAATTACGACCGCGCTACTGTGGACCATTCCAAATCAGTCACATGATCACACCCGTCACCGCACACCTACTGTTGCCAACCGACTGGTACATCAGCCCTTCGTTCCACGTCAGCCTACTTCGCCCATACATCCCGACCACAAGTCAACTGCCGCGTCACCGGCCACAATCAATGACTCGCCCTGCATCAGAGCCGATCATTGAGCCCGAAAAAATTCTGAGCCATCGGATCCGCCACCCCACGGGAATCAGGAGGATTGAATTCCTCGTTCGCTGGAAAGACCGCACGCCAACTGAAGATAGCTGGGTGCCCCCGAGCAAAATCGAAAATCACCCTGCCCTGCAAGTGTACCTGAGGAGCCGGGGATTCCGCGATATACACGCACTCGCGTAGCGGAGGGGGCTTCTTAAGGGGGGGGGTAGTGTAAGGAATTTTCTCGGCATTCCTTACGGAGCCGACTACATCGCATACAGCAACAGCCGATTGTTCGCCCGTTACTGCTAACGGAACTTCGCCGACTTCGCGCGCACTGTTTTGCCAAACCTCGCACTGCTGGCATGGCCGTATCGGCCTACGCTTCGGGACTAGCCCGAGCCTCGTTCCAGCGTAGCACTAGCAAGCTCGCACGCACCGCGTTACCGTTTTGCATGTTTCGCGTATAAATGTTCGCTCATGCCTTCGCTCACATTTTGTACTCGTTTGACACCTTAGTGCAATTCTCGCTACTTCGATTCATTGCACCCGTAACACCCTTGCAGTTGCATTTTTTTCGCCACACCACCGACAGTCTCGGGAATGCCGAGCCAGCTTTTTCGTTGTGTTCGCATTGAGCCTAACCAACCGTTGGATATTCTGAAACGACCGCTCTAGCTCGAAAACCATCTTACTAAACCGTATTGAGTTCGTCGCACTCGCACATCATCAATTCCCCCCACACCACACCCCCTCCTCCCCATCTCCCCGCAGCAAAGCCCCTTTTCCCCATCACCAGTCCCTTCTTGAGAAATCCGCGCCCATTTCGACCTTGGCAATATCAGCTGGAAAGGACAGACCAGGTCACTAGGCTGAATAGAGAACGCCTGAACATTGGCCGTCTTCAATCCATGGACGTTCTAGGAGAATAGTTGCCAGGCATTGATAGGCTGAGCGACATACTTCTGCTTCCGTTTCGTACTGCTCTCATTTCTCGCTCTCCGCTTCATCCCGCCTCCGCATTTTCGCCAGCCGTTCGGAATCCGAGGCCGGATATTGAGCAGCGGACTTGCAAATTTGCTCCCACCTCGCCAACATTTCAAGCGGCAGCTGAAAAATTACGAATCAGAGGCTGCCTTTCTGGTGGCATTTTTTCGCTAATCATTGGCGCTGTGATCGATCAGCCCGGAAGCCATGGCTAGTACACCTCGCATTTTCTTTCTGGTCGCCGTTATTATTCCCCTACTCCTCCTTCTCTCCTCTCTTCCTTCCGCCGAGCCTGCTCGGGAAAGGGCCGGGGGAAGAGGCGGAGGGAGGGGCGCGGGGAGAACCGGCTTGCGTCCCGATCCGCGCTCGCGGAGGGGGAACGCGCGAGTTTCCGCGTCACGATCCATCTCCCCCGCCGCTTCCCGCCGTTCCGCCTCCGCCTCTTCCGCCACGCTCTCCGCCTCCGCCTCTTCCGCTTCCGCCTCCGCCGCAGCGTCCGCGGAGAAACCCGCGGGCTGCAGCTGCTACACCGTCCGCAACTCGTTCTGCTGCTGGCAGTCGCTCTGCGTCTGCCACAACGTGTGCTATAACGGATCCGCTCTTGTCGGGGATTTCGGGTCGCAGCCCTGCATCCGCGCGCCGCTCCCGGAGGCGGCGGAGAACGGCGCTGGAAACGAGACTGCCCGCGAAAAGCGGCGGCGGCAGCGGCTGCTGCAGGAGGAAAACCCTCTCGTGCCGGTGACGTGTCGCCGATTGGATAAATTCCGCCGGATTTTACGGATCACCTTAAAGGAGGCGCCGATAGACGGGATTGGACAGCGCGACAAGGGGTAAGCCGTCGGAAAACATGGCGTGTGTGATTAGGATACCATCCCCCTGGCAGGTGGCGCTAGGAGAGGGAGCAGATTCGCGCAGGCACGACGTACCTGCAGCCTCTCCTCTCCTCTCCTATTAGTTTGTTCCCAGTGTTTCCCCTTGCGCCACGCGCATCCCTCCCTGACAGGTGGCGCTAGGAGAGAGAGGACGTTCAAGCAGGCACGACGTGCCTGCAGCCTTTAAACGCGGATTGTCTCAACAGCGCATCATTCTTTCTCTCCTTACCTCCTTACCTCCTTCCCCCCTCCCTCGTTTCCCTTCCTCACCTCCCTAGCAGGTGGCGCAAGGAGAGGGAGCGCATTGAGTGGCGAGCAGGCACGACGTGCCTGCAGCCATTCCTCCTTTGAGTTTGCTGCCAGCCTTTGCCCTTCCCTTGCACTCCCCTCACCCCTCTCTCTGCCAGGTGGCGCAAGGAGAGGGAGCGCATTGAGTGGCGAGCAGGCATGACGTACCTGCAGCCATTCCTCCTCTCCTCCCCTCTCTTCCTTCCCCCCCATTCCCTCCGTACCTCCCTCGTCCGCCTCCCTTCCCCCACACCCCCCTCGTCCCTCCCTAACAGGTGGCGCAAGGGCCGAGACAGCATAGAGTGGCGGAAAGGCATGACGTACCTGCAGCCATTCGTCCTTGCACTCCCCTCTTCCTTCCCTCTCTGCCAGGTGGCGCAAGGGGAGAGAGCGCATAGAGTGGCGGAACTTCACTCATAGCGGAAGAGCTGCAACTCTGAAGATTGGAAATCGCTTAAAGCAACAGGATCGAAACTTGGAAAAAAACTTCCCCCTCTTCCTTCCCTCTCTGCCAGGTGGCGCAAGGGGAGAGAGCGCATAGAGTGGCGGAAAGGCACGACGTACCTGCAGCCTCTTGACGCGGATTGCCTCAACATCGCGTCATTCTTCGGTACGATTCTGATTTTCTTGCACAGGTTCTGTATAGATTTGCTGTCTGCAGTGCTCATCACTGTAATCAGTCAACCCTATGTCCATCCTTCCCATCCCATCCATCCCCCATCCCTGCCCTCTCCTCAACCCTCCCCCCTCTCCTCAACCCTCCCCCCTCTCCTCACGCTTTTCCTCACCCCTCCCTCTCCTCTCCCTCCTCCATCTTTCATCTTTTCTTTACTTCAACTTCCCAAGCAGTTGTCTCTTCTTACCGCTTCCTATCTGAAACTCCTAGTTGCAGAACAGCTCATGCGACAGTTCTAACTGTTATTAACGCTGCATTTTCAGCAGGTGTCCTGCTTTTTTTTTCTCGCGAATGGTGGGTCCCCCTTTCCTAAGTTTCCGCTCGCTGCCCTTGCTTCTACCATCCTCGCCCGTTCTTTCCCTTTCCTCCTTCCGCCAGGCAAAGTGGGTCAGCTTCTTCTAATCAACAACGCTTCTAAGCTAGCCTTACCCCACCCAGTGGATCACTTCATGTTCCCACGCGCCCCCCAGCTGCTGCAAGCGTAAGATTTTCTTTTAAGCAAGCATGTTGTTTCAGCTAATAAGCACCATAACTGTTCAGCCTAATTGCCGACGTGGAGCGTTTTGCAGGTGGTCCTAATAGTCAATAGTAAGGAGGAAATTTTGCATGTGTTTTCTGTAATCATCCCTGCTTTAGGGTTGAGAATGCCTGGCTTTGAAGCAGCAGATTATTGGGAGGATGGTAGTAGTGTTGCTGGGGTTCTGAACTGAAGCATATACATTACCCGCCTCTTCTTATGTATCCTTGCTTTCTGTGTCCCCTTCGAGTTGACTTTTGAGTCGACTCAAAAGTCAATTCTGGACTGAAGCATATACATTACCCGCCTCTTCTTATGTATCCTTGCATTCCATTTCCTCTTTTATTACCCCAACAGCGTGCAAGCAGCGGGCAAGGACAGCTGGCACGTGGTGGTGTTGCGGCAGCTGCTGGGCCTGGCAGTGGCGCCGATGCTGGGGGAGACGGCTCTCAAGAAGGCCAGCATGGCCGCCAGGAGGTGAGGTGTGCTGCAAAGGATCTTGCTGTGACACGGGGTAAGCAATGAGGCAGCTGCTGGGGCTGGCAGCTGCTGGGCCTGGCAGTGGCGCCGATGCTAGGAGAGATGGCGCTCAAGAAGGCCAGCATGGCCGCTAGGAGGTGAGGAATGCAGGTGTGTGTGTGTGTGTGTGTGTGTGTGTGTGTGCGTGCGTGCGTGCGTGCGTGCGTGCGTGCGTGCGTGCGTGCGTGCGTGCGTGCGTGCGTGCGTGCGTGCGTGCGTGCGTGCGTGTGTGTGTGTGTGTGTCTCAAGGGTTGAGTCTGGTTTGGACAGGTTTAGACAGGCCTTTGCTTACACTTGGACAGGCTTGGACATTTTTTCTTGGCACAGAGGCAGTGGAAGGAGGACTTGTTAAGTTTATTTTGTCGCCTTTTCCCCCTTCCCCAATCCCGTATTGACGGGTTTGGATGATCTGGATGGGTTTGGGTGCGTTTGGATGATTTTGGATGGGTGTGAACAGGTTTATTGGCACAGAGCCTCTAGCCGGAGGCCTTGTTGAGTTTGAGCCAGCGTTTGAAGCAGCCTCGGAAACCCGGCCTCTGTGCTTCGGAAAGGTGGTCATCCCGGGGAAACTTAAAGCCATAACTTACCCCGGTGGTCCTTCAGAAGCCGAGATGTTTAAAGCCCACCTCGGGTCGTCCCTCGGGCTGCCCAATCCGCCGCTGCCACTTGGCGACAGCCCCAGCGCCCGTGCCAAGCCGCGCGTGCAGCTACTATTCATTCGGAGGAACAGGACGAACGTGGGCGGGCGGCGAATTCTGGATGATGGGAGTGACGGAGCACTGTACGATCTCTTTTATGACATGGGCTTTAAGGTGAGCAAATCCAGTCCGGACAAACCTTAGGATAAAAAGCCCTTACGTTGACTTGGAGCTGGCCTCACAGGTATCCCTTTCCTTCCCTCCTCCCTTCTCTCCTCCCTCAACACGCTCCCCCTCCCTTCTATTTTCCCTCAACACGCACTACCTTCCTTCCCTCTACCTTCCCCCCCACCCGGCTTTCATCCCTCAGATCCGCAGGGCGGATTTCACGCGTCTGTCCTTCCGCCAGCAGTATGAAGCGGTTCTCAACGCAGAGGTCATTGTGGGGTTGCACGGCGCCAGCCTCACAAGCACCCCCCTCCCTTCTCTCCACTACCCAACCCCGACCTCCACCTCTCCCCTCTCCCACTCCGCAGATTCGCAGGGCGGATTTCACGCGCCTGTCCTTCCGCCAGCAGTATGAAGCGGTTCTCAACGCCGAGGTCATTGTGGGGGTGCATGGTGCCGGCCTCACAAGCGCCGCCGCTTTCGCCCGAAACCGCTCCGTCGTTTTGGAAATAATGCCGCACAACACGTTCAACCCGCGGTATTATTTCATGGCGGTCCAGGCTGGCGTGAGCTATTTTCTCCATCAGCTGCGGCCAGGTGCCAAGCAGCCATTGGACGAGGAGTTTGAGACGCTGACAGTGCGGAAGTGCTCCAGTGTTCCCGATTGTCGTAAATATTTTTACGAGGATCGGCTGGTGAATGTGACTAAGGAGGATTTGGAGGATTTGAAGGTGCTTTTGGGGGAGGCTCGGACGTTTGTGCGTCAGGCTCGGTGGAATCTGAATTGGGCAGGAAAGCGGCTAAGGATGCGGTACGAGACACTGTGCTCTGCGGGGAAGGCGAGGGATATTGGATGCCGCATGGATTTGATTCGTTCGCCGGTGGCCGATGTGAAGACGGAATGTTTGATGAAGATGGACTGCTTAACCGTTAAGCCTATGTTAGCGGACGACCTGGACGACATCATGTAGTAATTATGTTTTTATATGTGAAGATTCTCGAAGCCGTGGAAGTGCTTGTTTCTTTACTGTTATTACTTGAACTGTGATTCTCGCTGCAACTCACTGTACACTTCCTCCACTGTGATTCGCAGATGCATTATACCTGCTTCGACTTTCGCTGACCAGGTAGTTTGGAGTGCTGGACACGTGGATGCTCAACAATCGGTCAATCCGGCTTTCAGTAACAGGTAATAGCGTCAAGCCGTCAGTTTTGCCGCTCAATGAGACCTTCCCAGCGGGTGCGAAAACGCGATGTGCCCTCTACAGTGCCATCGCTGTTCGCTCGCGATCTCGTGGACCGTACGCTGACTTCGTAAACCCTTCGTCAACTCGAAGGGACTAATGACAGCTGGGGCACACTGACGGTCTTGCCCCGGAATGTGCTGGTAGCTGGCAGTCAACGACCAGACACCAGCTGGCAGCTTCACTAACGCGTGAAACAACTTCACCAAGCAAATCATCGCTTTCGCCGAGACGCGCGCAAAATTTCCTCTCCCCACCCCCCTCACCGCACTTGGGAATAAATCTCAGAAGCCAGGCCAATTCCATTCCATTTCCAACCCACCATTCCATTTCCAATTCCATTCCTTCCTAGGTTCTGAAACAAGATTAGAAGTTCACACAGAACGGAAAGCAAGTTCGAAGCGCCCTTTTTCATGCAACGCAAGATAAAACGTGAACGTGAAATCAAGCGCTTTTATTACTCTCACATTTGCGTGATCGAGAAGGACCGACTGTAACGCAGGGGATTCCTTTAGGAAGCTCCGACAGCTAGAAATCTGAGTCCAAACAGCAAAAACTAGCAGTACTAGTCTGCACGCGTATACGAGTATACTTCCCAAACACCTCGTCAAATTTCGCACTTGTATTTGGTAGCGAAACCCCGAATTTCAATCGCAATCGCCTCGTCCGTTTCCGTACGTGCATTAGGTATCGCCAGTTCCTTAGAACTCAAAATCCTGGTATCTTCACTCTCCGATCTAGGGCTTGCATGGTGATGAGTGAGCCTCGTATCGAGGAATTCCGTAGTTCTAAGACGAGCGCCGGCCTTAACTCAACCATTGCCACGCTCGCAACCATTCGTCTGGCAGACGGCATGACCATGGCTGAAGGAAAGAGGAGACGAGGCCTGGGGGGTATTCTAGAGCCTATGGGACCAAGGGGAGCTGAGCACGCGAAGGGGGTCTTCGGGGGGAAACGGCCATGGAATACGATCTGCGAATGCGTGAGCTGGATGAGTCGGCAACACGCCTCTACTGCTGCCGCTGCTCCATCTCTTTGTGAAGGTTGTCGTGAAGGGCGGCAGGACGTAGCAGCAGCAACGCCGCAGCCGCAGCATCGTGGCCAGAAGCGCGTTCGAGGCGAAGGCGAGTGCAGGAGCCTGGAATCTTGGGGGCATCATGGAGAGGAATTCTGGAATTTCGAGTCGACGAGTGATATGTTACAGCGCAAAGGCGAGTGCAAGAGCCTGGACGATGTGGAAGAAGCTGTGTGGAGGCGTGACGATGTTCAATTTCTGCAGCAGCAGTACCAGGAGCAGCAGTACCAGCAGCAGCAGCAGTACCAGCAGCAGCAGCAGTACCAGCAGCAGCAGCAGTACCAGCAGCAGCAGCAGTACCAGCAGCAGCAGCAGTACCAGCAGCATCAGCAGCATCAGCAGCAGCAACAGCATCAGCAGCAGCAGCAGCAGCAGCAGCAGATCAATGTGTGTGGGGCACTTGCACTCTCTCCCCATGCTGTGGCAGCATGCCATGCTCTGCTGGGGGAAACCGCTGGGGCCTTTGCTGATCACAGCACACAGCTGGAGCACACACAGGTGGCGCTGCTGGCGTTGCTCTGCGCAGCCCTGCAGGAGCTGCTTCGACGGGCGAGTGAAGAAGCCGCTTCTTCTGTTGTTGCTGCTGCCGCAGTTTCTCCTTCTTCTGCCTCTACTGATGCTGCTGACAGGTCTAACGCTTTGCAGCATACCGTATCTGCCGTGCAGAAAGTATTGAAGCAGTATCTGACAGCTGCAAGGGCGTCTGGTAGTTCAGAGGGGCTTGATGCTGAATTCCTGCAGCGGGTTCTCAAGTCTTTCATGCCCTTGGCTGCTGCTACTGCAGCTGCTGCAAATGGTTCTGGCACTAGTACTGCCGCTGCAGCCCCGGCTGTCGCCGACGCTGCTGCCACTGCTGCTGTTGCCGACACTGCCCATTCTGCTCCTGAGGAGAGTGCTTCTAGCGCGTGTATCTTTAGGGTCAGTGGTACCCATTCTCCTCGTCTCTGCAAAGCAGAGGAGGGGAAGATACAGTGTGCTCAAGAGGGAGGGGGGACAGCGCCAGAGGAACAGGAGCCGCAGCAATCACCTGTGCGGAAATACAGGGGAGTGAGGCAGAGGGGTCCTGGAAAATGGGTGGCGGAGATCGAAGATGCCGCCCGGAACATTCGCCGGTGGCTCGGAACGTTCTCCTCGCCCGAAGCTGCTGCCCGAGCCTTTGACAAAGCTGCCCGGGAGCTGCGGGGGCCTAATGCAAAGACGAATTTTCCGCTGCCAGGCGTGCCAGATTCGGCAACCACTCAGCAAAAACGAGAAAGAGTGATTGAAGGCTCAGGTGTTGAGTTGGGCATGGGGGGGTGGTTGCACTGCAGACCGGAAATGCCACTAGAGACGCTGCAGATTCCCCTTCCTGGAGTCTCAGCAGCAGTTTTCGAGGCACCTCAGAAAGCGCAAATGCAACTGAAGACCGTGCAGGTTCCTCTCCCTTCGTACAGCCCTGTGGATATCGTCTCGCAGCGGCGTAACTCTGCTGGTTGGTCCAGGCCTCGGATGGCTGAGAGGGTTGCAGCTGCAGCTGAGTCACCTCTCTCGCATCCAGTTGAAAGGCCGCGTGGCCCTATCAAATGTGAAATTGCCAGAGGTGAGTCGATGAGTCATGGCGCATGGGTGGTGACACCCCGCTTATCTGAGGAAGCAGAAGAGCAGCAGCAACCTGATGGCCAGCAAGAGATGCAGCAAGCAAAGCGATTGCCTCAGGAGGGTAACTTGAACAGGAGAGGAGATCTCGGGCAGAAAACAAAGGGAGCAGTGGAAAAGGCTCGGAGTGCTATGAGTGAAACTCCGCATCGCAATCCTGTGGCGATTTCCCCTGCTCCGGCCGTTCACACCCCTCAACCGCGCTCCACCATTGCAAATCTCCTGGCAACAATGGTTCATGATAGGGTGGTACAGGATATAGGTGAAAAGGGTGGTGATACTGCTGCGGAGGAGAAAAGTGAGGGTAGTTCCCCCTTGTGGGTGACCGATGAGAGTGTACTGCTGAAGGAGGGAAGGGATGCTTGGGATTGGCCAGCATTACCATTAGGATATTGTGAAAACAGTGATGGTTGTGATGAAACGCACTAGAGGATGGTAACGATTATTCCTTTTTTTCCTGTGCGCGTGACGGTAATGAGGCATGACTGCTGAACATGCCTTATGGTTTGTTGTTACAAGTGCAATTGAGTAAATGAACGAGAATTGCACTATCGAAGCAAGAATCCAATGAGCGAAGGCATGAGCGAAGAATATATAGCGAAACTACAGTGGTAACGGTAATGGACTGTGGTTGTCGCGTGACGGGCCTGGGACTGAGGTTTGGGAAAGTGTCGAAGCGGAGGCCCGGAGCGCGGGTTACCAGCCGAGCCGTGAGGTTGGTGTGCGATGTGCGAAATTGGCGGGCTGATTGTCGATGCGAGGGTCGCGAGTGGTAACGGTGCTGACTGTGGTGCTATAGTGATGTACGCGTTGAGCATGGATGCGAAGTAAGGAAAAGTGATTTTCCTTACACTACCCCCCCTCCCAAGGAGGTCCTCCTTACGAAAGTGCGTGGACGTCCCTGAAGTGTCGGCTGCGCAGATATTCGGTGAGAATAGGGTGGTTTTCGATTCTGTCCAGGGGAACCCAATTGTCTTCGGTGGGTGTACGGTCTTTCTATCGGATCAGGAACTCGATCTTTCGGGCTCCTCGTGGGTCACGAACTCAGTGGCTCAGGATTTTGTCGGGGGTGATGATTGGTTCGGTTGGCGGTCGTGCCATGCTGGCTGAGCGATTTCGTGGGAGTTGGCTTGTGGATGGGACGTAGGGGCGAAGCAGGCTGACGTGAAACGAGGGGCTGACGTACCAGTCAGCAGGGAGGAGGAGTGTCAAATTATGATATTGTGTAGGCTATAGTGGGGTAGTCTATATGGGGTACACATTTCTAGGGTTGCATATTTGTATCACTCCCATTCCTTAGTCAATTCATTCTCGTTCTACTTTCCTCATGGTATCGAGCAGGTTCCCCCTTGGGAACTGTGCCTAGGCCCACCACATCGAGTTTCATTTTTTTTCTCCTGCCCGAAGCGCGCTCCGCCCGAGTCGCGCTCCGGGCTCTCACCTCGCCGAGCCGCCCTAGCGGCCCCTACGCCCTAGCGGCCCTATCGCCCTAGCGGCCCCTTCCCCTAGCGGCCCCGCCGCCCGTCGATTCGGCCCCGCCGCCCTTAAGTGCGGCCCCGCCGCCCATCTCAGCGGCCCCGCCGCCCTTCTCAGCGGGCCCCGCCCTACTTAGCGGCCCCACCGCCCGTCGCTGCGGCCCCGCCCTTCTCAGCGGCCCCGTCGCCCCGCATTGCGGCCCCGCCGCCCGTCTCCGCGGCCCCGCCGCCCGTCGCTGCGGCCCCGCCCTTCTCGGCGGCCCTGTCGCCCCACATTGCGGCCCCGCCACCCATCTCAGCGGCCCCGCCACCCTTCGCTGCGGCCCCGCTGCCTCCCTCGCAGCGGCCCCGCCGCCCTACTCAGCGGCCCCACCGCCCTTCTACTCAGCGGCCCCGCCGCTCTACTCAGCGGCCCCGCCGCCCTACTCAGCGGCCCCGCCGCCCTAATCAGCGGCCCCGCCGCCCTTCTCCTGCGGCCCCGCCGCCCTACTCAGCGGCCCCGCCGCCCTTCCGCAGCGGCCCCGCCGCCCTTCTCAGCGGCC